GTTTTATAATAGATTGTGGTGTGATCTGTTGGTAATGACAGACCGAATCCGCTCATCTAGTTGATGTCCAGTAGAACTTACAAAGTTTACATCATTTCAAGTGGTAAGGAAACCATTCATAACGAAGAATTCAGAAAGAGATATCACAACCATCGCTATTGGCAGGAAAATTTTGACCTAACTGGTTTTACCAATAAAAATGTTTGTGGAAATATTGTGGGCCCATACTCTATCCTAACTGGACTTCGTCTGTACTTACTCCAAACTCAGACGACTTAACGAAACAAACAAATAATGGTGATAATGAAATAATTACAAGTGATGTTTTTTAAAAATTATAGTTAACTGATTTCAGGAAGTAAAAATGGTTTGATGGAAATCAGAATGGGTTTTGTGGGGAGTTTTAGAAATTTCACAGGTTGAAATCATGAGTCGATTGAAGCTAGACCACCATGAAAAACCTGGAAGCACTGAGGGGCCGTGTCGTCCTAGTATGGAACTCCTCAGCAGTGCGCATCCACGATCCCACACCATGCGGGATTCGAACGCAGGACCTACTGACTTCGCGCGCGAGCACTTGACCATTAGACCACTGGGCCGGCATCCAACGGTGTTAATGTCTAACTTCAACCAATCCACGAAGTTGCGCCACCGTATACCATTGTCTTCAGTGAGTTGTTATCTCACAACAGACCTGGTTGAACTCCACTGGTAACGGCTTCTTACTAGAACTCCAGGAGTTTTTCCTGAAATCAGTCACTGGTGAGCAGTTGATTATTATCAGAATGGGCTTTGTGGAGAGTTTTAGAAATTTCACAGGTTGAAATCGTGGCTGCGCACTGCCGAGGAGTCCCATACTAGGACTAAACGGCCGTCCAGTGCTTCCAGTTTTTCCATGGTGGTCTAGCTTCCATCGACTCATGATTTCAACGTTTGATGGAAAGTTTAAAATTCCAGACAATTCATTTCACCAGGTGTGATTGTTGTAACTGAACATTTTCACCATCGGAAGTGCCTGCTTATTTCCAATTCGATTATTGAGCACTATCACTCGATCGTTTTAAGTAATATGAAGGTCATGTTATGACAACTGGCCATTTTTCAACTTTAACGCTGAATGGTTGGGGTTACTGAGGAGACAGATGGTAAGTTCACTTAAACCAAAATTAGTAGACGCGTACATAAAAATGTCAATTTCATCAATAACTAGCTGACATACGAACTTGTTATTTGAAAACATTCGTACACATCATGATTTATATTGTCCCCATGAATCATGAAAACCAGCTGCAAAAGCCATATGTTCTCGACTGTTATTTATTTTATGTCCATTTTATCAGCTTTTGACTTTTTTATGAAGGTGAATTTTCAATCCGCCAATTAGCAAGTGCTTATGAAGCAATAATGTCAAATAAATCTAGATACCTAGAACTATGTTCAAGACTTAATGATGTCATTTAGGTTACTCGCTTATAAACGTTATATCAGGCGTTTTGTTAACATAATATAATATGCTAAACCCTTTAGCTCGATTGTGGGGTGTAGGACAACTTACTTTATAGAACTGTTGCGCATAAATGCGGTCAAATTTTGACCATTTTTTCAAATAACTGTTTAAAACTTTGATTAAACCAAATAAATGAACTACGTTATTCACGGAGTTGACTGGTCTAGACCCTTTATATCAGAAATAACAAAATGATTGTAAATTGGGACCAACGTTTGTGTTATGGAAAGCATTTCCTGTACTTTAAATGTTGTCTGATGATCTTAAAGATACGTGTTCACTTATTTAACTTTAACCTAGAGAAAATGATGGATGTAAACTCCATCCAAGGTGTTCTTAGGATTGCATGTGAAAAAGCATGCTAATGTGCTGATGATTACTTATTCTACTGTCGTGATAGGCCAGAATATTTAAGAAACGAGATCTCATCAACAGCTCAATAATTACAGTGATATTTCTGCGCTCTTTTGACTCCATAGAAGACGTGTTTAAGTGTCTGCCTGCAAATGCAGTTCAGCCATGTTATTCTTATTCAGGTGTATCAGGCTGTTCGACATGGCTCGTATCTGACATAACCTGAACGTAGTACATAGAAGTTATCAACCTGGTTAACTGAAATAAGGTATATTGCACCACACAAAACATTGTTTGACAGTGACATTCCCCTTTTTTCCCCGAAGGACCAGTTGTATGTTGTGGCTGGAGCTATTCCTTTTGCTCACGGTTGTACCCGGTCTAACATAAATGGGTTGAAAAAGCAATGCATCCTCTACATTTGTTATAACTAGTATCTTTGTGATTGATCCTAAATGTCTTAAATATTTTCAAGGCTTAAAACATCGGAATTACTCGTAATAAACATGTCTACAGAAAAAAACTAAATACCTTAATTTTTTCATGCGTTTCTAATTTCGAATGCAATGTGATGGTAACCAAATTGGCAAAGTGAATGTCTGCGTCAGTCTGCGACACGGATGCTAACCTTATTAGTTTTATAGGACATATGATAAGCTGAGATGGATAATTCATCTATCCATGTCATATCACGTTTCAACCCCCCGTTCTAAGCACCCCTTCTTCCGACTAACCAGCTTCGATATTATGCGCTGCCGATGTTTCAAATATATTTTCTTTCCTAATAATCCTAAATCTCTGATTTCATTGGCTTTGGAATCATTTTATTTGAGGGGATTTAAACAGTAGTATGATCAAATTCTACGGACCCGACACCTATTCTATACTATCGTCACCATTAACTTTTTATGATCTAAGGTAGATATTTCAACACATTCTTCAATCTCCGTGACTTTAGTAACGTTTAGTTCATACAAGCTTTCGAACAAAAGACATAGCATATTAGGCTTCACTGTCTGTACATCAGTTGTCTGATATTCGCTGGATTATAAGCCAACTAATACTTCTAAGCTTGATGAGGTTAAAACACGTGGAATCAGTTCATCTATAGTACTGTGGTTTACAAAATTCATAGCTTTTCACCGATTCAGTTAGCCGTTTTTGGCTAAAATGCTATGATATTTTCCATTTTAAAACTACTGGGAGTGGCGGATGCAAGTACCAAACTTCAAAACACGACTTATCTCTCATGTTTACAAATAAATTGCTTGACATTTTCTGAAACTAACTGTTCGACGAGATGTAATATAGAAGCCTAATAATAGTCTTCCTCCCGAATTAATAATGTCTCTTAGCTTCCTGAACATTGATAGTGACCAACGAGGAAAACTTTTTCGGTAGGATAAAAACTGATTTTCACATACTAGTAGATCCGTATGACTCAAAACCATTTTGTCGAGATCAAAAGTTATTTGGATGTGTTTTCTGACCCGTGTAGCTTAATAACAAAATTATCACTGTCCCTTTGGACGACATCAATACTTACCTCACGTAAAAGTTAGGATCTTTATTATTCTAAGAGCTTGTTAATCAATACGTTCTAATGTGATCGGTTGCATTTTTAGACTTTGCTATCTCTATTCAATCTTGAATTGCTGTTGACTTTCTTGCTTCGTTGATCTGTTTTTCTTGGCGTTTTCTTCAATGTGTGTTGTAGCGAGTTTCTGCTCTTCTGATTAGTTTCAGTAAATAATTGCCTTTAAAAGCAGCTAAGTTACAACTACTTCAATCGAGTATTTAGTTTGTGTGGTTTAATTTCATGCATACAATTTTTTCCGAAATTCTTGTGTTTGTTTGATCAAGTAATAAGTTTAGTAATGGAATTTTGTCTGCTTATTCTCTTCCTTTTGACTTGATCGCCTCAAAGGTATTGTTAACCAACTTGTGCTTGTTTCTTGAACTATTGTCTCTTAGTAATATAAATGTTTCATTTCCATGACGTATTCAGACCTTCAGTTTAATTACTGATGGAACTATAGCCCCTAGTCTTGCACACCAGTCTTATGATTAACCCTGATATAGGCAAATCGTTTGAATTCCTTAGATTTATTTGTAAATCTTTTCGTCAAATTAGAACTAAATTCCAAGACGCCGATCAATGAGTTTAATTGAGCTTGTATATTACATTTATAGATTTTAAAAGAGCTTACAGTTGCTGCTGAGTATCTCTGATTCGGTACTGAATCAAGTGGATCTGTAACTCTGAATTTCATCACGATTTCGTTATTGTATTATTGTAGGGATTTGATTTTGGAATTGTGTTGACGAGTTGGTAGAGTGATGTCTTAGTCACATCACATGATCTTCTAACTACGAGACTATAATTTTTAGAGGATCCTGAGGACTAATGCTCAACACTTTATTGTAACTACAAGCTTCCATCTCAGAATGCATCTTTTACCCTTAAGAATGATAACATAGGCTACCCTTCTTTAATTAGCCATGTAATGGTGAGAAATCTTCCAATGTCACAACGTTTTACCTGGTATTTGGTCTTAGTAATGGCTTGTTAAGCTACCAAGTTATTATATTTACGTTTCCCCATTTTGTGATCCATCACTACCAATATGAACTAATTCGTACCTTTTCAAATCACTATGAGATGTAAGAAGTGATCATTTGACCACTTTTGAAGGTTCATTGACGTTTATTTGAGAAAGGTGAAAATTGCATAGTGGAAACTGTTTATGAGAATAGTATGGTTATTAATAATTTTCCATGACCATTAGGTCTTAGTTTACCTTGTGTTGATCTAGATGAGGAAACGCTGTCAAGTATGTACAATTCACGAAGTTTCGTTGCGGTGTACTGTTTTTCCCGTTCACACTAAGTAATTGAATCTTAATTTCATAGATTCGTTTTACTGTTTATCGAAATTCTGCCACCTCGATAATTAAAACATATTTCATTCTAAACCACTAGCTCATTCAAAATTGGCACCAATGAAAAAATACTCAACAGTAAACCAACTACATTTCATTGTATTTTAAAAACTTGATTATCATTCAAAGTTTGGTTTTGTTATAAGACTAACATTTATTTTATTACATTTTTCCCATCTTTATGCATAGAAAATGCTATGTTTACCTATCATAATAATCTTGATGAAGACAAATCACAAGGTGATTCCAAAGATTCGAAAACACCAAACAGTTTGCATTTAAATGATAAACTCGACATCTCAACAAACAATGGTCCTCACGAAACTGAAAGTGTTGATAATTTGGATAATATATCTAGTCCTACACCGAAAGGTGACATAATCAGTCTAGCAGATCTTATAAAAAATCGTATCTGTTTGACAGATTTTGATCCAGAATCTCACTGGCATGATATACATAACAGCATAATTGAAAAAGAGTTTGCCATTGATGGACATAACTTACTTATATGTTATATGTTAAACAAAAATGAATTAAAATTGCAATTTGAAATACCAAGATTTCTATGCAATGAAATTAACTATTTTATTTTCACACCAAATATAAATAAAGAAAAACTAACCGTTGATAATTTTGATTTATGTATACAATATGGTAATATATCTGGTTCAGCTATTCAAAGTTTACTTGGTATTATGTCATCATTATTTGCACCAAATCTATTTACTAATATATCATGGCCAGATAGTATACGTAATGATTTTTCATTACAATTACAACGTTTTATGTCATCATTAACTGATACAAGATGGAAATTAGATAATAAAACTGTATTATATATCCCATTAGATAGTTTAAATGTATTACCAGAAATAGCTATTAAAGATAAAGAATTAATAAATCGTTTAGAAATGATTATTATACATTGGACAAGACAAATTAAAACTGTATTAAATATACAAAATATAAATGATCATTCAACTATTATAAGTCCATTAGATGAAATACAATTTTGGCATAATCGTTGTGATGATTTAACTGGTATTAGTAATCAATTAAATAAATCAATTATTCAACAGATTATCAATATTTTATTGATTGCTAAATCCACATATATTACAAATTTTTTAAAGTTAGCAGATGAAATTAAATGGAATACAGAACAAGCACAAAATAATATTAAATTTTTAGATAAAATTAAAGATATATGTTTACAATTAAATGAATTAAAACCAAAGGATATACCTGATAAATTACCACAACTTATTAATATGATACGTATTATATGGACTAATTCAAAATATTATAATAATAATGAATTAATAACTAATTTATTTAATAAATTATCTAATCAAATAATCATTCGATGTTGTTCTATTATATCATTAAATGATATCTATAATGGAAAAATTATAAGTAGTATATTCAATTTAAATCAATGTATTTATTGTTGTGAACAATATAAAGATATTTATAATAAATTACGATTAATGCATATACATAATTCAATGAAACCATGGGATATACAAAAGAATAGTATATTTGCACAAATTGATGCATTTATACAAAGATGTCGTGATTTATTAGAAGTAAGATTATGGTTTCTTTTCTTTTTTAAATTAATTTTGTTCATATAATATATGTATACTTAGTATTGTTTAGGTGAATCTTCCTATTGATGTTTAGCATTGCAATTGATTAGTCTCTTATTGGCATATATGAATACTGTGTGTATTGTCACGATATTGTATTAAGTTACAAACATTCTAGGCAAAGATAGATAGTGGTTAGCAGTAAAATGTAAGATGCGCATTTTGTAATATTAGAGACTCGTCAGCTAGATGTATCCGCATTCGCGTTGCTGTTCACTCCGGGTCTTGAACCCAGTACCGTTGAATTCAAACACCACCGCGTTATCCACTTAGTTACTGAGTCTTGATAGCCATCTGGTTGTGCAATAGGGTGAAGTTTAAATTCAGTCAGTCAGTCAGTCAGTTAGCTGCAACGTGGGACCAGGCAATACATGCGTTGGTCCAATATGCCACATCTCATTAGCACAGCAGGACGAAGACCGGATTTATAGTAGTTACTTCAATGATGGAAATGTGTAAAAGAAAGATTACATATAAGGACATAGTACAGGAAGAAAGAATTAGTTCGTAGAATGAAAGATTTGAAGCGATTTTCATATCACGATTTAAGGGAAGACGGAGAGTGTATGCACCGACGCCATCGTGACCAATTCTGAGCAATGTAACTCAAAGTCTCCAACCATTGGTTACGATAGCCACATGGACCCCAACGAAGTAGTCTGCATCTACCAACATGGTTAAGACTAGAAGTTAATAACTTCAAGCACTGATGCCACGTTTTGGTTTGGCCACCCGTAACCTTCATTCAACCATTCCGAACACCGGTTAGCATTGCGCGTCGTGGTAATCGGTGTTCAGGCATACGTAATACGTGACCCAACCATCTCAGTCGATAAAGATTCACAACCTCATCAACTGATTTACCATCATTCCCTAATACCCTGCGTCCAACCTCACTGTTACTGACACGATGATTCCATCAGATGCGAGCAATATTTCTAAGACTTCTGTGTAGAAATACTAGTAGCTTGCGGATATCTTCTACTTCTAATGATCACATTTCGCGGCCGTAAAGTTGTTTTACTTGTATCTTCTTATTGTTATTTAAGATTGCAATTGTTCTGTCTCTTGTTTGCATATGTGAACATTAACTCTGGAGTGCAGGTACATCCAGCTGACGAGTTCCAAATAGGACGGAACGCGCGTCCTGGATTCTACTGCTAGCCATGATCCATCTTTGCTTACATATAAAATAGTTTTATTTAACTCAATGTTTAATTTGCTATGAACATATCAAAGAGTAACTAAATAAAAGACTTCAGAATAAGAATTCATACTAGTTTTTAACATTTTAACCCTAATGGTTTACAGGATTTATAACTTTTTATTCACAAATTTATTCAAAAGAAGAAATGTAAATGAAAAAATATTGGTTAGTATGTTATAGTTTAGATGTCAACTACATGATAGTTCTAGTGATGACATCAATTGAGGTTTCAAATTCCAGACAAATAGTTCAAAGTAGTCATTTAGTCAATGAATTGTTATTTCGTCTAACGATGTGATTCTTATTTCAGGCATTTCATGTACATAGAAAAATTCAAGCTTTACCATCGAGTTAACTTCCTAGTTAGGTTTGTCAGACATTTTCATAATTTGGTTTCATCATTTATACCATGTTCTCAAGCTAGTTTAACTATTTAATTTAAATAGGAAAATATAATGTAAAATTAAGTGCTAAAGTATATATGATAACCTTATGGAAATCTATCATAAAGCTACGCTTTATTTCATTAGATAGGTTATACAAAATAAATGTTTCGGAGTTGGATAATGTTGAGTAAATCTTACCCGTAACTATGATTTTCCTTTCTGATAATAATGATAATGATGATTCAGTCTTCTGATATAGATTTGAATCGGCATTTAATCCAGTTGTTTGGTTTGATAGCGTAACTTCTGTAGGGTGGCATGTAAGTAATCAAGCAATTGAAAGGATTGGCTTATCAATCTTCAGCAAATATTGGACTAGATTAAAGACTACCTTCATTTTATCGTATGATTCAGCATTATAACCATTCTAACCATTCAAACAATTTGTTATGCATGAGTATTTAATAAAGTGTATTACAATACATGAGAATTGAATGTTTATCACTCAAGTAACTTTTAAATAATATGAACCCTACAAAATCACATGAAGAAATAAATTGTCTATTTACATTCTTGGTTATGAACTATGGCTCACTTTCTTTATTACACGAAGTCATCAACTCAATTCTATATTCCTTTTTTGTATTGGGGAACTGACGTTATAATAAAGTATAGAAAAACAGAGATTTTAACATGTGACAAATAAGTCACTGCACTTCCTAAAAGTATGAAATTCAGATATTCAATATCATGAAAGTTCATTTAACTACATCAGCTACAAACCTTTTCTCTGTTTGACAGTCATTGTTTCCCCTGTAGTGCAGCGTCGAGTCGCGACTGACTATGATCACGACTACAGGAAGACTACGTGCCAGTTAACCGATAGTATCCCCCGTAAGTCAAATATCAGAAGGCAGTTGATGGCTGTAGTCGAGATGTATTCGTGGGTGATCTCGTGGTATCGAAAGAATACCAAGATGGTGCCAAAGGAGTACAAATGTGGTTACTGAGCGTAACCGAATTCGTGCAAAGTCACATTCAAAGGAAGGAAGAATGTCTTTAGTACAGATAAACAAGCAAGTACAGTAAAACAATCACTGGTACAATTGGTTATCATAATAATTGTTTCCATTAAGCCAATCGCGTTCTCTTGATAAAAGTAGGTCACTACACCCTATTCATCTAATTACGCCCGAAGTAAATTAATTTGCTATGTTCAGTGATTCATTAGCTTTACTGCATTTTGTAGAAAATCTTTATTTTCTTTTGCATCTATTTAAGGTATGTCAATGTCTAAAACATTTTGGCCGTTACGAAGATGGTAATAAAACAACAATGCCAATACTTCAAGGAATTCGTGGCCCAGAAGTTGAAAACCTCCTGTTAACGATTGAACAAATGTTTGGGAAATTGATGAATAACCTATTTGAGAATCGTCATTGTATATTGGATATAAAGGCCACATCATGGCACGACAATTATAATCGTTTTAGAATTGGTATTAAAGATTTAGAGGTGATGATGCAAAATGCAATTAACACAGCCTTTGAAACGGTCACAACTATACAACAAGGGGTCGAAATGCTAGATATTTTTGCTCATCTTCGAAGTCGTGAGGTAATTTTTGCTCTTTAGGAAATATATTTCTACCTTCATTATTATTAGATACCTTAACAAATGGACACTGAAGCAATTGACTAATGCATAACTGAAATCTAGCAAACAGTCTGTACCTGAAAATTAAGGCTACCGACAGCATTGGTAATAAAATGTATAAAAAATAACTTCAGACAACTAAGCTATTTTATGCACTCGAATATTCAGTAATAAGTAGACATAAGTAAACAACACCACCGAAACTCTTCGCCACAACTCCGAATCTTCGTCATCACAATAGGAATGTTATTAAACTGAAATTAACATCAGAAACACTAATTGTGGATCAGAAGTGAACAGAAAACATGTTTTACATTTCAATATCATTGGATAATTACAGATGGTGAAAATAATAATTATCCAATTCAGTATTCTCATCAGTCTCATAACGCCCCCTAAATTTCAATACAATTCGGACATCTGAAAATACGGAAAATAACATGGTATGCGAACTGAAAACTTAACATGACAGAATAATGAAATCGAAATTAAAATCCTGAGAATACCGAATGTAGCGATCTGAAATGCGCGTTTTTTCAAATAATTGGGTTGATTTACGTTACTTGGTAAAATCATATAAAACTTTCTGACATTATTACAACCTTACTACTCATTTTTTACTTAGTAGTAATTATCCATTTACAATTCATTTTTTTAAGAACTAGATAAACATGTTAAAATGACTGTCTAAATTATAACATGATCATATCCTGTTTTATAAAATCTCCTAGCTGCATACTGAATATCTGGGGCATTATTGTTTATATATATTATTTGGAAAAAAAACATAATCCCCAACATGGATGATTAAGCTAGTGTTACTCCAAAGACATGACATGATTAATCCTTACCATAAGCTTATATATAGTGTACTCAAATGAAACATAAGCAACTTGTGCTTAGAAATCGAAATTGAACTTCATATTGATTATGTTGACTGACGCCATATAGACAATACGGCAAGATTACAGTTTCAAAATATAAGAGGTCAAGAATATTAGGTTCTAGATTTAGTCCTTGTACCTAATCGAAACTGTGTGAAAGATTCGATGATTACAGCCTATAGTTAGGCATTAGCTCTATTAGATACCGGCTCAGTGGTCTTGTGGTTAGGCGATCGCGCGATCGTCCTTGGTTGGAGTCCCGCGAAGCGGAATCGTGGATGCGCACTGCTGAGGAATCCCAGTGCTTCCAGGTTTTCCATCGTGGTATAGCTTCAATTGACTCCTGAAATTAATGAAATAATGTTTTTTTTAATTTTCTGCATATAGGAAACGCTGAAATTTATTATTAATTTTCATTTGGTTTACTAATGTGTATTACTTTAAGACTATTCGAAGAACTATTGATCATCGAACAAGTGAATTAGTTTCACGTTTTGGTGATTGTTTAAATCAAATAAAAAAAGAGATGACACAACGTGTTAATACTGGCCTTCCCATACCAACTGAAGCGTATTATAGTGGACAAGCTTTATACTGGAAATTTTTACGTCGCCGATTAGAAAAAGATATGCTGGTTGGTCATATGAATATTTGCACTATTATTTTTTCGTATGGTATTCTAAAGAACAAAATGAATAACTATTTTTTCGTTGAAAGAATAATAAGTGTATAAAATGATACACAGTTGCTTCTGTATGATTTTATACTATCTGATGAATCAATTGAATAGAAACATTTGATTCCTGAATTGTTATAGTTTGGTTACAATCTGTGCAAAATGACTTAGATGTCTATACAAATACTAGAACGTCCTAACATCAGTGGTCACCGACCGTAACTCCTCATATTGCATAATAAACTCAAGCCAATGAAACCCAAGAAAGAAGAGTGGAATTAATAATACAAAACTGATTGCTTTGAGAAGATAAAACTAAATATGGAAGTAGAAACATGTATAAACTAACTCATTTGGTTCACATTAGTTGTATTTGAAATAGAAAAAACTATTTGTTCTATGTATTCCCTGATTGTCTAATAGTGATAATTTTGAAACATTGAGTAGAGAATAAAAACAAAGCTTCATTGTATGACCTCCTTAAAAATGTAATACTATTTTATGACTTTTTAGTTAATTCCTTCAACTATCTAATACTTGTTCATTAGACTATGATTTGCAGATGAGTACAAGATAATTAGCCATGTTTATGAAAAGTACCAAGTTAATAGATAATAATCACCCACATTTGTGTTTTTAACATGTCAGTTCTGTTCGTAACAAACTATTTATATCTTTTTAATAAATATAAAAAAAGATTTACATCCATGATACCCCTGCCTTCAAGCAGAATGCTCAAAAATGCTAAAGAATCGATTACATTATCATGTATTTATACTGTCTTAATTCCAACTGTGTTACACTCTAAATTTGAAAAGTTGTAATAATTCATAAATATAGTTTTATTTAGTAAATTACTTGATAGAAAGATAAATTCCTGAAGTTTTACTCACAAATTTCAAAATCTTTTTGTTACCAAATGTGTTTATATTGGGAAAGCACTTGCTGAATTACTGACGTTCATGTCAGACGATCTATTGGATTTCTTCAGTTTAAACCATTTCATCATCATTAGTACATGAAAATATTAAAATAATCTGATATTTAACTCAGCTATTAAAATATCCTTATGATTTTTCCCGCACTGAATAGGCGTAAGAACCACATAGACTGAATAAATTACTCTATTTATCTGAAAATAATACCTACAGCACATATAATTTCACGGACGGTCAGAATAACCAAAGCAATGTAAATGTAAACCTTGTTTGACTCAGAAGTCTCTTTTCGACTTGTTCAAGATCACAATGATAAGCATAGATAAATTATTATCAATATATAAAAACAAAAAAATGTTTATTTATTTGTTTCCTAGGCTTTAGATCAAGCCTTTTTCTTACCATTATCTGACGCTGGTATGTCAGAATATCGTCAACAATGTACACAACTAACTGATGCACTAGATGATTTAACTAAGAAAATATTTAATGAATTTCAAACAACCATTGAACCAGTAAGTTTAATTTAATCACAGTCAATTAAAAGTAATGATAATAATAGAACTAATTAATCCAATTGTTCTTACATGGATCTTCATTATAACTCTATTTGAGAAAATAATAGCTGTATGGAAACTGAAAAGAGCATAAACTAACATGGATGAGATCCAATCTAGATGATATTCTTTATGAGAAGTAAGAAATGACATCATTCAGTTGTTCAACTTAGAAAATTCTCTTCTCACTGTTGTGACTTTAAGTCCGGCTAGTTATCACGTAATTTATTCGCCAAGCAAAATACGACTTATTCGCTCTGGTACTGTACTAAACCAATGACGTTCATCCGGTCTGATCAGCCTAGCGTCTTATTGGCCCGTTGCGCGCCTAGCCCGTCCAGCTGAGTCCAGAATGCCAATAATAGCCTCCACTATGCGAATCATACTTGGTTTATATACTAACCAAACAGACCGCAACGCACCATAAAATAGGAAATAACATTTATATAAAATAAAGCCAAAAAGTGGCTGTGAACCTAGGAGACAGTAATTAATAAACTGAACATAACTTAAGAACAGTAAATCGTTACTTACTTACTTACTTACGTACTTACGCCTGTTACTCCTAATGGAGCATAGGCCGCCGACCAGCATTCTCCAACCCACTCTGTCCTGTAACTTCTTTTCTAGTTCCATCCAATTCTTGTTCATCTTTCTCATGTCTATTTCCATTTCCCGGCGTAATATGTTCTTTGGTCTTCCTCTTTTCCTTTGGCCTTGAGGATTCCATGTGAGGGCTTGTCTTGTGACGCAGTTGGGTGCTTTCCTCAATGTGTGTCCTATCCACTTCTAGCGCTTCTTCCTAATTTCTTCCTCCGCTGGGATCTGGTTTGTTCTTTCCCACAGTAGGTTGTTGCTAATAGTGTCTGGCCAACGGATCCGAAGTATTTTGCGTAGACAACTGTTAATAAACACCTGTATTTTCTGGATGATGACTTTCGTAGTTTTCCAGGTTTCTGCCCCATACAGTAGAACTGTATTTGTGACTTGTATTTGTTTGGGTCAGTTTTTCTCACAAAGTCTTTTATTATAAGAGTGCCACCTAGATAACAAGAGTAAAAAGCATGTCTACATATTTTCAAATTTTTTAACAATTTTGTTTGTCTTAAAATTTATGCCATATGATTCAGCTTGAATACTTCTAAGTTCGTATGGTTCTTTCCAAAGTTCCAGAAACATTTTTATCTCTGCAACTAAGTTAAAATAATTTGTTTTTTGAAAAATTATGATTATTTAAAGGTGGAAAGTCCTAATTAATCGATTTTGAACTAAGAAATAGATCGTAATATTTGAAAAATCCTAAAGTTTAAACTCTATCAGAAGGTTGTCCTGAGGCCCTCCTCACTCTTCCGACAATATCATCTTCTAGCATAGACAATCAGTTATTAGGAAATCAGAAGGAACATGATAAAACATTGTTTATCACCAACATTTTCCTAAATATAACCGGGAAGCAATTCATCAATAATAATATATTGAGGAGTTTTCTGATAGTCGATCATCATAAATGTTTGGTATTTCTTTGAATCATTTTAATATGGTCCTCAATAACTTAGCATAACAAGCAAATTTCAAATAGTCTATCAATTAATTTTCTCTAGCCGCCTGTAACATTTTATCGTGTTTGTTTATTGTGAATATTTTATGTATAAGCATACCATTTTATTAAATAAAACACGTACACTTCTAGGGATTAGTCTTATACTTGATTTATAATCATTTTGGGGGCTAACGTCAATGATAGCTTTGCCTACAGCTATCATATCATTGTTTGTAATTCATTAATTGGCATTCTTTTATTTTGTTTTAAAAATTGTAATTCCATCTCATCAATTACTGAAGTCTTATTTCATGACATATTTATTCCCACTAAACTGGCTTCATCAGTTATCTGAGTAAAAAACATCCAAACCTTTTGTGATAGTGGAACCCTGATAGCATTCTTTTATAAATTCATGTTAATGAGTGATTTTAGGTTGATTCTAGAACACCTTTTTTTCAATTAAGACTTGACGTTAGACGTACAACAATTTCGAACATCCACATTTTAATCGAAACAATTAATTTTTAAACATAATCCAGTCAGTCAGTTACAACGTAGGACCAGGAACATATATGCATCTATCCAAGTTATCATATCTCATTAGCACAGCAGGACGAACACCGGACTAATAGACGCAGTCGACTCAATGGTGTAATATATAAAGGAAAGATTTTATGTAAGGATATAATACAGAAAGAAAGACTTAGTTCGTAGAATGAAAGATTTGAAGCGATTTTCATATCACGATTTAAGGGAAGACGGAGAGTGTATGCACCGACGCCATCGTGACCAATTCTGAGCAATGTAACTCAAAGTCTCCAACCATTGGTTACGATAGCCACATGGACCCCAACGAAGTAGTCTGCATCTACCAACATGGTTAAGACTAGAAGTTAATAACTTCAAGCACTGATGCCACGTTTTGGTTTGGCCACCCGTAACCTTCATTCAACCATTCCGAACACCGGTTAGCATTGCGCGTCGTGGTAATCGGTGTTCAGGCATACGTAATACGTGGCCAAACCATCTCAGTCGATGAAGATTCACAACCTCATCAACTGATTTACCATCATTCCCTAATACCCTGCGTCCAACCTCACTATTACTGACACGATGACTCCATCAGATGCGAGCAATATTTCTAAGACATCTGTGTAGAAATACTAGTAGCTTACGGATATCTTCCACTCTTAATGGCCACGTTTGGCAGCTGTAAAGAAAAACAGAACGAACTGCTGCACAGTACACTCGTTCTTTAATTGATAGGCGGATATCTCATCTTCGCCATAGGTGATGTAATTTGGCAAAAGCCAAATGAGCTTTTCAAATCCATGCAGAAATTTTGTCAGACGTCAACCCATTAGGTCTGATCAGACTCTCAAGGTAGATGAAGTTGTCAACGCGTTCGACTACTTCACTCCCTATTCTTAGTTCAGAAGTTTACGCAGCTCAATAAATCTAACATTATATTTTTATTTCATTTTATTTATTCATTTCAGGATCCATTGAAATGTCTTGATTTACCTGTATTAACACGTAGTACATTACAATCTGGTATGCTTGAACCAAATTTCAATGGAACAACTCTTAAATTACTTAATGAATTACATTATTGGTCTAGGCTTGGTTTCGAACTACCAACAAATACTAATGAAGCATATCGAAGACGAATAGAATTAAAATATCTCTATGATATCATATTAATCATTGTTCGTGATTATAATCATATCATAAGTTCATTAAATAATGATGAACGTGCATTATTTAAAGAACGTATTAAAATGTTAGATATAAAATTAATACCAGGTTTAACAAAATTACATTGGACAGTAAAAGGTTTAGTTGAAATGTTCGTTAATGATTGTCGTATACTAGCAAATAAATTACAATTAAAAGTTGATGAATATAAATTAGCAAATATAAATATTAAAGAAAATTGTGAAGAAATTGCACAAACTTTATTAATTAAATTACAATCAAATCGTATTTATGAAAATACTGAATTTGATGATTGTCAAGTGAGTAATTTTTTCCTCATTAATATAAAAAAAAATTTCAACAATTGAAATCATAAGTCAATTGAAGCTAGACAACCATGAAAAACCTGGAAGCACTGAACTGCCGTTTCGTCCTAGTATGGGACTCCTCAGCACTGCGCATCCACGATCCCGCCCCCCGCGAGAATGTGAATGCGCCCTGCTGAGGAGTTCCATACTAGGACGAAATGACCGTCCAGTGCTTCCAAGTTTTTCATGGTTGTTAGCTTCAACGGACTCATGATTTCAACTATTGAAGTTAGTAAAATTTCCACAAAACCCCTTCTGATAATAAAAATAAATGTTTACATTAGTGAATAAGTCTTGATGTTTATTAAATTTTATATTCATACAATAACTATGAGGGAAATATTCCACGTGTATGTATACCTTATGGATGCTTATACAAAACCTACTTTAATCATTGACTTCATAAAGTATGGAGAAATTGCACTAATTACGTCCCCTTAAGATTTAAAGAAAATCATATTTTAAGTAGGAACACGTTTCACTTACTTTGGTATGATATTTCCTCAATGATTGAAAATACTGTATAACATAGCTCAGAATTAATCATATTGACATAGATCCATTCACTCTTTATCTCCTTTAATATTCCTAGTCTTCAAACAACCTCACAGTTTCTATGGACCAAATTCATTGATTCTTTTAAAATAATATTATATTCAGTGTTATTTGCTGTCACTAAAGCTGTTACTGATTCTACCACTCACCTTCATAATTTTATCTCACTATTTTAGCATGAGGTGGAAACTAGAATCCAAGCGCATGTGCGGCAGGTTTTACGTTACGTTTGACTGACTGATTAACCCTTAAATCCGAACTTGTGCGATAATTATAAACCATTTACAGAAAAAACTCCCTATTCCAATAAACAGGCGATTTTATTGGCTAAATCAGTTTGATTTCAACTATGCTCGTTGCTTTCATCGATATCTTGAGTTATTAATGTTTTCCCTTGAATAAATTCAACTCAGAACGGTAATTTATTTCATTATTTACGGAAACTTTTATATAACCATTAATAAATTTCAAATAGAAAGCAGACCAATATCATAGGTTAATGCTGATCAGTTTATATAACCGCTTTAAACTACATTCACATGAGTATCTACAAACTATAACTTAATGACATATTAAAAATTTATCTATTAATTCCATCGAAATTCAATGAATTATTTTTCTTCGTTGTCCACTTATTGTTAATCAAATGATAACTACATATTCTTCAATGACATTAAGAATAATAGTCGAGCGGAAAAATATTTCTTCTCAATTAAGATTCTCATCAAGACTGGAAACTAATATATAGGCTATACAATAAAGTATCAGATGGATACTGAATAGATCATGGTGGTTCTGTTTAACAATATAATCAGTTAGTAATACAACATAATTCAAATAAAAATCGAGGTGAAATTTTCGTAATCAAATGATTATCACAACTAGTTACGTAAGAGTAACATTGGGGATTGAACTTGAACATAAATCTAAATGTTTTATGTTATTTAAAATTAAGAATTGATAACTAATAAAATGGGTGCGATAAAGATAACGTAATAGGATTATTCAGCAAGTTATGTCATATTAAAATTAGAAAATGTTAACATGATCGAAGTTTGAAAGACTCGAAAAATGTGATAACAACTAAGATAAATGGAGAGGCTGTATAAACTTTCCCTTATCTTTTATTTTACATATCATAAGCATATATTTTTTTCATTTTAGTCTGAGCATAGAAAGGTAACAAAAGAAAAACTTATTGCCATCCATAAAGATATCATAAGAAAGTTGCATGAAGTGAAAGAAACATTTGTTTCTGAAAGTGCCGATATTCAAATGCATTGGTGGAAGTAAGTTTTATTCTTTTTATGTAATAGTTATGTTAACTTTATTGGAATAATATCTCTCCTGTTAAATGTAGTCAACATTCTGGATTTATTACAAACTTAATAAAGATAATTTAAACTCGAAGAGGTTAGAATGTTTCCACAACTCACTTATCTTGGTAAGAAGATATTAATTTTTATGCACATACAGAAACTTGTTGTGATGATAAACGTTTTGCATTCGGTCTCAGTCTTGCTTTAATTTTTACAAATAAATCTGCGTAATTCCTATTGCTTTCCTGGTAGGACAGTCAATCATCTTTGAGATGGTGGGGAAGATTTATAGCTTAGGTGGATGATTTTGATGAAGTTTTGTTATCTAAGATGGATGAAGCTTTCATCGTCCTTCGAAACACTTCACTTCTACTTGAAGTTTGGGCTGATGATGTCGTTCAGAAGAACGATGAAAGCTTCACGACTAAACCATCCGGCTCAGAGAACAAACTCCATCAAAAAATCAATCAACTTTACACACCAATCACATTGGATTGTGACAAGTTATTATTTTAAAGCTACGTCGGTGATATAACACTGAAATCCTAAACTGTAAATGTTGTTCCTAAATCTTTAATTCACTCATTTTTTGTTTAAGCCACTGGCCTTTCTAACTTTCTAATCTTCATCTAAACAGATTTTCTTCGGTGATCCCCAAAGTTGACTTTGTACCGTTAAGTGACAAATATAGTTTGAACTAGTTTTTTATCCAAAAATCCCTAAAACTAGTTCAAAATGTTAAATGTTTTGGTTATTTCGCTCATATTTAATTTGATAATCGTTGTTAGTTGTTATTTTTTAAAAATCTTAGATATACAGAGAAAATGGATCATTTTTGTGAAGAAGCATTCAGAATAAACGTTAAATCATCATTATGTGAATTGCAGAAAGCAATAAACGGTGATGGACGAAATGATCCTAATCCTCTATTCAAAGTATCATTGAATTTAGATAATGATGTTTTAATATTTTCTCCAACACTTGGTCAACTAACACTTGTTGTAGCTTCATTAGGCAGTAAATTCGCAGAAATCATTTCAGTTATTCCTCGTCTACCTGATTTGTTAGCCCAAGCTAAGTCTACAAAACCAGTAAGCTTTTTTTTAATACTGTTTGTTGCTTGTTTTGCAGATTTCATCGCTCACCTTGAGCAATATTAATTATAACCCTGAACTAACCTTCCACTTAGTAGCTCATAAATAGATACAGTTTTATTCTGAAATCTACAACTAGAAAAGAATGAGACCTAATTATGTACAACATTCTAACATAGTATATAGATTTCTCAACATCTGTAACCAGTTTTTTATCTTAGCACCAAAGAACTTCAACTTACCGAAACTCATCTTTTCAAACATAGGTCAGTTTTATTTTATCATCTTCGTTGAAGTTACTCATAATTTGAATAATAATTCCATATTTTTGATTTCCGTACAGAAGGACTAAAACTTTTTATTTTTGTAACTTTACAGCTTTGCAGTATCGAGTCAGCTTTTCATTTTTCACTGTCATATGTGTCTGGGTTCTTTTGATATTATGAGTCACTAGAAATTAGTTGCCTTTGAGTAATGACTGGTTTTTAATAGCCAAACAACTGTTAACCCAATGCATATCGAGCCAAATAAGATGTAATTGACTGACAAGACTTTCCTCGATTTATTACTATCCTAATAGACTATTCAGTCAACACACACGTACAATCTTGTGAGTACATACTTCTCTCTTATTATATCGTCGTATTGAAAAAAATTTAAACCCTTTATATGGCATCCTTTACTACTCAAACAGCCATGTGTTCGTTGTGATCACTTGATATTCATTAAATCATAATAGTGGTATGTTTTCTTCTTTAATCAGGTAATACTCTCGAAATTAACAATAATGACTATTATTGTAATAATGACAATGAAAACAACGTTATCAAGTTGGCTGAAATCAGATTCTCGATGGCTTTTATCATTTAAAATCATACCATCAATTGTGATATGAATTGTAGATAGCTGAATGATTGTTTTCATCTGTTCTAAATAATGTTCACATTCATATGATACGCTTGTAAAATTATTTATTAGACTGATACTATTATAAGCTTCCAAGAGCACCAATGCATATTTACGTATCTTTACCACTTTGGCGTAACCTGAGTATGAACTACAAAAATATGAAAAGATAGTAAGGTTTTGAGAAAATATAATAAAAAGGAATGCAAGCTAGTAAACAACATCTCTCAACGAACTGATTTTACTTTAATTTAAGGTGATCAATTGTATAATACAACATTTAGCTTTTAAAACAAAATGACTGAGTTTGATTTATAAATAAATGGTACATATTTGACTTAATTTTTATCTTATTTGGAACTAATTTTAGCCAATTAGTGAAGTTATTGCAACAGATGAAGAAATTAATAAAATACAAGCAAGTATTAAACGTGGAATGCAAGAAATTGGTACAGCAGTTCATGAACCTCTTAGTTATTGGGATCAATTTAGAGAAATATGGGAATTGCCTAAAGATGATTTTATACAAAGATATCGACAATTAAATCCACATGTTACTTCAATTGATGCTGATATATCTAGGTGATTGTTTATAAAGCTTACTTCTGATCTATATTTATTCGATTTTTAAGTATTTTCTCTAGAATTCTTAGTTCACTAGTTATCACAGTGAATTCAGAATACATAAGGTTACATTTCACCTGTCAGTTTTGAAAGAAATACATTTATCATATAAACAATTATTATTTACTCTGATATGAATGTAAGATAATATCATTCAACCTACTCTGATACTGATAGTTGAGACGCTGTTTTTATTTTCAGAACTTGCGCTCGATTATTAAATTACTTCGTACAGTTAAGAAATTACAATATGGATGTAGAGTAGAGCCAGTCATCAAAATTTGATTAAAAGTTCTCACATAATATAGATAATATGAATAACTGATCACTTAAAATTTCTACCTTACCGGTTGTTGGCTTATGAACAGGTAGATTTCTTTGTGCGTTATATTCTCTTACATATCATATGTTGACACCATTGGGTTCCACCTCAGTGATCTAGAAAATGGGCGATCGTGCACGAGACCGAAGTTCCTCGGTTCAAGTCACGCGCTCGAGATTGTGAATGCGCACTGCCGTTGAGTCCCGCATTAGGACGAAACGGCCGTCCGGTACTTTCAGGTTTATTCATGGTGGTCTACCTTAGATTGACTCATGAATTCAATCGTGAAAATATTACTAAACACCTATCCTTATATATTTTAATGGAGACATTCTTGCGTACATATTGAGACGTAAAACTAATTGAAGTATAGAATAAAATGACTCACTTGGTTTTCATTGATTATGTTTCTAGAGGAATTCATGTAGTGCTATTTTGATTGGTTATATTATAGCAGATCTAAATGAAATAATGTAAGCAATATTTTAATCGCCGAATATTGTGATGTAGGATGTTTAAAATTTTGAAGATCCCACTAGATCGATTTATACACCGTGAAGTTTTGATTCGTATTTAAGCATTTATCAATTAAAATTAATAGTTGAAATCATGAGTCGATCTAAGCCAGACCACCATTGAAAACCTGGAAGCACTAGAAGGCCATTTCGCTCTAATATGGGACTCCTGAGCAGTGCACATCCACGGTCCCACACAGGGCACTCGAATCAAAGACCTTTGGCTTCGCGCGCGAACGCTTAATCTCTATATCCCTGAGCCAGGATCGTGGATATGCACTGCCTAGAAGTCTCATACTAGGATGAAGCGGCCATCTAGAGCTTCCATGTTTTCAATGGTAGTCTAGCTTAGATCAACTCATGAATCCAACTGTTAAAATTACTACAGTCTTCATAAATCTCCATTTTGACAAAGTCAGAATTAATTGATATTGTCCACAGACTTTATTATAAAATTTCCTACAACTCAACATAGTGTTTAAAAACAGATATCTAGATGCATAAATTACATTACTTACTATTTATCATTTCAGATATACGGAAGTAAGTAATAAAGTCTTAGATGCAGACACTATGGTTACGACAAAGTTTTTACAACTGGACTTTAGTTTATTAAAAAATGCAATAGCTGCTCACTGTCGAGACTGGCAGATGCGTTTAATCAACCTTTTACTTTCAATGACAGAAGATTCATTAAATGGGGTTTATACATATATGAATGATGTTCAAGAAAGGTAAGATTTTATTAAACTTTTTAATTATGATATTATTAATGATAAGTATAAAAAGCCATACAAATGTTTATATAGTTCGTTAATGACTTGTATATCTATGTGGAACAGAAGAAGAGTCTTGTATAAATAACATAATAAATGAATCACTAATCAACTACATGAGTAAAGAATGTGGAGTTAAGATTGAGGCTGATAATAGCAATAAAAACGTAGCCAAGGTATACATGAAGAATATCTATAACTATTCGATACAAACGAGGAACAGAATGATTATGGCTATAACCCAATATCAGGTGAAGGACGTGGGATGTAAAATAATCAAACAAATGATTTTTGTATCTATCACTTGAGTTGGAAAATTCTGATGACTTTCCCCCACCATGGTTGTTAAACGAGGATGCCCAAACATTAAGAGCTTAACTGAGACTTTACGTATGATAATGAAATGTAGATTTTGAACGGTTGTAAACTTTGCTTTCCAGCACATTACTGTTGTCTGTAATCTTTTTTCTTCGTTCATGCTAAATGTGTCTGTGTTTACTGAAATATTTCATATTTTGCAGTATATTTGTCCATAATAAGTTATGAATGATGAAAAGTATTTGGTCATCAATGAGTTTAAGTGTTGACCTAATACAACGTTTATGCTGACATCTCTACACCGTTATTCCCGTATATATAAAAAGTAACTTGTCTTATAATGTTTTTTTTCCATCATAAACTAATGAATAACGCGCATGATCCTTGCCGTTGTTATGAAAGGGAAAATGTGATTGTCTACGTGTGTATATATATTCTCTTTTCATCGATGTTTTCCTTTGGTCAAGGTCACCTCGTTCAACGTTATTTGAATTCTTATATCAGTGGTGTTAAAATGATTATAGTTTAAGGTAATGCAGTATCGTATGAGATTCTATAAATGTCGAGTTTTTCACAATGATGATCTACAAAACGTTTTATAGTAAACAGTTATGATATCACTTTATAACTGTCTCTGTTAGGTGATAATAAGTACAACTGACTTAGAAAAGCTTAAGAATTTTAAGAATTTCTAAGTTTACACAGTGGAATAATTCTTAAGTAGATAACTGATAATAACCAGGAGGGCTATGTAAACCATTGGATGCTAGATCAGTGATCTTAAGTTTAAGCTCTCGCCTCGAGACCTGAAAATCCTAGATTTTTGCCCCTCTGGGACAAATGCGCACTGTTGACTAATCCCATACTGGAACGAATTAGCTGTCAAATACTTCCTAGTTTTCAATGATTGTCTAATTAAGATCAATCTGTGTTGTGAAGTATGGAATTCAACAATCCATATAAACATCCTATTGTGATTTTATTAATAAATAATGTGAACTTATTAATTTTTTCTGTAGAATTCTTCGACCACCATTGAATTTAGATGAACTTGGCGATTCTATTCAACTTTTGGAACAAATATTATCTGAGCAAATTGAAATTCAAGCGAAATTTGGACCTTTGGAAGAACAATTCGCTATTCTAGATAAATGTGAAGTAACGTATTCTGATGAAATATCAAATCGTAGAGTAAACTTGGCTAATGATTGGGTACAATTTCAAAGTTCATTAGCTTCAGCTGAAGTGGTAAGGCATTAAATTTTCTGTTATACAAAATACATATACGTACATTTTTAGTTTCTCCTACCATTAAGTGGTGAAAACAATCCATCATTTCAGTAAACGAATTAAATTAATGTGTAGAGTTTAATTTACAAGGCTCTCACTGTAACATAACTAATCACACTATTATATTAGTATCTTGAATATAACCGTAGTATGCATTGAATTTTTATTTATTGAATTACTGAATTCATAACTAAGTTAATCAAATATGAAAGCTGTAAAAGAAAGACCACTAATGTTTACTCTTTTGTAATAGAACATATTTTCTGATATCAGACATCGTTCTTAAAAAACATATGTTTACCTCAATTTTGCTACTTTACTGAAAGTTACAATAAATCCTGAAGTTTTCATCATATAAGGTATTAATTCACTTGGTATTATTTGGCTTGTATCTTCCCATTAAGGTTTGAGACTTCAAATGATCAGTCTGTTATCAGCATATGTGCATACTGTGCGTATGCCTCGATATTGCATTAATAATAATAATAATAATAATAATAATAATAATAATAATAATAATAATAATAATAATAATAATATTGCCTTAATTCACAAGCTTTTTGTAAGCAATGATTGCACAAGCCAAGTGGCTATCAGGACTCAGTAGCTAAGTGGATAACGCGATGGCGTTTGAAGCGAACAGTACTGGCTTTGAGTCCCAGAGTGAACATCAACTCTGAGATGCAGGTACATCCAACTGACGAGTCCCAAACAGGACGAAACGCGCGTCCTGGATTCCACTGCTAGCTACTATCCATCATTGCTTACATATAAGGTATTATTTTGAAGACATCCCATCAATATTACCAGTTGTAGAACACTGATCAAAAGTATTATTTGTTTATGTCACCATTCATAAAAGCTAAATAAACCAGTTTCACCGAATTTCACAGTATCATAATATCTAAATGATCATCAATAATTTCTCTTTATCATTTATATGTTTAGCAAGACTTCGTGAATGGATAGATGACATCAGACAGATTGGATGAAAATATGCCTATTTCCCGTTATCACCTAAGATTTTGTTTTACTTAAGTCTTCCGATACTCTGTTTAGATTCACTCGGAAATGTCAAGTTAAACTTATGATTGAATGATAGACAAGCTAATTAAAGTCGGCTAAGATTTGATTGGATTCAACTAATAAAGAGAATTGCAAATAAGTTTTTCTGGATGATTGCTTATTGTTTAGCTTTTTCTGACAGGTCTAAAATGTTGATAATTGTTACCAACTGTTAATTATTTTTATGATCTACACTACTGACGAATATTTTTTTATCACTTATCATCATCATTTCTGTTTCTCCGATCATTCACCGAGATCAGTACAAAATTTGATACTAAATGTGAAGTATTATTTTTTGTACTCATAAGCTCCGATACGTATATGTTTTAGAAGGTAGGATAATTACAGAAACAGAAAGATACGAAGAACTTAGGTCCTGGCATAAATATTCATTGACTCAGGTTTCCACAACCATTACCAATAAGGCTGTAAAAATAAGATTTCATCGAACACAGAAAATGAATGTACAGTTATTGTGTTGGTCAATCAATACAAATCAGTCTTTGTATATTGAATTGTGTGTTGTTATTTGACAGTTATGGAGTGCAGACATCATTTCACCATCTGTTGTAAAAATTTACAAAGTGGTCTTTCATGACGACGCATTGTATCCAATCGACTACATCTGTTATGAAAGTTGTACAATATGTTTATTTAACACCTCATAAATTGTAATGAATTTCTTTTAGCTTTTAAAGTATTAAAACTTTCTAAAAGTTAACTATTGTTATTTTTAATACAAAAGATGATTAAAAAATCCAAAGAGAAATTCAAAGTTGGTTTATTGAATGATACGGAAGAATTTAAACGTGCAGTATCAAATCTTTTACAAGAACTACAAATGAAAGGACCATATGCAGCTAATCTTAAACCACAAGAAGCAATTGATATTATCAACCAATTCTTGGAACAATTAGATAATCTTAAAAGTCATGAATTAGAATTACGTCATGGATTAAATTTATTTAAAATAGAACAGCCACCTTTTAAAGAAATTGCGATCATAGAGAAAGTAATTATTATTTCATTAATTAATTATAATTATTATTTTGACCTCAAATTATTTATTTTGATACCTCTACTTGAAACAATGGATTCATTAGTGTAAATCATCTCATTTCAAAATACTTAAAGGAAAAGTAATTAATCAAATTAATCAAAATATTAATCAACATATGCTCACTAGTGATTGGTTTCAAGAGGTATTTCCTGAAGTTCTAGTGAGAAGCAGTGACCAGTGGAGTTCAACCGAGTGTGTTGTGGGATAGTAACTCACTGAAGACAATGCTGGATATGTCGCCCAATTTCGTGGATTAGTTTAAGTTAGATATTATTACCGTTGGATGCCGGCTCAGTGGTCTAGAGGTTAAGCGTTCGCGCCGGAGACCGATAGGTCGTGGGTTCAAATCTCTCAAGGCCGGGTCGTGGATGTGCATAATGCTTTCGGACTTTCCATGGTGGTTTAACTTCGATTGATTCATGATCTCAACTACTGAAATAACTATAATATCCACAAAATCTCCTTCAAATAAGTATTTGTTCATGGCTTATAACTGTTTACAAAACTTCATATTACAACATATAAACGACAATCGTTGGATCATTCTAATAAGAATGGACAAGTTGTTATTTACATTTAACATTTAATCCCACTGAATTCATTGTTAAGATAATTTCTTAAAAAAAATAATAGCTAGTAATACTACCCTAAAATCATTAGTAAAGGGAATTCTTAGTTGAATAATAGTGGTAGTGAATAATACTTCATAAAAAGTGCATCATTATTGTTTTGAAACTAATTTCCATAACTAGTTGATATAAATTTTAACTTAACTGAAAACCAATACGTAAATTCTGTTGATTGAATATTGAAGCAAAATTACTTTGTAGTGTATATTCAAAACTCAAGCATAACTTTCTTGATTAGGTAAGCTAAGTGTGGTTACGGCTCCCTGTGAACTCAAAGAAGCGTTGAAAAAGCCGAAAACATTCTATCTGATCATCGTTTGGGAGAATATTCCATAATCTTGACGAGTAACTACACAATTGGGCAAGTGCTAAAACCACTCGATGAGGATTGGATAATGGTATTGATGATTGAGTTTTTACTAAAAACTATAATTACCCGAGTGTTTTGTATTATATTTGACTGGTTGGGCTAAGATTTTTTCCACTCGTTTTCCGTCTTCTAACTTGTTACTTGGAGGGTTCAGACATTCGAGTACTCAAGTTGTATGCGGTATAGAAAAAAACTCAATTTCTGGATATAACTCTAAGAATTTCGAAACTGTTTATATTTTTAATCTAATAACATACATATGCACCCTAAAATTAGTAGTGATAAATTGTGATGTGATGTTATTCCATTCATTTTATTACTGGAGGCTCAGTTCAACCTAGTTTAATGCTTTTAACAAGTTCACGGAATGTGTTTAACCGTTAGTAGTCCATTGATCTGACTGTAGCATTAGGTTGTATGAGATTTTTTATACAAATAACTATTTGTAACTTTCTAGACTTCATATCAAAATTTTACATCACAAGTACCAACTAGACACATTCATTTTCAAATGTTTACACCCCTTAAGGATTTAGATATATTGAGCACTATTTGGACTACAAACATGGAGTGGGAAAATAACTGGGAAAGTTGGAAGGCTGGACGATTTTATGATCTACAAACAAATGAAATGGAAAACTTGGCTAATGCACAATTTCGTAAATTTACCAAATGGGCACGTGATTTGAAAGTTAGTTGTATGTATGATGTTGAATTAATACCGGGAATTTTTCAGTATATAATCACCATATATAGTATCCATGATTGCACTGATTTTGTCATTTACAATTTGTATTCACATCGGGTGCCAAGATGTTGATCGTATACAAGAAACTGATAACAGCATTGTAATAAGTTACACGTTCATTATCGTAGGAGAAATCAGTTTCATAACGAAATGTCCGACTGACATTTTCCTTAGCCTTTTCACAACATAAACAAAATAAGAAGAGACCCCATATTTGATAACTTGTCGAATTCATACGTTTCCGTATATCTTACGAAATATCTAGATAGCCAATATATTCTGGTTGAAAGCAACTAGAGTTCATTCACTATATGTTGATTGAAAAGCGTTATCCACTAGGTTTTTTGAAGAAATAATGGACAGTAAAATAGTGAAGTCGGCGGTTAGAGAGAAAACCTTCCTGAAGCTACAATTCGATGGAGATATAGCTAGTCATATACTACTGTAATGAACGAACGCTCAATTGCGAATAAACAAATTATTGCTCGACACAAAATTATAGAGAGGTTTTTCATAAAATGTGAAAACCATACATTCAGAACTGCATTTGTAAATCCTCCATCAATTGCCTCAAACTTCATCGTTCCTTCCTTGTTATTACAGTTACTCTCTGTTTTCATTCTCTTCGGTTCGATCTCCCCAACCTTGTGCTGTCTGTCGACATAAGTAACATACTCCACACTATGAGTTAGATTAACTAAAGCAATGAAAAGGGCTTTCAGTGCAGCTAACCTCGATTTACCGTTTACTATATAATTATCATGACTTACCATATTCCTTATTTCTCTCCACTCTGTTTCCTCAAATATACGCTTCACTGACCCATTATCTGAACACTTCTTATTACGTAATTTTATAATTTTTAATGAATGTCATTTCAGTGTCCATTTTTTCATGTTGTTAACATAAGTCCTATTATAAAACATTGATTCAAGCCTTTAATATCCGTTTCACAACTACTACACCAGTCATTACACGATTAATTTGTACTTTTTATTTATTATTTAATTATATAACCTATTTCACTATTATCACTGACTCACAAATTTCATTGATTGGTTTAACAATTTCATATATGTATATAAAGATTGTTGTACATTAGAATAAAGCCTGATGAGGATCTAATTGAAGATAGTATTATTAGTTATATATTCTAATTATGTACTGTTTACTTCATTTCTCTCCCACTTGTGACCTGATTGTGATTGAAGTATAATTTCGTATTTAGTGTTCTGTATGATCAGAGATAAATCTCTGTATGTGTTTCCATTCAAAGTTGGATTGAGTACAATGGAGATCTAATCCACTTATCATCTGCGTTTTCTTATTGGTTACTGGGTTAGAATGGGCTGGAGGACCAACAAGCTTTAAGGCTTTGGTTTTGGTTCATTTGTAAATTCGTGAAATAGAAGGTCATCAGTTTTACGGATCATATAAGTAAATTAATCCGTGATAATATTAGACTTCAATCAATTCATGATATTTTACAATAATCATTCGTCGCTTGCAGTGGATAATTGTCTTACACTCGACACAGATGAAAAATACAACTTAATGTCATTTTGTTAAGAATTTCAATTTTTTAATAAATCACAATCAATAAACTGTATTTCTGATCATCCAGCTTATTGAGAATAACTATCAGTCAAGCTCAATTATCCGTATGTTTTATATTTATTCTAGTGATTAAAACTATTATGCATCGTTTAAACAAGTGTCACAATATCCAAAGGCTTAAACAAAAGTAAGTATGCTATCATCATAATTTTCGAATCTGTTATGACTCCTTATTGACATAATGAGCTAAAAGAATGAAAATGGTGAACATTATACAAAATAATATACTGTTCACACTGATGATTCATTATATAGAGGATGTTTAGATAATCTTCCAGTTCATTGAAAGCATTAATATTATCTCATTCTTTTCACAATTTCGTATAACATTTTTATTTCTTTGTTTAAAAAAAAACAGGATAGAAATTGGGAAATTATTGAAGTTAGTAGAAAAAAAGTTGATCAGTTTCGTCGTACATTACCACTGATCACAGATTTACGTAATTCAGCTATGCGTACAAGACATTGGGATAAAATTAAAGAAGAAATGAATACACAATTCAATGTAGATTCTGATGAATTTACATTAGAATGTATAGTAGAATTAGGATTTGAACAATATTCTGATTTAATTAGTGAAATATCCGGCGCAGCAACTAAAGAATTAGCTATTGAAAAAGCCCTTGATACAATGGAACGTTTTTGGCAAAATAATGAACTTGATATGATATCATACAAAGATAAAAGTATTTATAAGATTAGATCTACAGATGAAATATTTGAAGCATTGGAAGATAATCAAGTATGTGTATTCACTGATTGGTTATCTAATTATTTTTTATATCAGTAACTGATAGTGGTTTTATGTAAAGTTAGATTCTATCTATTGAAGTTTGTGTTTTATATGATGTGTAAACGTAAACAAGCGTCTAGTTAATTTATCTTAAACGTTTCTCATTTTTAAACAAATTAACTTTGACAAACCTGAACTGAAATGTAAAACAAAACATTTAAAGGATTAATATAACCAACAGTGATTGTGGATCATATTGTATTACTAGAATTGACTTGGAATGAAAATGTGGATCATTGAATTCTACCAAAATTGATAAAGTGAAAATTCACTGCAAGAATTAAAAAAATTAGGATTTGATTCTGTGTAGGTCAAAAGTTTAAAACTGGAAAAATAACGATTATCTGATTATTAATGATGATCATAATTGTTCAACAATTATTTGTACGTTGCACATTCATAAGGAGACTAATTTCAGGCTGTTCAAAATCTCCATAAACGCTGTTTTAAGGGTTAAAATTGTTCCCATTGTTTGAACAAACGTTTTTTTATAAATTATATTAAGGCATAGACACTTAAGCTCGCTGAGGCTACAACTGTCGTTAAACTATATCAATGAGCAGTATTCGTTGAATTAAAGGTGAAAGCAATTATCATAAACTGTTATTTAAATGCTTAATCCAATATAAAATCAATCTTTCAAGTGTTTGTATTTGGTAAATAATAACGTTGACTGAACTGTCTAAAAAACAGATTGTCTTAAAAGAAATACTGTAACTTTGAGTCAATATTCACGTTTTATTCTTTGAAATTTAGATAACCTTACTTTGTTTCTTTTTGTCTGATCTTTTCAAAAAGTTTTTAAACTTAACCCAATGATTTTCCTTAATTTTGACACTGAGAAATGTAGATACGGTAGATTGTATTTGTAAATCAAACAAACGTTACATAAAGTAACAGAGATTTACTTCATTTGTAGGTTATATTCACCATAGATTTACCACAACTAATGGTATCTTTGCATAACATAGAGAACTAGATTTCTGTTCTGTTTTAGTGTAAGATTACCCAAGAATGTGTACCTACGACCCCACAAGAACCGAAACCAGGGCCTTCGTGTCACTCACCAAATGCTTAATGTTTTTGAGGATGTTCGTTTGGTTTTAGTGAGACTTCATGACTGGTGAAGTACAGACATGTTGCAAGTGAAACGTTTATCACCAATAATACTTGGTGATAAATGCTCTACGTCGTAAATTGAGTGGTAGTAGAACTGTACTATTTGGTTCTTACATAATTGTTCCAATGATTAGGTATTCGACACGAATTCAAACGATCCTTGATAGGTTCATGTGCGTGAACTCCTGAGGAGTCCCATACTAATAAGAAACGACTACTTAGGACTCTCATGTCTTCAATGGTACTCTAACTGAGACCAATCTGTGACAAATACAATTTAGAAATTTTACTTTAATTGGTTCTAGAAAACACATTAACTATGGGTGTTCATTGCCTTAAGAGAACTCAAACTAGAACGAAACATTTGTTCAGTATTACCTGGTTTGTTGTGAAAATTACTTCCGAATCAAAATGTCATTACTTTTGTAAAATTAATGATCTGATACTTTTTCCAGGTTCAATTGTCAACAATGAAAACATCGCGATTTGTCAAACCATTTGAACATCTTGTTGATAATTGGGAACGTGTACTTTCATTAATTACAGAAACTATTGAAGCTTTATTAACTGTACAAAGGCAATATATGTATATGGAAACTATATTTCTTGGTGAAGATATTCGTAAACAATTACCAAAAGAATCTGTATCATTTGATATGATCAATATACAATGGCAATCGATCACAACATATTTATATGAAACACGTAATACAAGAACATGCGCAAGTAAACCAGGTTAGAATTTCGACTTAACCTGTCAGTGATTTAACTAATACTGAATAGTACATGCACTAAGATATACAACAATGAGTTGAATAGTATATTGAATTTATGATATACTATGTTGCTGATCTACAGATTCTCTTTCCTAAAATTACGGTAGGGTTGATCAACTATTGAACAATTCAAGTAAATTTATCCTATTCTGAACTTCGTATATTACCTTAAATTTATTCATATATATGAAGCTTAAGAGTTGATTTCCCAGACAGATAGACAAACACACTCTTAATATAGTGCCTGGTACGGTTATGCATTGGCCCAACTGATAATTGATTAGCACAACCACATGATTATAACAATAATGATAGAAATACTAAACCGTGGGACTATTATTTGACATGATACCTAAGAAGAGATATTGCAATTCAAGATTAAGAGGAAGATAAAGAATGAATGCATCTAGGTTACTATGAAAAATTCTAAGCCATGTCATCTAAAACATAATATTACTTCACAAAACCATTGGTTATTAATTCAAATTGTTATAAACTGTGATTGTTTCATCACAAATAATCCTTAATAGATTATAAATACTATATATTTGTTTTGGACTTAATTATAACTACAATCAGTGCCGAAGGTGCATTTACTTTTAGTCATACATCTACGACTTAGAAGGTTTGTTGTTTCTCTATTTTATTCATCTTTCCATCATTGTCACCTCTGCCAATTTTCTTGACCTCCGCTTTCTCTATGCTGTTCTGAAATGTCATATTGTAAATTAGAACGATATTGTACCAAATATTTCAAATCGCAATAAATTCCTTACTGGATATAGAAACACTGAGCATTACTACTATGTACTTAAATTAATTTGAAATTTCACAATAAAATTATTGTTAACTATTATTATTTTTATGCACAAAGAACGTCTAATTCCCACTCAAAGTACCAAAATAAAAACACGAAGTTCAGAGAAATGATATCTTTCCAGCAAATTTGTTATTAGGTTGTACAACCGTGTACGACGTGTTTCTATACACAGAGGTTGAGAATTTCAGAAATAATTTCACAAGTAAATATCATTGATATTATTTAGAGGCTTAAATGATTCTCCATTTTACCATAATATCGACCAGAAAGTATTATTTGATTCACAATGATGATGAGTTTTCATAGAGCATTGTAATCAGTTGATGAACCGTTGAAATTGGGATTCACTTGCATTGATAATCCCCATAAACAGACAAGATATTGATAGTTGCATTCATGAGTCAATTAAAGCTAGACCACCATGAAAACCTGGAAGTACTGGATGGCTATTTTTTCCTAGTGTGGGACTCCTCAACAGTACACATCCACAAACCTGCTTGCGGGATTCGAAACCAGGACCTTCAATCTGGCGTGCAGGCGCTTAACTTCTAAACCACTAAGTCGGCACCCAATGGTGTCTAACTTCAACCAATCTACGAAATGGCCGTCCAGTGCTTCCAGATTTTCCATGGTGATCTAGTTTTAGTTGACTCATGAATTCGACTATTAAAATTACTACGATCTCCACAAAACCCGTTTCTAATAATAAACAAGTTACTTTTTTTCTTTAAACATGAACTATTTTAAAACGTTCGTTTTTTGCTCCTTGTCTTTATGTAACTATTGATCGATTAACGTTTCGATCTCTTTGTAAGTGAGATTAATACTTATTATTTAATCATTTGAACTTCTGGTTTTAATCAAACCTGCACATATTTTGACAAGATCCAATTAAAAGGATAATTCAAATATGGTATTTATTCAATAAAAATAACTTTTATTCACTATTTCATTTCAATTGAATTTTATCCAACAATACATAAACGGGATAAGATAAAACAATCATTAATGTTGAATTTTCCAATTCAATATTATGATCCTTTTTTTATCAGGTTTATTGGATCAAATCAATAAACTTGTACAAAGTTTAGAAGAAATACAACAATCATTAGATATGTATTTAGAGACAAAACGTCAAATATTTCCTCGGTTCTATTTTATATCAAATGATGATTTACTCGAAGTATTAGGACAAGGTAGAAATCCCGAAGCTGTTATGCCACACCTGAAAAAATGTTTCGACAATATTACTCTCTTGAGATTAGAAAAGGTAAGTGAAAATAAACCAACCGCTATATAATCTGGTTTTCACAGTATTAGTTAGTTGTATATTATGGTGGCCATGTATCTCACTCCAGTTAAATATTATGCTGATTGTTATCGAAATATACATGCCCCCAATTCTTGTATGTTTTTATCAACCTAATTCGCGTCAGAGAATAACAGGATAAAATAAGCCAAATAGGAGAATGAATGTTGAATACGTATATTTCATACAATCATAGATCCAGACAGACAATCCGAGAAACGAAGGGATGTGCGGTGTAGAAGTCATGTGAGCCAACTCGTTTCGATCAAGCGTGACTCAATATTTATAGTCAGACCAAAAATAAATTACTGACACTTAATGAATCAAAAAAGCAATTAACAGACATGCGACCATAAAAAAAACAGTCCGGATTAACAAGCGAATAATCAAAACAAGGTGGGAATACGGCTTGAGAAGAATGAATAGATTGGTCTGTTTAAAGGCTACACAACCTATATGAGCTTGAAATAGTACCTGCCAACACAATATCTAATGGATGAAAAGAAGTGACCAACCTATATTTTATATTTTTCTGACTGATACTTATTTTTCCTCTCTAACATAACGGTGTTCATTATTGAGGATTTTTACTCAAAGACAATTGACTGCACAAAATCACGTTAAGTTAGATAACAGTGTAATTACATTCTGGTAACTTGATTGGATGAAGATGTCAGCACCACATTATTAGAATTCAGTGCAAATCACGACTACAGATTCGATGACTAGAAAGCTAAAGAAACTTTATAGAAGTCATATGAGTTGCTGAATAACCAAGTTCAAATTAACTAATAAGGATAGCAATTAGGCCAACTACTTTTAGTTGATTTAAAAGGTTTTAGCTTATTGTTGCCGACCACGGATTTCAGCTTTTCATAATCACATTCAGGTAGTTAGAATGATGAATAGATAGCTACTTGAGTGATAGTTCTAAAATATACAACTTGTTGTCTCGCTTACGTGGATTAATTCTGAACAGGCCTTAGTCAAGTGGTAATACAATTTAATAAACAAGTGACGAAGAAATTAGATCTGATCACGATTCACAAACAGAACACGTTAACTGAAGGAGAAGACAAAATAAACACAACTAGAACATGGATTCAGAATGAATTATTGATGTTGGCAGGAGAAAAGTCAATATCATGCAGATATTGATTTTAACCGTAAATATTCTTACAATCGTATATTGGCATCGTTTGTAGGAATGCGAATTTAATTTACCAGTCACTTTCTTTGAATTTTATTTTTATTTCTATTATTCAGACAAATTTTCTAGTATATAATGCCTTATCAATGTTTTCATTGGATGGTGAAGAAGTGCCATTCAAAAATAAAGTTCGCCTTGATGGTCCTGTAGAATCATGGTTAGGCGATATTGAAGAACAAATGTATAAAACATTAAAGGATATGTTAAGAGATTGTAGAATTGCTTTAAAGAAAGCAGCAAACAAGCGTGATAAATTTATTAAAGAATGGCCAGGGCAGTTATGTATTACATCAAGTCAAATTCAATGGACAGCTGATGTTACAAGAGCATTACAGTTGGTAAGAAATAATGTTGTTACTGTATTTATTTGAACCGTTTTGACTGGATTTTGGCAAATTTGGGTGTATATATGTAAATAGAGGCTAATCAATTGTATTCTACAATAATGACGGAGAGAAGATCCAAACCTTTCGATAAACTTTGATTGTATCCCTCCCTTTGAAACAGTTAGTCCCTTTGATATATTCGGCCAATGTGATGAGAAGATAAAGGTTATCAGAATTATGTGATATATTTTCTCAATACATTTCGAACAACCTAATCACATATACTTGTTGAGACATTATATATGAAAAATAAAAAGTCATCTAGATAAATTAATGGTTAAAAGGAAAGATGATAATAAAGTACACATAGACTGTGAAAACCACTTTGTATAATAAATTCGCATTATCAGGGAAGGTTAAGGGTTAGAAAAAACTGTTTTTGGATATATAAGGAGGTCTCATTTTTTGTATAGCCAAGACTTCAATAAACCTTAGTATGTGTCCTCGAAAGCTATCGTATAAAACTCCAAAGGATGACTTCATGCCAACTTTATGACCGGTCTCAACCAAATGTTTTGCACTGTAGGAAAATATTTGTCTATCTTGTGATCTTATTTCACCATTGGGATTCATTTGTTTTTACAACCATTTGGGTATGTGTTCAGCCACCTTTACATGCTTGACTTTTCGATAATGATGAGTTGGGCTGTATAAAATGTCTTATTGATAGCTAATTTAATCGTTTGTTTCAACATGAGATTTTGAGTCACTTCTCACTTGTAATGTAATGTAGACTCGCTTTTTGGGTACCAGAAGCGTCATATGTCTTATCATATTACTACCTTTCCAACAGTTTATAAACATCAATGAATAACGTTATTTATTAATGTTTCAGTTGAGAGCTTCGTGTCTCCTTCGATAGAATCGCTAGTACAAATACGATTGATTCTATTGAATAAGCCTTTTATTAATCCGTGTTTGTACTGGATTGGACAGAGACTATGGAAACAAAGATATTGCTCTGTCCATGTCGGCTTTCTATGCAAGTAAAGACTCCCCTACTAATTAGTATGTCTAGAAAAGGGAACTGATTATTCAGCTTTTCTTTGCATGTAAGAGAAATGGTTTTTAACTTGTGTTAAGTTCTTTTAACAAGCGGTCATATCTTCACGTTTGTCACCTATTTCTATGATGTCATCCACGTACCGCCGATACAAACACATCTTTTGAATTGAGTCTGCAACTAGATTTTCCACATACTTCATAAACAAATCAGCCAACAATGGTCATAAAAGACTTACCCTCGAAAATGAAATTCGCATTGTCAGTATGTAATAATAAATCGTTAAGTGTCTTTACTGGCCTTATTTACAATATCTTACTAATTAACCGTTGTCAACCTACCAAAGAAAACATGTTTCCTTGTTCATTTATTAAATAGGACATAGGTAATTCAGTGTTCCATAATATATGTTTATGAGTATTGTTGTGATTTTATATTGAACTTGGTAATGATAAATATGTTTCTAAAAATAATTTCTTCTATAAACAGGTATCAAATAGACAAGACAAAAGACCATTGAAATCATTAAAACATAAACAAAAGAATCTTTTAGAAAAATTTTCAGAAATAATACGTTCAAATTTAACAAAAATTCAACGTTTAAAAATTAATGCCCTCGCTGTTATTGAAGTTCATCAACGTGATATTATTGACAAACTTTATAAAATAGGCTGTAATGATATAAATGCTTTTGATTGGTTAAGTCAACTTCGATTTTATTGGGAAAAGGTAGGTTGAAATCAAGTTATTAACTTTTATCTACATTACTTACTTACGCCTGTTACTCCCAATGGATCATAGGCCGCCGACCAGCTTCTGGTTATCGTCTTTTAGCGAGTTAGTTTTCTACGGGATGGGGTCGCTAACCCCATGCCCAACCCTCCCCCTTTATCCGGGCTTGGGACCGGCAGAAGCCCCCGGAGGGACTCCAGGCGGAGTGTTAAAGGTTCAATTGATATATCATAAGAATTATAAATTATACTGATATTGTATAGTTATTTCTTTATCACATCTTTGTGATTATGAAAGAGATGACCGATTCAGCATTATGATAACTTTCTCTGCATACTAATATTTGTCTTTATGTTCAAAATGCGACAATATGCAGCATAAATGTTTGTTTATTGTGAGAAGTTACAAAGTATCTATATAATACATAAATTTCAGTCATATATTTGCATCTTTCGGTGTATTCTGTAGTCTGAACTGTCTTCTCCCCTGATCTTTAAGTGTTCACCCAACACCGTGCTTTGGATGCACTGAAACGCTTTACTCCGTCAGACAACTGTTGTAACTCCTACGTCACTTTCCGCTACCCATCGCCTACAAACAGTCTAGTGATTAGCGTCCAATACACTTAGCTCATCATAATGTTTTAATATTTCAACTGATTGCTGAGCTGTTGAGCTCTCTAAACCAATCATGTTTTCAACAAATTTATAAGTTAGATTAAAGGGTATGAAATTTCAAACATCTTATTATGAAAATGTAGTAATTAAAGGATTGTTAATTGTGTTTGTAATTTTTTAAAGACAATTCATTTATAACCTGATTCAATGAACGTTCAAAAATTTTATCTATCGGATCTTAATGTAATCAGTCGTTCGTGTGATGGTCACTTAGGGGTTCAAAGGTTCCAAACATAATTATGGAAGATCAGTCCGTCAGCTAGAACGTAGAACCAAGCACATATGTGCATCGGTCCAAGTTGTCATACTTCATTAGCACAACAAGATGAACACCGGATTCATAAAAGTGGTTAATTCAGTGGCGGTAATATATAAAAGAAAGATTGCATATAAGGACATAGTACAGGAAGAAGGATTTAGTTTGTAGAAAGAAAGATATGAAGCGATCTTAATCTCACAGTTTAAGGGAAGACCCTAAATTATAGAAGATATTTAGGGTTTAAGCTATTAAATAGAAGTAAACTAACATTATAAACTTTTTCAGTATTCTATAGCTTTCAGTAGTTATCCAAGCACCGTCAGTGTAACACGACCATAGGATATTTCAACAAGTTATCTACTTTTGCTTGTTTAAACACATCATTATGCTGATTGATCGCACAACCTATGAAGGTGCTTTTATGAAAAGTTTACAACGTTCCGTTGTACAATTTACAAAAAAGATATCATTTTTGTTGGCAATATGCATCTAAAAGAATGTACATTATTCAGATGTCGATTCATAGACTGCTAACTTCTAACTGGCGACCACTCAACATATGTTGTCAGAACCGACCACGAAGTAAGAAATGGAAACTTGTTGAAATACTTTGTGCTGAGAATTCAATATTTTACCAAAAATATAATAATAAATAAAGCTAATAATAATAACGAATCATACATTCAGTTTGATTGTGAAATATAGTCCAGAATAATTAATTTCGAAAGCTAAACAATCCCACTTTGAACAGCAACTAAAAACATAAGCCATTGAGGTTAGGTTTTTTATTATTTGTCCTGAAATTTTGATCACATTACTGAGGTACGAAATAAATGAACTTTAAAACATCCATTTTCATTTGTGACTCTCCACTGGAGGTTTGGAAGCACGTCGTTTTATTGGTCAAAAAGTGCACGAGACGAAGATTGTGTGTAAGGGTTGAGTCGAACAAATTTCATGTTGTTCCTCAAGAAAAATCCATTAGCTCTTTTACTGTGGTTGTCGAGAGATTAATAAGCCATGGAAATCTCCACGTTCCTAAATCTTCCATTAGAACATTAGAAGGTCGAATAAATGATTGGAAACATTGTTTTACTGTTTAAGCTTATATCTCTTGATACTATAAAAGTTAGTTATATGGTCACAACGTTTCACACATGACAAATCAAAGTTGATACAAAACTAGCTGAGTAGTAGACTTCTTGTTATTTGTTTATAGTTAATGAAGATTGAAAGATATAACAGTAATTAGTGGGCCTAAAGATAGTTTACAGTCAATATTGTATAAAATGCTATATATGAAATACTCAATGAAAATCTCGACTAATTCACTAAGCAATAGCTATCCAAGTTCTATACTTCCATGTCCTCATCTCTTATCAAACATGTGAATATTATATTGTTAGTGATGATTACTCTTAAAAAAAAGTAGGTATGCTCACCACTTCAGTGAAATATGCCACTGTGTTGTTTAACTTTTGTAAGATTTGTTTCTGTGTAAAATTATTTAACCTGATGCTTACACGTAAGTACACTTTGTAAATACTTTATTCATATGAAAGCCAAAGTTAAAACACGCTCTAAAAATAATCCACCAATTACCAGGACATAATAGTAACCAGTTATCCAGAAACAAAACATCAAACACGCTAAAACAGTATCATTATAATATGAAATGATTAGCTGCTACAAATAAGAAAAACGACACACATCTCGACTTATAATTCATTAATGTGGTAAAACCATACAGCACAAATTTAAGCAGTATTAGACTATAGAGTTTAATCATACCTATTTATATCTGTGACATATAATCAACATTCCTTATTGAAATTAAGATGGTGGTTGGAGGTAGCCAACAGGAAACCCTGGACCCCGGGTTTCCTGTTGACTACCTCCAACTACCGTCTAAAATCTCAATACATAGTGCCGGCAGTGTCGAGTCACCTAGACTGGTGGCCACATTGCAACATGATCGATAGCATTCGCGCCGCACTAATAAGGACTAGACAAGCATGACATTGATCACCACCCAGTGATCAATCAATTGTGACAACATTCCTTATATTACACTAAAAGAAATAATGCTGAGTGCTTTCTTTTAGATTAGCAACTTTAGAACATTAGTTCATTTTAACACAATTATCACTCATTAGTTAATACGATTGTTAAGAGAATATTATTAAATTATAAACATCTTACTTGTGTATTCATTTATTTCTGATAAAAAATGACTAAACAAATTTATATTTATCAGAAGGGGTTTTTGTAGATATTATAGTAATTTTAGTAGTTGAGATCATGGACAGCCGTTTCTTCATATTGTGGAACTCCTCAGCAGTGTGCATCCACGATCCCGCCTCGCGAGATTTGAATCTCGCGCTTCCAGGTTTTCAATGGTCGTTCAACTTCAATTGACTGATGACCCCAACTACTGAAATTTATTTTTAATAAACCTTAAAATGAATTTCATTTGTTGCAAAACGTTTGCCTAGTTTTCCAGAAGATGATTAGTGCTCAGTTTTTATAGAAACATACATACGAATACACTTATAAACTATTGAAATTTTTTAGTTCCTATGACATTAAATTTATTTGTACACTTATTTTTACTATTTTTACGATTTTTTTATATTTTACATTAGGAAGCAGATGACTGTTTTGTTCGACAAACAAATACATCTTTTCGTTATGGTTATGAATATTTAGGCAATTCTGGACGACTAGTTATTACACCTCTTACTGATCGTTGTTACATAACACTGACAACTGCATTACATTTACACAGAGGTGGTTCGCCTAAAGGACCTGCTGGAACTGGTAAAACAGAAACAACTAAAGATTTAGGCAAATCGCTTGGGGATTATGTAATTGTTGTTAATTGTTCAGAAGGTTTAGATTATAAGTCTATGGGTCGTATGTTTGCAGGTTTAGCTCAAACTGGTGCATGGGGATGTTTCGATGAATTCAATCGGTGAGTTGGTACTGTAATCTATCAAACTCTTAACAAAATGAAAGCTCCAATTTGGTAGACTGAGATCAAACGTAGTTAGTGTTTTGTCACATTTGTTTGATAATAACGCGAAACATAGGACTAAAGAACGTAGAGCAACTTATTATATCGCGCCACATTTTTTCAACTTTAGTTTGAAGGTCAGATATAGAGATTTGAGTCATCTTTCGTATTTGTGTTCAAAAAGAGCTCATGTTTTCTTTACGATTGTAACTAGGAGAAATTTGGTGAACAGTTTATGTCACTTTTCTTACAATTTTGCTTCACCATTTTCATAATTACTAATTAATACTCATATACTCTACCTAACTTAATAAATATTATCTTAACAAGTTTCTTTTTCCTATAACATGGTACCTATTAAAAGTGTTGAATTACTAACTCATTTTATTGTGTTGTCTTCGTTATCGTTATCACTACAGCATCTGACTTCCTAATATTAAAGTTGGTAATGGTTAATAGTCACGTAATACACTTCGTTATAATACCTTCATTCACAAATCATCCTGATTGCTTCAATATTTTGTATATAGGTGTATGAATCTAAATCTATGTTAAAGCCTGAGATGAGAATCAAAACAACATAGTTCACATTATTTCATATAACGTGTGCTCGTTAGTTGTGTGTGTGCTGCTTATGTTGACAGATATGATTAGTTTGTGACAACAATCGGAAGTGAAATGCCTTCCAGCAGAAGATTAAGACGATTGAATTGTAAAGAACAGGTAAGGAAATAGAAGGCAGTTGTATTGACAATAGAATTGAAAGAACAACTCGAGGAATATATGCAGATAATGTATTTAATGTATGGCTTTCAAATTTTAAGGAGGCACTCCGTAATTTTGGATTCCACAATAAAATGATATTTCCCAACTGAGTTCCTGTTCACAACATCGTAATTTATTCCAAGAAGAATTCTGGTTAGCAATCTTGACTGTTCGATAGCGACTATGTCAATGATAAGACAGGTATCAACGAAGCCAAAATATAATGGTCGCGCAATATCGTAAACTGAATGAGTTGTAAATGATCTGCACTGAATGCCAATAAAATTATACAGATCAAGCAGTTGCCGCGAAGCCTAAAGACCTCGGTACAGATTATCGATTAGGTTTATGGTGCGCAGTATAGAATAAAACACAAAATAAGACGAAATACCTGATCGACGCAATTTGGCTATCAATGGTTGTTTAACTAAAGTTGTTCCATGATATAAAGTAACTTCAAATTATGTATACTTATATTCTTAACCAAATCAAGGTAAGACAGTTAACAGTCCTTCTACCATACCGAATTAGTTTTATTTGTGTTAACGTCAAATAAGTACATCATTATTTTAAGTGTGTACATAACTAAATCTTTCATTATTTAATCTATTCTGACAGTATAAATATAGAAGTATTATCAGTCGTAGCGCAACAAATACTATCAATTCTATCTGCATTAGCGGCAGCTGATCAATCAGACTATCAAAATACTAAAACAAGATTTATGTTTGAAGGTCGAATGATTCAGTTAGTATGGTCATGCGGTATATTTATTACAATGAATCCTGGTTATGCTGGACGTACAGAATTACCAGATAATTTAAAATCTATGTTTAGACCAATTGCAATGGTGGTACCAGACTCATCAATGATAGCAGAAATTACATTATTTGCCGAAGGTTTTAGTTCCACAAAGGTAGTGCTACAATGAAGTATAATTTTTTTTCTTTGACGTAATAATTATATGAAGATTTTGGTTTTAATATCAATTAACACAACAAATATTCCAGTTCATGGCGATTCTTTTCAACATCTTAACAATTTTAACAAACGTGAACAACATGAGTATACTAAGTGAAAATCATGCAGTGCACTTTGTATGATGAATAATAAATAACTGGATCATTAAACGTACTAGAAATTATTGGATAAATGAGAGGCTAAAGGTCAATTAAATTAATTCGTTGTTGTAAAATCAATTTTGGGCAGTTCATCTTATTTGACCAGAAAATCATTGTCACTCTTAAAATAGTTCGATTTGCTTACGCACAAAAAAAGATATATTCGAACAATTCGTTCGGAAACATCATTGACACAAGGATACTGTGAGAATAAAAGTTGTTCGGTACACAATTTCATATGTTTTTATTCATTTCATCAGTATCAGTGTGGATCCAACTTCATCAAAGATCATTTGGATCCGGTGCTAACCAAATGTGTAATATACTAGATGTACAAAATCGGGCGTTCTTCTAAATAAAATGATAGAATCCTCTAATATATAAAGGAATATATTGAGATTATGTTTCCTGTTAGTTTATAGACGTTGAAGCAACTAGATATTACGTTGGTTGTAATAAAAGATTTATCTTTTGCAAAAGACGACCGATGCTCAAAAACATAGATCAGGCTATTTTTGTCACAATTTATTAATGTTACTTTAGGAATCCAATCGATTTTATCTACCAAGAAACATCATTTGTTTGGTAAATGGTCTTGGTAAATTCAGCATCTAAATTCAACTTTCTTTACAAAGTAAAATCAACTACCTAAATACTGTAAATTAAGATAAACCTGATAGTCAGTTGTACTATTTAATCACCCTACCCTATACCATGTGTAGTCGTCGGTACGAAATAACTATTCGGTAACATCTTTTAACTGGTTCTTTAATCAATTTCAGCTGACAGAAAACCATTTTCAACATATAATGTAAAACTCATACTCATAAGGGTTTGTATCATTTAATCTTTGATAAGTGTGTACAAATTTAGGTCACATTGTAAGAATGATCAAAAGTTAGTTTCAATTATCGACAATGAGACAAGCCAAACCAATAACAATTATCGATAAAATTTCTGGAAAGTGCTAGGAAAGCCAGAAATTATCTTGGATTTTCTTTAGGTAATGTTTTGTAGTTTTGTTAAGTAAGCAAATCCTTGATAACTTTAAGCTCACCGTATCACATTGGCCTTGACCACCATGGTGATGGTTACTTTTTTAATGTTCGTTGTTTTGTTACATGATCTGAAGGTTCTAACTATTACTATGTAAGCATTACTGTTACTTTTTCGAATAGAAAGGTTCTCTTATAAAAACTTCCTTCTCTCATTCCTTATAGAGATTGGGGTTAAATTACGGTTGAATTGATACAAAGTAGGAACAACTAAGAGACGAGAGTAAAAACGGGAAATTTCATTTGAGTTTCAATAGGCTAGGAGTAAGGCTTAAGTACAATTTAATATTTAACTGGACCAAGTAGCTTAGTAGATCATGCGTTGGCGTTTCAAGTGGCATATACCGGATGGGAGTTTCGGGGTGATCAACATCAACGGAATTCGTGGACATCCAGGTGTCAAGTCTCGAGTGGAATGAAATCTGCGTCATCGATACCACTCCCCGCTACAGCCGAGATATAATATAAACTAATTGAATAAGTGAAATCTCTAACTTTTTATCTTGGTAATTAATTAGAGTATTTCTTTTACTTGCAGATTTTAGCCAAGAAAGTATTTACACTGTATAATTTAACTGTACAACAATTAAGTAAACAAGATCATTATGATTTTGGTCTACGCGCACTAGTATCTGTACTACGTTATGCTGGTAAGAAGAAACGTGCCAATCCAAATATGTCAGATGAAGAATTGTTATTATTATCATTGAATGACATGAATCTAGCTAAGCTTACTTCAGTGGATTTACCATTATTTGAAGGTATTATTACTGATTTATTCCCAAGTATTGAACCACCTACAATCGATTATTCAAAGGTACGTCATTGTGTAGAAACATTATAAGAATTATGAAAAGTACTTTAACATTATTTGCATGTCATTTACTTAGTTAAAATAAGCTAGACAATATTTTTTTATCATACCAAATTTACTGAAATTTTCTAAATACATTTTTGCTTATAAAGATTAGAAGCGAATATGAACCAGCTCAAAAGCGGAAACATATGATAACACACGAACCCATATTAGTGTAAGACTAATCAAAATTTTAAGTGTGATAGTATTCTTTTGAAATGGTATAATACGGTTTTAAGAATAATTATTACACATACATGCTTTTGCTGCCTATTCTGAACAGCTGTACCGATTTCCCACAAGCTCCCCAACAAGAACGAGAAGACCGGCTTAGTGTTTTCTTCGTCATTGTATGAAGCCCTCCTAAATAACTATGGAAATGAATAACTTAGTATTAAATCAGAATTTGCTTCGGTTGTTGAATTCGTTCATATCTTTCCCAAGGTTAGGATATTAAACATAAGTACTTAAAAATGTCTTGCTTCTCATAGAGTTAAACCACTTAAATCACTACACTCATTACTTTCGAAAACAATCAACTTAGTTATAAATATGTTCTAAGATTATGTAATTCACATAATATATCATGGTACTTTCATGTACATGAACCATAATTATTATGTTAAATCATTTTCATAGATTAAAAATGCTCTGCAAGAAGAATGTAATAAAATCAATCTGCGTATGACACCGTTTACACTAACCAAAGTTATACAACTGTATGAAACCAAAAGTTCGAGACATTCAGTTATGATAGTTGGCAAAGCATTATCAGGGAAATCTACAACATGGCGCCTACTTAAAGCAGTCCACAATTCATTGGCCAAAGTACCTAACTCTGACTTTGAAATGGTTACAGAATATTCATTAAATCCTAAATCCTTATCTTTAGGAGAATTATATGGAGAATTTAATTTATCAACAAATGAATGGACAGACGGTGTACTTTCAAGTATTATGCGACAAACGTGTTCAGGTAAACTGTCATGTTTATCCATGATAACGTTAGGATTGTACGTCTGTTAACTTATGAATACTTTTCTATTGTAAAAGATATTTACTACTTTAGTGAAGCAGTAAAAGAATAATAGTGAATGGTAGTTAATTGTAGGACTCTTTTTACCCAGGTTATTTCTTTATCAAATAGCATATGTAGTCATCGGTACATATGTTTTTCTCTTCTAATCGTTTTAATCACATTAATACTTTTTTATTCAATGATACTAAATACTCAGCAAGTAATTTATGTTCATGCAGGTTATCTATATCACAACCTCAAGTATTTAGTATGGTACGTTATTTGTTCATGTATAATTTTTGAACTAAAACTACAACATCATTCTATTACACCGATTACAGACCATTTTCACAACTTTCCTTGCACTTCGCAAAACCCATTTGCTGTCTCAGTTCAAAACTGTTGACTGAAAACATTCATAGGAAACAAAGTGTGATCTGATGAAACACAATTAACAACTGATCCTTATCATTCAATTGACTAATCAGTAGTACTCGACTAAAGATAACAACTCAGTGATCAGTTAATGTAAATATCTCATTCTAACAGGAGATCACATATGATCAAAACAGCTTGGTAGTAACGTTTTTCTGTGACTGAATAATGTGGTTTTAAATGCAAAATGAGAACATCAGTTCCCTTAAGATTGCAGATATACCTCATTGAGTAGTGTCAACTAGTACAAGGTCTAGGTGAAGGACTTTATTTTGGTTGCTTTCAAGCACTCAACACTAAAGATGAGGTTAATTTACTATGAAGAACTAAATTTTCCGTAGTTATGTTGATAATACTTGTTTTATGACTTAAAAATACTCTTCAATATTTAATATTATTCACTGGTCTAGGGTGAATGACAAAGAGATTCTATCGACTACCAATTTATGCAAATAAATTACAATCAATTCACACTGGTATTTTTTGTTTGTCTAACATAAATTTACAAACGTTTTTAATCATTACAGATGGGTCGCCAACATTAAAATGGATAATATTCGATGGACCAGTAGACACGTTATGGATTGAAAGCATGAACAGTGTTATGGACGATAATAAAATCTTAACATTGATCAATGGAGAAAGAATTTCAATGCCTGAACAAGTAAGTTGTACTTTATTATTTGTGGTTATTTTTGAAATACGTCACTGGAAATAAACTTTTCAAACTTCACTTTGAATTGAGCATTACGACTGCAGTTGTCTTATTTGATCCTGATGACAATTATCTGTAAAATGTGTTTATCAGGATGGAAAAATTAATTTTAAATCCATAGTTAAGTCCTAAATGATTTCCTGAGGAGACTAAATTAAAAAAAGCTGATATAGCGAGGTCCGCGTTGCCAAAATGAGTATTTTCTAATTTAATGGTTGAGTTCATGAATCAGTTAAACCTAGACCACCATGGAAAATCTGGAAGCAATGGGCGGCCGTTCCGTCCTAATATGGGACTTCTCAACAGTGCACATCTACGATCCCGCTCTCGTGATTCAAACCCAGGACCTTTGGTTTCGCGCGCGAGCGCTTTACCTCTAACCCACTGAGTCAGCATCCAACGGTGTTAATGTCTAGCTTCTAATTATTTAGTGGTTCCCACCACAATTTATTTTATATTCTGATTCACCATTTTGAATAACACCTTCCACATATACAAAAGCCTACTCGGAAAAGCTTTGTTGCTTTATAATTAACTATAGGATTCTTCACCTTATCTCAAGTTGATGTATATGTTTGATGTCTAATATTTCACTATATTTCTATGTTCAGTATTCAATTTTCCCTTCATTTGTAGAGTAAGTGTTTTTACTTAAAACAGTTCGATTACTAAATTTTACCTAACATTTTCAACGCATTCAAAAAATTACAGAGATAATTATATCCCTTATGCTGCTTTGTATGATAAGTTCTAATCAATCTTTTTATTCATCGCATTAAGAATTCATTCATTGGCGTACATTCAAATATACATATGTATATTAGCATGAAAATACAACTCATGTTGTAATTGTTTTATTTAGATATGACTTAATAATTTAAGAGCTTCATTAATGGTAAACTACGTCGACGGTTTAAAACCTTATCGTATGCAGATCATCTTTTATAACTTGTGGCCTCGTACCCTATTAATATATGATGTAATAATACCGCCGATTAGAGAACAGTGATTTATCGACCGGATAAATGACGCGCGAACCCGTATGAGCAGTTCAGAGTCTTAACCAGTCCTTCTTTCTACCTAACACTGCCTGTTAAGTCCAGAACACAAATCTCAGCCTACGCGATATGAATCATTTATTTCAAGCATACTGGGTTTATATACCAACCAGACAGACCACATCGTACCATAAAACGGAAAATAACAGTTGTTCAAGATTTAGCCAAATGTGGCTATGAATAAGGGAGGTAGTAATTAATAAACAGGGAATAATTCAAGAATGGTAAATCTTATAATAATAGTTTATGAGTCAAAATAAAGCTTATAATAAGAGGAACATGAATATCCATAGTTTAGTTACGTAACAGTGATACAATAAAAAAATATATATATCGTAGTTCTCAAGAGTTACCATTGATAATTCTTGTCGGGATGTAACATCATCACCGACGTTCAAGTATTAGGTATGATTAAAAAATGCTTAGATTTGTGTTTGGTTATTGATCTGAATTCTTATGAACTTATGAACTAATTCTTGTTTTTCACTTTTTTTATACATAGGTCTCACTACTTTTTGAAGTGGAAGATTTATCTGTAGCATCTCCCGCGACTGTATCACGTTGTGGTATGGTTTACAATGATGTAAATGATTTAGGCTGGTGGCCGTATGTTGAATCATGGTTGTCGAAAAAGACAAATAAGGTATTAGTTGAAGAAACAAAACGTTTCTTCACTAAATACATTGACAATTTATATGAATATATCAGACTGAACTGCAATATTATCATTCCAATGAGTTTAACTAATACAATTATTTCGTTATGTAAATTATATGATAGTTTGGCGACTCCTGAAGTATGGGTAAGTACTAAATCAAAATAACAACAGATTATGTTTATGCTTAGAAATGTTTTTTTTGTCAGAAGTCATCAGTTGGTTGAAAAAAAATATGGTTGCAACATTCATGCGGGAATTTTAATCTAATAATCGAATCAACTTAAATATTATGAAACAAACTATATTGGTCTGACAGTATGACATTATCATATACAACGGAGTATATGGGATTTGTCACAACCTTCGGATCTGTGATATCGGTTGATGCTCACTCGCGAATTCCATAAGTTCTAAAAGACGTTGAGGTTGATCTAACTTAGTTGACCAACAGAATTTTAGCAATCTGATGATGCACTTGCTTAATGATGCAGTATAAATGAAAACTAAGAAATTTAGTTGGAATCAAAAGTGGATTGTTTAAAGAACCATCTAACTGTTTGAAACATGGATACGCATATAACCATCTGTAATTAACTTGCGAATTCCTAGCCACATATAAATAATAATTTAACTCACATTACATTTTATGTATCTGATAAGTCTTGCTAATTGAACACTATGTTCGGTTCCTAAGCTATTCTCGTAACCCCCAAGCTAGAACTACACAGCGATCTGAACACGAGAGAAAAGGTGTAAGTACGCGCGAAGTACTTTACTCCAAAGGTTCGTTTTAGTACAGAAAATATAGGGTTTTTATAGTATTTCAGATGTCCTTGGGTTTCCCAAAAATTCTGGAATGATACTAAACATAATAGCAGTACAGTAATCAGCCAATCAGAAACTCTACATGTGACTTTTCACTTTTTTGATGTTTCTGGCTAAACTTCAAGTGAACACTGATTGGATAAAATGCTTCTTAGTGTTTCTTGAGCCTTTTTTGTCTTTTGCGAGAAGTTTTCTGGATCACCGCAACAGTATCGCATTCATTTTCTTAAGGTTAAAGATATGATTTAACAACACTGAGTGGTGCATATTGGAACTAAATATGATCTGAATATTTTCAAGATATAGTGTTACTGAGTTATAATGCTACTACTATATAGGCGAAACATGCATTGCATTACATTATCTGCATCTTTGAATTTAAGTCTGGAATTATCCCGGTTAACTTCCAACATAATTCTGCCGGTTCCGCAAAAGCCACCCATTTCATGATGATTTACGAATTCCGCATATAAGCCAAATTATTTGGTGCATTAGAACCATCATACCTCATGGACCTTGAATGAGGGCCAAACATTTTTATGCATACAGATAAAACCAAACAGTTACACGAGATGCGAATTAAGATCTAAGTAAGGAATTAAATCATAAAATCCGCATAAAACTGTCAGAACCTCACTTTTCATTCCAAGATGATTATCTCCTATGACCCACCAAAGATCATGTGACAAAAATCACCTCTCAGAATACCGACTTCGATGGTCTCGTCCCTGTGATAAACCAATTGTTTGTTAACACGCGCAAGCAGCCTTGAGTCAACTCTTAGTCCTTATTGATCTTTTGCATGGTAACTTCTTGCCCAACCCAGCTCGCTAAGTTGAGATCACTAATACCAACCTTCATTGCATGAATGGTATATTTCAAGACATACGTGTTTTATACACAGTCAAACTAGACCGCATCACACCATAAAATAATTATCTAATAAGAATATATGTAGTAACAGTCCATAAATAATTCCTAGCAGTTACCGTTCATTTATTATTCGTTCGGATATAACAGATTTTAACAGTTTAAACAAAAAAACTTAAATTGTATTAAGGTTTAAACTACCGTTTTCTAGAATTCCAGTCAGGATATTTATGGATTTAAACATGAAACCAAGCTACGCAGTGGTTACCAATTTCCAATAATCCACTACTATTTCTTACTTCATAAAGCTAAACATCGATTCAGATCTTTTATTCAAATTAAAACCAAGAAAAAATGAATTATTGAAACTAGACTGAAACAGCTATTTAAAGGCTCTCAATCCGATATCAGTCCATAGAAATTATTTGCGGTTCATTTAAGTCTCCATCAGTTACCTAACTGATTTGTATTCTACATGCCACTGAGGATAGTCCTTTATAGTTAGTAGTTTTATTTGTTGCTAATTTGAAACACATTAAAACCGTTAGTCATATTTCATAATAAGTTTCGGATTACATAAACGAAATTTACACTAGTACTTCTTATTATTACACTGTTAATATTCTTAATATTACAGCAATACAGAGATGTTCATCTTTATTGAACGAACGCTGATTGGTTTTTTATTGATGCAAAATATAAATTCAAAAAATGAAATTGTTTTGTATTCATTGTCAGCTAAGTGAACATTTGATAGTTCAAAGGTCTAGTTATACACCCTTGATGTGAATCTTCATCAATAACTTATCCAAGCTTTTGATTTTGATAGTCATTTCATCATAATGAAAAATTAATATTACGAGGTATTTTGTTCATTTACATAAAAACGCATTACCTTTATTTACATCTCTTACGTCATTCTACCTTTTATTACCACTCGAAATATTCTAGGCAAATCCTGCAGATGTAGACTATTATCCGCGTTTATTGGAAATGACGTTTCAATTTTGTTTGATATGGTCTGTTGCATGTCTAGTTGATGAGGATGGTCGTAAAAAAGTTGATGCATATATCCGTGAAATTGAAGGAAGTTTTCCAAATAAAGATTCAATCTATGAATATTATGTAGATCCTAAATCAAGATCATGGATTCACTGGGAGGAGAAATTAAATACTGGATGGAAATATTCACCGAAGTATGTTACTTTGTTTCTTTTCTAATAATTCTGTTGATTTGTATCTAATCTCTTGTGATCAACTACTGAATTGATCACTTAAGCCATTTGTTTCTTTTCATGTAACTTTTCTTGCAAGTATACAAATCAGCATTAAAATGTTTCATAAATTTTTTGAGTCTACCAGTGATAACTAATGGATTATAATTTGAATATAGCTGTAGTCTGAAGGAAGGACAAACTAATTACAGATATCTAAAACTTGGTTTACATATCAAACGCACTTTTTATATGCTATTTACATACAAGTTCAAGTAAATTCTTTGTAGAATAGCAGTGAAAATGTTTATCATTACATCAAAAGATTACTTCGTAAATATTATCAAGACTCTATATAGCGCCTTAATTTGTAACGATTTGCATTATACAGTTGTTGATATTTTGACTGAACTTTTATCAGCCTTAGTTTCATAATGACTTTATCTAGATCAGCATAGGATGACAATATACTATGACTGATCAAATGTTAGTATGATTTCGGTGGATTCAGTAACTAAATGGATAACGCGTTGAGATTTGAAACAAACGGTGCCGGGGTTCTGAACATAAGCTCTGGGATGTAGGTATATGCAGCTGAAGAGTTCCGAATCGGAAAAAGCACGCGTCCTGGATTCCACTGCTAAGCACATTTCATCTATTCTTTGTTCACACGCTACCGCTTCGAGACAATCAATCATGTAGGTTGAATTCTTCCGCAAAGATTTTCTACTTAAGTGATAGAATTACTGGTTCCTCAAATATTTTTAAATTATCCGTAAAATACTTATGTATACCTGCCCAAACAGAATATTCCAGTGTTGCATTCGTTTATGATTAGAAATTTACTTAAAAATACCATATGTAAATCATTAACCGTAATCGAAAAAAGGTGGAAATTCAGTTTTTCAACTTTAGATACAGAACAATATGGCTAAACTCAAAATGATACACTGGAAGGGCAAATAGTCGTTTTAAATTGGTTTAAAACAATTGATGGTGAAATGAATTTTGTTGAAACTGACTTTCAGAGAACTCTAAACTAATGCATATATTATGAAAGAAAAAAATATATTATCTTACCGTTATCTTAGTGATCTTATATTAAATTTCCCTGTCATAATTTTCTTTTTACTCTACAGTTTTTTTCTACTTCGTCAAACTAACACCTACTTTAAGGCCTAGTTTCAGCATATCTTGTTAAGTAGCTTACAATGACAATGTTCTAGTTCTCTATATTTCCTGTTTCTATTCTTTGTTCATTTTGCTTTCTGTTTTAAGGAATAGTTATCTATAGTTTTGCTTAGAAGCAAGCATACTAAAAATCCTTTGTTGTAACAACTTTCTACCTTCGTCAGTAGTGATTATCTTAGAATATATAACTGCTTATTCTTGTCACTATGTTCTATTGCCTCGATGAGTTCTGTAGACAAGTGAGAAAATTAAATCCAACACAGTTTTATTCTAATTCATTAATTCTTTTCTACCTAATCAAATTGCAAAATTTTTTTTATTTGAATCTATGGATTATTGAAGTGTGCGGATAAGTAGTTCCAGTATGAGATGAAACGTACGTACATTGTTTATCATAATTCTTTTTGACATATCAACTGCTAGTTTTATGGCATAAAATCCACTTTTATGTATGTTTTTTATTCCCTTACAATTTTTTTTTACCAATAATAGAACCTGACTACCATCATTAATCATTTGCTTTATAATTTACTTTCAGTGTACCATTTCATAAAATACTAGTACCAACTGCAGATACAATTCGGTATAATTTTCTCCTGGATTGCACAGTTAAACAAAAATATCCTGCTCTACTAGTTGGTTCTGTTGGGACTGGAAAAACATCATTAGCTTTGGATTTATTAAGGAATTTAGATTCAACACAATGGATTAATCTAATAATTAATATGTCTTCACAAGTTGGTGGCAATTTCATATGAATTTTCATTTACATTATGTATATGATTTCTACTTTCCTAATTTCATTATTATTATTGTTATTATTAATATGTTATTAAACTAATAGTTACCAATAATGAAATCTTTTTTTGACGTTGACATTCGACTAGTAATATATTCCTGCAGAGGACGTTTTAGTAAACCGTAGCAACGTTTGATTTCGCATGATGTATGTGGTTCATATCATTGTATCCGATTAAAATATTTCGAATGACATTAGTGTAATTTGACAACTCACAATTAATCATATTGTCATCGAAAAAAGTGCACACTCAAGTTCATTTATAAATACGATCTCTATTTTCCTTAAACGAAAGATTATGGAGTTTCACTTATTTGTATAGCATAACACAAAACAAGAAACGTTTTTTTTAAATAACTATACTATGGCAATTACCAAGGTATATTTATTTTATAATTTTGAGTCACATTGTTGAGACTTTGCCCGTTAGTTTAGACTTACAATTGCTTTCATCTCTTCGGCCTATTATTGAATGCACTCGAGTGTATGATAGACCAACTCAGTTAAATCTATATTAAGAGCTGTATGATAATAGGTGTTATAGTGTCGCAACATAAAAAGTAATGTGAACATGATCTCACAAAAGATGATATGTGCACTATAGTAATTTTCTTCTCTTATATAGACAACATCAAACAATGTTCAAGATATTATTGAAGGACGAGTAGAGAAACGTACAAAAGATACATTTGTACCTGTTGGAGGTGGTAAAATGCTTACATTTATGGATGATTTTAATATGCCTGCTAAAGATAGCTCTGGTTCTCAACCACCTCTTGAATTAATTCGTCAATGGTTAGAATATGGATTTTGGTATGATCGTGCAAAACAAACTAGAAAGAAAATAAAAGGTATGCAACTTTTTGCAGCAATGGGTATACCGGGTGGTGGAAGAATGATATTATCTCAACGATTACAAGCCCATTTTCATCAAATTGTTGTCACATTTCCAACGGTACGAATTTTGTTTTGGAATTAAAAGTTATCATTATACTTTTTCTAAAACTTGAAGAGAGTTTTGTTTACACTTTTATGTTGGAATTAGATGAAGATTTTGTTAACAGGCTATTTTAAATTTGATCCATGCAACATTCAGTATTTTGATTGTTTTCCTTGTGTGCATCTCCATTGTATCATGATATTATTATCTAAACATCCACCAATACTTCATAAAGGTAATCAACTACTTTTGTCCATATATAATGTATCGATAATTTTTGACACTATGTTAACACAGGCTGAGAATGTTTTAGAAATAAAATCGTTTTAATTTTCATAATGCCAGTAAAACTTTTGAGTTACTAAATTTCATGTGCGTGTAGTTTGATCAGTTTCAGTCCCAGTTTTTTTTATAACCATTAACTTTTAGCGAAGTCGATGGACTATTATAAACAGCTTTTACTTGTCGATCCCCACGAAACCATAAAACTTGAAAAGGTTGCATCATTATTACTTTACGACATCTAAAATTAGTAATAATTATCCTTTCATTATTCGTCAATCTTGTGAATAGGACTTATAAAAAAACACAATCAAATATATAATATCAGTAGCGTTTACTCTGAATAAGGATGAATAAATATTAATAAAATATCACAACAAATTCCGTTTTAAATTGTCTGTAACCAATAAATGTTATCAAGTCCCTCGAATATGTAAAGTAATATACATATCAATTACTTAGAGCATAAAAAATAATTTAACTCAATGATAGCCATTCAGCATCTGATCGAAAATGACTGGTTAAAGGTAAAAACTTAATCATAGTCAAACACACGGGGTTATTCATATTAAACCTACTTTATCTTCACCTTGTGCTTGACAAGTTAAAATGAAATATAGTTAGGAGTTAAAATTAATGGAAAAATTCAAGAACTTTTCACCAGCGAATTGGTAATTTAACATTGTGCGATTCATAATGAAAGTTCAGCTAGGTCTGAATGTTTAAAATGCTTAAAAATTAAATACTGGAACCACTATTGACGCTTGATGCTTGTTTTAATCCAGATATTTAATTATTACATTGATTTAAATTGACCATTGAAATCACACTTCATGATGATTTTTTTGCAATATCACTTAAAGTCTTCAACTAAAAATTTATAACATCACAATGACTTTCGATAGGATTTTTAGTTTTCTCTCAGTTTAGCAATAGACAAAGTCAACCACTTTCTCATTACTAGCGCTTAGTAAATTTTAGGCGGTTTTCGACTGGAATCTACTTAACTAACACTTCATTTTAAGTTTGATAATTGTTATTGATGAAGTACAAGCTTATGTATTCAGTTTGAGTCACCGTCTAGATGAACGAATCAAGATAGGTGTAGTAGTGTTTAAACTATGATCTACCGGTTGGTGAATATTTGATTGAGGTAAGACTACTTATTATTCAACAACTAATTATTTGAAGGATAAATATTTTTTTGGAAATTATAGTGTAATTGACGTTGATATTGTCTTCTTTAAGCTTGATTGTTTAATCGTTACGTTTTCATTACGTTCTTAGACAACATTATCAGTTTAAACCCTAATTAGGAGTTGTTTTACTTTTGTATCAGGAGGCCAATCTTAAACGCATTTATGGAACTATGATCACTCAAAAATTACAAGAATTTCAAGATGAAGTTAAATCGATGGCTGATAATTTAACTCAGGCTTCAATTGATTTATATCATGCAATTGTTAACAAATTTTTGCCAACTCCAACAAAAATACACTACTTATTCAATTTAAGAGATATTTCCAAAGTAAGTTTCTTTTATTATTAATAATTTACAGTCAGTAGTGAAATTGTTTCACAATAAACAAATCTTTTAGTCAATCGATGTATTGTTTCATATGATTCAAACTAATTTATTGCTGTCAAATTAAAGTTGCTTTTTGGTGGAGTTTTGTGCTCTGAGCTGGATGGTTTGGTCGTGGAGCTTTCATCGTTCTTCTGAACGACATCATCAGCACAAACTTCAGATAGGAGTGAAATGTTCGAATTTCTCCATATGTGTTTCACAGCTTGTTCTGTGCACCTCGATATTGATTGGTTCTTATTGACCTTAAATTTGTCATTGTTTACTTCTTTGTTTTGATTGTGTCTCCCATTGGTCTGATTTTCGTTCCTATATTTGCGCATGAATTTCCTGATTGGTTGGTAAATTGGATTGATTTCAATATGTTTGTTGATTGCTGATCGACCTGAGTGCCAAGCTTCTAAAAATTCTCTGGTGTTTTTGGAGTTTCCTCTGTCTAAGATTTCTACATTTTCCCAATCGAATGAGTGTCCGTAGTTATCCACGTGTATTGATATAAGTGAAGAGATACCATGGCGTCTGACTGCTAATTGATGTTCATGTAGGCGAAGGTGAAGAGGGCGTCCGCTTTGTCCGATGTAGTGTTTGTCGCAGTTGGCACAATTTATTTTGTAGATGATGTTTGATTTGTTTTTCTTTGTTATTTCATCCTTTGGTTTGCATAGGATTGATTGTAGTGATTTTGTCGGTTTGTGTGCCACACTTATCCCGAAGGTTTTCAGCAGTCTCGTTGCAGTTTCTGATATTCCTTGTATGTATGGTAGGGTGGTCCTTTTGTTGATTTTTCTGCTTAACATGGGTTCGGATGCTGAGTGCGGTTGGTATTTTTTGATGAAGTTGATTCGGTAGCCGTTCTTTTGAAATACATCCATCAGGTATTTCTCTTCATTTTTTCGTGCCGCCAGTGTGCTGCAGTGCGTCCTCGCCCTCTTGAAAAAAGTGTGTACGCAGTTGATTTTGTGGGCTCTTGAGTTGTTGCTGTTGGAGTTGAAGATTTGATCTGTATGGGTCGGTTTTCTATATACTTGGGTTTCCAGTTTTCCTGTGTCAGTTCTAGTGATCAATATATCCAAGAATGATAGTTTATTGTTTAACTCCTGTTCCATCGTGAACTTGATGTCATCGAAAACGTTATTGATCAGTTTGTAAGTGTTTTCCTGCTCATTCTTTTTGACGATGACGAAAGTGTTGTCTACACAGAGAATCCAAATTTTTGGCTTGATCACTGATAGTATCGCGGCTTCTAGTCTTCGCATCACTGCCTCTGCGATGAGTCTTGATATTGGTGATCCCATTGGTGTCCCTTTCGTTTCTTCGTAGATTTTGTTGTTAGATTGAAAATATGTTGTTAAGCATAAATCGATGAGTTCCAGTAGACTTTTAATTTGAAGCGTCGTGTATTTAGTGAGATTTTTGTCGTTATTGAGCAGCAGGGATGTAGGTTCTTTTGCTAATTTTGGTTCGATTGAGGTGAATAGTGCTGTTATGTCGAAGGGTATCATCAGTTCGTGGTTGTTGATTTGAATGTCCTTAATTTGGTCCGAGGGAAATTCGAACACTTCACTTCTATCTGAAGTTTGTGCTGATGATGTCGTTCAGAAGAACGGTGAAAGCTCCACGACCAAACCATCCAGCTCAGAGAACAAAACTCCACCAAAATCATCCACCTGAGCTACAAATCTTCTCCACTATCTGAAGTTTGTTTACTTTGTTAATCTCTTTTATCTTAATGAAAAAGTATTCGGTTCGTTATAAGCTTTTTATGAGTTATTTAATAGTTCAATTCATGAGTGAATTAAAGGTAGACCACCATGAGAAACCTGGAAGAACTGGATGGCCGTTTCGTCCTAGTATGGGACGCATCAGCAGTGTTTACCCACGATCCTGCCCGCGGTAGTCGTACCCCAGTACCTATTGATCTCGCGCGCAAACGTATAACCTCTAAACCACTGAGCTGGCATCCAACACTATTAATGTCTAGTGCTTCCAGGTTTCCCACAATGGTCTAGCATTAATTCATTTATGAATTCAACTATTTAGTGAATAAAACCTCCACGAAATCCTCTTTTGATTTTAATCAGTTGTGAGAATGAAAATTGAAAAGTGTTTGTATAAGGCTATTTTTAGTAACGTTTTATATAATAAATATAAAGATCATAAGTGGTTCTAAAGGATAAAAATTTTTGATTGTCCTTGAACCAAATATTTTCCTGAAATGTTCCGATGAATCAGTAGTTGTTTTCAGGGCTTCTGTTTAGCTAATGACACGCAAAAATCCTGCTGGTGAGATAGCCACATGAAATCAAATCATTTTATGATGAGACTATAACTGACAGACCACCTTTGATAGATGCTCAATTGACGTTTAGATTGTTGACTTGCTTAGCCGGGGCAAATGAGAGTTATAAATGAAGATTAGGATGTGGGTTAGAAATTGAAGTTAGGGTTTTCAGCACTAACTGTTATCAGCTCAAATGCCAAAATGTCATTTCGCGCTAAAATCTATGAGCTGCTCTCTAAAATATGATTGATTCGTCTATAAATTATAGTCTTATCTCTATTACAATGGCATATTGTTAGTACAAAATAACATTATGAGCAAAGAGTGCAAATAGTAATAGTGAAGTAAATATATAAAACTAAGGAATTTTCTTCGAAAAGAACGGATGAAATTGAAGAATAAAAAACATGGAATATCATAAAACCAAAGATTCAGAGTGAAATTAAGAATGAATGCAATTTTACCACTACGTCACATGGTATGTTTTATGATTAAGAAAAATTTGCTTTACTTTCTTCGTTGTCATTCTTATCCTAGATGTTTAGCTTACCGCATATGCGTGAGGTCATTCTTTTTTATATTTGAGATCTTTCAAGGTTTACTTCGAGCTAGTAAAAAGTATATTGATACTCGTAACTCAATGCTTCGTTTATGGATTCACGAAGGATTACGTGTATTTTATGATCGTTTGGTAGATGAAAAAGACAGGGCAACATATCTCGATCTGGTAGGTGAATCATTGGCCAGTTACTTCGATCAAACATATCATGGTTTGTGTCCGTCTAAACAGTCTCCAATATTTGTGGATTTTATGAATCTTGATAATTCATATGAAGATGTTACAGATTTAGATAGACTACGTAAATTTATGGCCCAAACTTTAAAAGAATATAATGAATCTCCTGGTATGGTACATGTAGATTTAGTCATGTTTCGTGATGCAATTGAACACAGTAAGTGTGTTTATTGACTTTTTGATTTTAAAAACAATACGTTTATTCTTTATAGCATTCAAACGCTTAACCTATCAGTAAGATAATTACTGTCACCGAAGAAATAACTTGTCCCTTAAGTATACCACATTATCATCACCTTTATATCATGCAAAATACCAATGTTTTACTTCGCTATTCAAAAATACTGCAATTTCGTAGGACTCAAATTTTAGTATACTTACTTCATGGCATTTACATACTTTTACACGGTGAGACCATAATTTATGGACGACCTTTGAGTGACGCTAAACTGACCTTGAGAATATCTACCTAATAACTAGGATCAAACGGGGATTATAAACCAGCGTGAGGAATCAGAATTATGATTTTCAGTTGATGATTAAGGTTAGGAAATAGATTTAGGGTTTTCATAACGAACTGGCATCAGCTCTAATGCCAAAATTCTATTTAGCCAAACGGATGAGTGGATTTCGTGCCAAAATCCGAACCTGTTATCTTATACCTGATTGGTTCGTCCACTTATATCAATCTACAGACTCAAATATTTTGCTATAATGCACCTAAGAAATCGAATTTCAATTGAGAACTGCAAACTTAATAGTGAAATCAGCTTATCGAGGGGATTGAGTTTCAACTAGTTAGTGGATCAAGGATATGAGACATAGTAAAAGGAAGCTTTCATCTTTGACTATATACTTCCTTCTGTGATCACTTGAACAAAATGAATTCTGAGATTATGCAATTCATAAAATAATCTTAAAATTCATTCATTTAAGCTCAGTATAAATTCTTTTTCATAGTTTGTTCAGATGAGCTTATTATGATCATTCAAAGCAAACTATGCAAAAGATTATTTGACAACTTTCCAACTTGTAAGCGACCACAGCTTAAATTTACTATATTATATTTCAATAGAATTTCATCCGAGTAATGGACTTGATGAAATATACTGATAGAACACTTTCACCGTGTCAAGCATCACGACATTACGTGTAACCTATACTAATACACTTCACAAACACATTGATTATAACTTTTTAAGTATACTTGATAGTAATTCGTCTAGGATTTAATAATAATGCCAATGATAATAATATCACTCTTTTTCAATTAGCGTGCAAAGTTGTTCGTGTAATTAATCAACCAAGAGGTAATATGCTATTAATTGGGATTGGAGGTAGTGGTCGTCAAAGTTTAAGTCGTTTAGCAGCCTATATATGTGAATATAAAACATTTCAAGTTGAAGTCACAAAACACTACCGTAAACAGGAATTCCGAGAAGGTATGTTGTATTACGCTCTTTTACAATATATTAATAAATTTATTATCACCATTATAATCTTAGAATTTGTTCAGTTAAATACAAGTTATAGTTATCTGTGCTCATCGAACTAGTTTGAGTCGGTTTGATTCTATTCGAGACCGAAAGCTGGATTCTTTAAACAATCTACCACTACTGGAGTTTTCACCCATGCAGACTGCAAACTATTACATTCTTTACTTCATGTTAAACACATGAATTCTTCCTTAGTGAGTTAACATATAGAAAGAATACTTTTGTGTGGGAGTGTAATAATATTACACGGAATTTCTCGTATAATAACTTTCATTCACTAATTATTACTATGTCCCGACATCGGATAGATTTATAGTATTTAGGAAGAAGCTGTACGGTATTATGGAAGGCTCAATTGTAGTTGATATATAACAGAAATTAGACGAGGAACTTTCAGTTTTCATAAAAGATCTTAAATTGAATATTTCTGCATTCTACTTCTCCATATTGCTGTAAATTGCGGTCCTAAAATTTACTATCTTAATTGGTTTAGAAATTTCATTCACTTGGTTTCTGTGATTTAGTTAAAACGTAAGTATTCACAAGCATCATAAATACTTGCTGATTGTTGTATGCTGTGGTAAATCATGAGACGTTCTTTATTGAAGGCTAATGAAAGTGAATCACAGCCGAAAGTTAACACTAATTTCTTGCATGAAAACGTATAATATGTCAATCATATGTTTACGATGAATACTATTACCATCATGCAGCTTAACGGCATGTGATTCGAAACGAATTCATGTCTGCACAACTATCTTTTCCTTCAAATTACATCTATATGCTCCCATTTGTTATGTTCAGTAAATAAGATATGTAAGTAGCTAGAATAAATAGTTTCTCCAAAAGGCAAGCCGGATGTCTGTTTTTATAAAAATTAAAAAATAAACGGAATCACATCAAAAACCAATAGGACATATGATCAGGTTTTTACTTTTTCATTTCAACCCTGTAAGCTTCAGGGAATGATTGATGTTTGTGTTCTGTAATTCAGTTACCGTAGATGACGAGTAACTTAGTCAATAAGAATATGTGATACTAACACAGTTGCATTAACAGAGTGTAAGTTTGTTCGAAAAGTTAACCAGTTGGTAAGAATCACTCTTATATCTACAATAGTACATTATAACTTTAACAGCAAGTTACATATGCATCATTATTAAACAGTTAGGAAGTAAACATTTCATCACACTTATACACTGTCTCGTTCAATGATAACAAGAAATCATAGTAATTCATATACTCTTGTAACTGCTTTAATATTGTATGTTATCAAATTGACTGTTTTAAATTGTATTATTATATTGAATATAGATTTAAAGAAAATGTATTTTCAAGCTGGGGTTGAAAATAAACCAACAGTATTCTTATTTACTGATGCACAAGTGTTAGATGAGTCATTTTTAGAAGATATTAATAATATGTTAAGTTCTGGTGAAGTGCCTATTTTATACAAATCAGATGAATTTGAAGAGGTTAAACAAGAATTACTTGAAGTTGCTAAACAAGAAGGTATTGCAGAGTCGACTCAGGTAAACTACAAGTGAAAACATTCACTTCAAATTTAAATATATGGAATATCGTATTTTGATTATTAAGTTCACCTAATTGGTTCGTTGGGTCTAAAACTGGTAAAATATTCTTCTTCAAACTCATCTTTCCTTATTCCTATATGTCAGTAAAAGTCAATTTTCAACATAATATTTGGTCCATACTAGCACAAGTAGACAATTTAAAGTTGCTGCTGTAAGACTATTCAGAAACGTAGACCACTCCGATTTACTCACAAACTGGGAACAGGTTATTTGAAACTCATGAGTTGTATACTACTTCCGAATTATTCAGTTAAAATTCACCTTCACATACAGTAAAACTGCTGAATCAGCAATACTAAATCTCCGCCGACCACCTACTCTGACGCCTTATATAAGTTAACATAAAAGTAAATTGGGATAGAGATGAGACATCCAAGTCAGGATACGACATTATTCTGCAATGCTATGAACTATTGATCTAAGATGTTTCTAGAAGTGCACATTTTTATTGTGACGTTTGCTGGATATTCGTAGCCTTTGAATGGATCAAAATAATGTCAATAATATCTGTATAACTATTCTTCGTCTTCCCCTTATTATCTAATTCGGTATTTTGTCATACTTTTTGTTTTCTAACATCGTTTATTATAATTCTTATACTCAGTTTTCTGCCACTAACAGTATGCATAGTTTCTTCCCCTTGATTTTTAACGTCGTTAACTTGTTCACCATAGCTTCTAGAATCCAATGTGAAAATTAATCAGTGGTTTAGAATTGATATAATATGCTCCAAACCCAATACTCTGAAAACCTGATTTGCTTAATTTTATTACCGTTGATCTCTCGTCTGTTTATTTTATTTGTCATTTAATTCTTTCCATGTTAGTTTAATTCATTTGTTAAATTCTTTAGATTTAACCAACCTATTTTCGTTGCACAGTGAGATTTATTTCAGCTCATTCGAGGAATGTTAAATATGGTATTAAACATTATTTGAATAAGAATATAACGTTAAGGTAGTTACATCGATTGGAAGAGGTTGGTCAGTGGTTGAAGTACTTGACTTCTAAACATTAGGTAGAGGGTTGGGATCCCATCTCATTAAGCAGTGTGGCTCAAATTTCAGTAATTAAACATGTATTTAGTAAATCAATTATTTTTATTAACTGTTAGCTATTTAATTCATGGTGGTATAACATCAAACATTTATTTCTCATATTCATTTGGCATTCTGTTTTATTAATATAGGCAATATTTCGTTTCTTCATTGAACGAGTTCGTGCTAATCTACATATTATTTTATGTATGAGTCCTATTGGTGAACCATTTCGTAATCGTATTCGAATGTTTCCAGCATTCGTTAATTGTACTACAATTGATTGGTTTAGTGAATGGCCACTTGAAGCTTTACTAGAAGTAGCTGAGAAATATTTAGCATCCGTTGATATTAACATTAATGAACCAGATGTAAGTTTTTCTCCACTACAATTACCATTATCAATTTCCTCACAAACTTTATTTATGGATAAATCACTCCATTTTTATTGAAACTAACTACCTATCAGTTATAGGAATAGTTGGTCTGTTAATAAATACTATTTTAAACAATCAGTATTCTCATTCAACAAGATCATTGAAGAAGCACTAATTGAGTAATAATTTTCATTTGATTACTTATTTACCAAGAAATGTAATTTTATTTTTTATTAACCACATATATGGATTCAAGTAGTGAATGCACATAACAAATACAACTTACCAGTCAGTATACGTTTGTCTTTATTGCCTAGTTAAAGAGTTGTAGAAAAAAAGTTAATTATAAACAGTGAACTAAAAACACTGCATGCTATCAAAAATTGACAAGATCTCTTTCTACTGTACAGGTCATAAGCACCTTTATTAATCTTTTTTCATATCACTTTTGCCTTATTTCACTTGTAGTTGATATATCGCTATGCAAGTAATGAATTGGATTGATACACCACAGTTGTTATTAATGTCGATTACCACAAAATTGTGTAATTCCTACTGTAGAGTTTGAATTAACTTCTGAAATTCACCCAGCCAATAGTCTTTTTGATCTGCCATTGGTTCATATGTTAGTCAGTTATCATTAATCTCAGTTATTTCATTTCTTTTCAGACAATTACTTCTAAGAATTATAATCGATTTTGTTTTATGCTTGAATCATACCAGTAACAAGAACAAAACTATGTGTTTGGCTTTGGCATTTGATTAAATAAAGTTACTGATATTCTGTATCACAATATAATATATTTAAGTAGCCTTTCATTATTGAGTATTTCCATAATCTTTTTTTTCATTGATATATTTTTAGCCCCAACTTTTGGTTAAAAAACAGGTAAGTTTTTTATTGTAATCAACATTGTATGACGTAACTGTAAGCTTATAATTATTATTCTGATAGGTCATGTTTTTGTTATGTGCTAGAATTTATTTAGTTGTGAAGCCGGAATCGATTGTATAAGAATGAGAGAATTTATGAAACATGAGAAATATTTGACCAATAGGATGAACAGAGTAACTGAGTGTATCATCAGATTTAAATGAATGAGTTATGTGAATGATCACCAATAAATCCGAATAGACATAATTATTATGATAATAGTAATAACAATGGTAATAATTAGTAGAATATAGTTGAACGGTTTTTCATGAAGCAAGAGTGAAGTACGAACAGAAAAGAACAAAGAATTATAATAAAACTGTAGACCAAGACCACGGTAGAGCGAGGAATCAAATAAATTATCTTTGTATGCATAGATTGGGCTTCAAATAATGGATGACTAAAGCTTCTGCAATTTAAATTAGATTTGGACACACACCTGAGATTCTATAAATGGTGTTAATAAATGAATCTAAAGCTAAATATTCTTTCGCAACTACATCTTACAGAATAGATTATTTTGTTCATCAGTGTTGTTTTTTGCTGAGCCATACCAGTAGATGCACCCCGAATTTAACGAAGAGATGTCCTCGACGACTAACTGAAATCAGTTGTGAGGTAACTGTTTCTGTTTTGCTTTGAAACTACCCAGTACCGAAAGAATCTATAAAATTTTACTTGAATTGTAATCACAATATTACTCAAAAAAAAACTCATAACTCAATGGTTTACGTCAACTTTCAGTCAGCTTCCAGGATCATTACCCAAATTATCCAATTAGACAGTGTTTCGCTCTCGACATAGCTGTTTCCTAACATCACTGAATCTTGATAAAAATCATAAAAACTCTATCACAGTACTAGCTAGTAAAATGCAGTGAATTAATATTTAATTAAGTGGATTATGGGAGGTTTTCGAAATCATATCTTTATTTCATATTGTTCGAAGTTTTTATTTGTGCTTTTAAACATTTCTTTTTTTTGAATAAACAGGGAAAAATGAGAATAAGTGTTGCGAAAATATTCGCTAACATGCATCGATCGGTTACTGATATGGCTGTGGTCATGCTTAATGAATTGAAACGATATAATTACATTACACCAACCAATTACTTAGAATTTGTATCTGGGTACAAAATGTAAGTGTAATTGGTGGAAATTCATTATGGTATAATTTATAATGATGGTTACTAGTATTGCTAAAACGAATATGTTAACGAATAACCAAATGATGTTTGAATGTTGTTCAAATTCTAAAAGCTTCAAAACAAAATATTTAAAGGCCACATGGAGGGAAAATGTTTTATTCCAGATGAATGCTTCTCATTATGTTCTATTCTCTGAAGTGAATAGCAGAATTGTGAAGCTTTGACTGGTGTTTCGTAAACTTTACCAATTGTTACTTGAGATGGCACTTTCAAAATAATCTATATGTCCTAATAAAAATATTTCATTCTGCTACGGCTACTCTTAACTATTTCTCATCTAAGGTCTTAATGTCTTCATATACCTCTGTACTCCCATTGACCATTGTTTCCTTTCGGCATCTGATTATTTTCTAAATGATTTTCATCGTATACTTTGATAGATTGAATCTATTACACTCAACCTATTGACTGCATGTTGACTTACGTTTCAGGCTTCTAAAATTATTCTAGCTTCGTAGAATTTCCTCGATCTAACATTATGATATTTTATTAGTCAGATTCAAGTCCATTGTTGTTTGTGTGTACTGAGATAGGCGACGATATCCAGTCATCAAACAAATACAGGGAGTTCAAATACAAACTTATGCATAAAGCCAATACACACAAATTAAATTAAATTCAATAATAAACAAAACTAATTATATACAGGCACTGTTTAGAGGAGTTGAAACTCTGTGCTACTCCTACTTACCATGGATTTAGTTGCATTTTATTGGCATCGTTATTTAAACAACCTCATCAAAGCTGTCTTGGAAATCAACACCGTTTTTCTCATTACCGCTTGTTTAATTGCCTTAGACGGCTATATGGAAATAGTTTTGTTTTAGTCACCTTCAAATTTTAAACATTCTTACTTCCATACTTATCTATCAAAACGCCCATTTTTTTATTATTAAGACAATAAATACAAATTTCATGCAGTTTGTCAGTCATAGTGTAGAATCAAGCAACATATTTGCAGTGGGCTAAGTTGTCGCCGTATATGAGCACAGCTAGATGAAAGTATCAAATGTCAGAGTATTAGAAGTAATCACAATATCAATTACAGTTAAAGACATTAGACATAGAATAAAAGATCGGCAAAGAAAATACAAATTAATGCAATAAAAAAGGATAAATTTGAAAGTCGAGATATAAGGTAAAGAAATGAGTGAATACATTTGCATCATGCTGAATGATACCGAACCATACCACCCAAAGTCTCCAACCATTGGTTGCATTGATCAACTTGCACCTGAAAATATTGGTTGTTAAACATTAAGGATGTTATAAATTTGAATACCGTCTAGTTACTTCTGTTTACGTAATCACGATATCGACAAAAATACAAGGATAATATTGAAGAATTTTATTGATGCTCACCATTTTTATGTACACAGTACAAATGAGTATTTCGTTCATACACTTATTCATACTCTACATTGAATTCTTTTCTTTTACAGTCTTCTTTATCAAAAACGTCAAGAATTAAGTGATAAAGCAAATAAATTAACAAATGGTCTTGATAAGATTGATGAAACAAGAAAAAAAGTTGAAGGTAATTTTAATTTTTGTATTTTTCATTGTCAAACTTTATGTTAATGTTTTTTCCCTTTTAAAACAATTAAATGAGTCCGCAATTGATTGGATAGTACGTTAGGAGTTTTAGGCAAAAATACTCAGTTCAAGTCGATTGTGAGCATTAACACAGATTTATGTACATTTTGCTAAGAAGTCCCTAACAGGACAAAATGTGCATCATTGATTCCACTCCTAACGACAGCCTATCTATTCTGAACACGTGAATAAAATTAAAAATACCTCTGACCATTTCACTGTTGAATATTAACATGTTCGCAGTTATTTCTAGCTAATTATACATTATTTTAACCTGATAACTCAACAAAAGCGCAATGAAACTACCTAGAAGCTGAAGGCAAAAAATAGCTGTATATGCGAACTAGCATAAAACATATTCATCCCGTTGCGAAGTGATAATCCACGTATTTGTTTATTATTCATAGTGTTAATGTTGAGCATTGTTATCTTTTCTTAGTATACTTATGTTTTCTTCAAGCAACAAAAACAAATTCTTGAATTTTTGGATCAGTGTATAATTAAAATAGATTGTTTCTTTAGCAAATTCACCTGAGTAAATTATTTCATTAACACATTCCGTTTTAATTAAAAAACTTCCGAGTCGTAAGTGACTCCATTCAGGAATGTATTGATGGGAGTAAATAAGAAAGAAATACACATACAACATAAATACCGCTTATCACGGTGAATTAAAATAACGAATCTAGGTATGTTCGTATATGGAGACTTTAATATTGTTACATAAACTTTGGGAAAGTAAGGTTTCATGGTTAAGTATTCCTACAAAGGCTGTTGGCTATCAATTCAAATTTTACTTCGAGATCAGTAACGTTAGTTGATAGTGTGTCAAAATCCCTACTCATTTTTCTGGGATACAGTAAACAATAAAACTTGGACCAGCTGGATATAACTACTTTTGTCGCCTCTAATTAATATTAAGACAGCAAACGAGAACCAATCTTGTTCTCTCTAAGACCATAATAATCATTGCAAAGTCATTACAAAACGGATAATATAACACTTGTAAACCAAACATATAAGTGTGATATATGTTTCATAACCCTAATCATTAGCAATTTCAACAGTTTGTGTTCTCAGTCTATGCTTTATTATTTTGGGAAATTTCAACATACCTTTACCTTTTGTAAGTCGAAAAACATTGCTGTACATTAAGAATTACACTTTTCAGAATGAACTAATATTTTAGACAATAAAACCTAATACTTTATGCCTCCTGAAGTCAATTACAACTAACTATGCTGATAGACAGTGAAATAAAACAAAAGACTCAAAAATAGATTACTTTACTACAAACTTTAAGAATCTAATTACTAATACACAACATGGGTATATTTTCTTGATGTTCCTTGAAGTGCTTTTGAATATAATTCAATGAAGGAATATGTACAAGTTTAGCATTACTTTTAATTTTCAGTAATGTCTGTGGAATTAGAAGAAGCTAAAAAGAAAGTGTCATCATTTCAAAAAGAATGTGATGATTACTTAGTAGTTATTGTTCAACAAAAACGTGAAGCTGATGAACAGGCTAAAGTAAGTGATCTTTTAAATTTTCAGTCAAACTTCTACTGTAATGTGTGCTACTGATGTCGACAGATATAAATAGTATGTATCATCAATCGAAAGTGAAATACCTGGAGGTAGAAGGGTAAGAAGACCAAAGAAAAGTGAACGAGAACTTACCTTCAAAGCATGGAAGATGTTTAATATCAGAATTGAAAACAAATAAAAATATTACTGTGAGATAGTTTATTTATCAACATCAAGAATTATCATGCGAGTAAACTGTTTTCAAATCCTTACACTTTTACAAACAAACTGTTGACTACCTATCAACAAAACAAATTTCTATACTAAATTAGTTCACTGGAACCAGGGACATTTTGAATTTGATTAGTTTATTAAATTTTGTTGTCGAAATATAATCTAAGTTTTAATGAACATTAAGATTTAAACATGTATAGATCAATCATTATTGGATATGGTATAGTTAAGACTCAGTGATTAAAACACCTAGACTTTTAACAAATAAATTGAAGATTGAAAATTGATCTTCCCTTCTCTCACTTAGTTCGTTTTGATACCTTAAGTAATACTACTTATGATCAAACTATAGAAATGCTGGCTCAAATCTTAGTATATAAATATGGAATTGGCAAGTGAATCTTAGTAATTTATCTAAACAGGTATTATTGACAACATTGAAATCGTAATTTTTTTCACCTTTAACTATTATTTCTAGTCTGTTATGCAAACTCAAGAAAAAATTAAAATAGATGAAGCTAAATGTTTACATATGGCTGAATTAGCTCAAGCTGATTTAGCACAAGCTATGCCAGCTTTAGAAGCAGCTGTACAAGCATTGGAGTCATTAAATAAAAAAGACATCACGGAAATTAAATCATATGGCAAACCACCTCTCCTAGTGCAAAAGGTTTGTTTGTTGTATTTTTGTTTTCATTAAATTAATGATCTAGTTTTATTGTAAGCAAATAAGCTGGTATTTTCTCTATATTTTAATCCCGGAGATGAAAATGAAGAATAAAATCTTTCATGTCTTGGGTCGGAGTCCGATGTGAGGCATCATGAATGAGCATTGCCGAGTAGTCACATCCTGGGACGAAACAGTCGCCTAGTGCTTCCAGGCTTTCAATGGTGGTCTAAAATTGGTGAGTTTGTGATCGCGATAAAAACTCAGCAATCCCCACAACCTTATACCAATAAAAACTAGTGAACTGAATATCGTTCATTTAAGTGGATGAATTGACGGCATAGAAGATTGTCTTTGCTAGGTAATATTTAGATTTTATTTGAGGTCTCTCATTTTGCATTAATGAGGTCATTAATTCAATTTTTATAAACTGTCATCACTTGGTTACGTTGCATCATCCCAGGCTGTCGATATAACAACCATAAACTCACTATATTTTTTACCATATCAGTCAATGGGGTCGTTTTTAGTACCTTACTGACGACTAATTTGTTTTAATTACTTTTTTTTATCAAATCTACAACGAATCTATGAATAACAGAAATCATAAAGATATTTACATAAACTTGATACTGACCCACAGTTATATACTGTTTATTAACTAAAGAGTTGGTCCTAAGTGATTTACTTTGATTGAAACACTTTATCGTCACAATACGAATCATATTGATTTTTTAAAATAACTTGTCTACTTTAAATGTTACATGGACATGTAAGATGTTTAGGTATTTTTAACTGATCAGTAGGACTTCGCATACATTTGCATAAGATTAGCGAAACAGATAAATGATTCAAATTGTTTGAAAAAAAAACAGTCGTTAAGGATAGTGAACTGTCAATCTCTAGTATTTACTTCAGCTTTAAATTTAATTGATTCCATTACTGTTGTGTGTAGTCGTTTGTTTGCTTCAACTACGGTAATTGATGATTACGAACAACTGAGATTATTTTGAAACGAACGAAATCTATTGAGACATTGATATGTCAGCAACTGACGCACACAACTGTTCAGCAACAATCCTTAACGATGGAATCCAAGAAGAAGGGATTAGTATAGAAAAAACTGTTTTATCCGAACGAACTATAAAGAAATATTAACTTCCAGGTCTAATTTATGGATTGCTATATGTATATTCTTACTGTATAATTATTAAGTAGCTAGACTATATTTACATGTATGTCTTTCAATTACCCCATTAACTACTCCTGTATGGTTTGCCATTCTTAATTTGTTGCCAGTTTACTATTCATAACTTTCCCTACTCCGTCGTTGCGTTCTGAACTCAACGGACAGGACAGAGAGAAAAGCTACTGAGTCGAGGACCAATGAAAGCTTAGCGTCAACTCAAGGTTATTAGTGGTGCCTTTGTCACGTGATATTATTGAACGGACATAAGTCATAACAAAACTTGATACCTTATGAAGAAAACACCAAAGCGGAACAACATTCCATATATAGTAAAACAACAGGACCTTGAGATACAAGAAGGTCAGCGACCTAAACGGGACAACAGCTAATCAGAAAATAACAAAAGTAGTAAGGAAATACGAGTTAGGGAGATTTTATTTGTGGTTGTTCTTACAAGAAAGAATTACCGCGCAGCTAGATAACCTGAGATTTCCTTAACAATTCTTTTACGAGATCATCTGGTTTAAACGACTCAATCGACCCCCAATCGTAATGTCAAGTTTGAAAATAGTCTACAGTGTAAATAAGGAATTGCATTTGAGTTAAATATTAATTCTCCTTAGTCTTGTGATATTCCTGTGGTGCACTAAGACTTCAATTGACAGGCGACAACAATTAGGTTGAATGTTCATTGGTATTACTCACTTAAATTCACTCGTTGTTATCGTAACGATTAGCTTGATTTCTTCATTACTATTTCTACTTAGTATAATTTCTACATGGTAAAATGTTTCTCTTGATCAAACCCCGATTTCATTACTTCTCCCTGCTCTTCTTTATCTTGTCTTGTACAAAATGAACTCAAAGAGACTAAATTTTATTGTTACGAATTTATCTTTTGAAATACTTTGTACAATAACTCTCCGAAAATTAGAATCAATTCCTTCCATTTTGATTATTGTGTTTATTTCCACAAAAATGACTTTGTTTTAAGAGATTAAGAAAAAAATTAACGTTTTCAGAAACCTAATGAGTTACATATTCTCCCAGTTACTTGCCTACAGAATAAAATATAAAGTTTTCTTTCAGGTTCTTGAAGCCGTAATGATTCTTCGAGGGGCTGATCCAAGTTGGGCTGAATCAAAAAGACAATTAGGTGAACAAGATTTTATTAAACAACTTATAAATTTTGATAAAGACAATATTAGTGATAAAACTTTGAAAAAAATTGGTCAGTATTGCTCACAAGATGATTTTCAACCTGATGTAGTTGGTAAAGTAAGTATAATTAATAATTATCATTGATACTGTCATTACATTATCATAATAGATAGAATGACAAAGAGGTAACTAAATGAAATGTTTGGCTTCAAACCACTCTATCGTATCAAAGCCAAACAGGTGTATATTCAGTTAGTAACTGAGTTAGATAATGATATAAGTGTAAGCGTTAATCATAAGTAAAGGTGATATAAACCTAGATAATGGTTGATAATATTCTACCAACGACTACAACACTATGTAAAATGATGTTGACATAATTCACTTTGTAAAATATATGACCAGTAGTCAGTATTTCAGATATTTTATTTTAATTGTTATCATGGTTTGCTTTAGATTTTACTTATTAATTAGGTAAAAACCCCTTTTTTTGACGGTCATGAGTTTCATTGTCAGCACTTAACCTACAATTGAATAAATTTGTCTGAAATAATGGAAATCAGTCAGTGTGGCATGGTCAAAGTCAGTTCAGATGGGAATTTCATAAAATAACAAATACTGAACAACATGAATTTTTTATGGGATACACAATCATTTCATTCCTAGAAGAATATAGTATATGTTAAGTTAATGTTCGTTTATGCTCAAACTTGTTTAAAATGGCTCATAAATTAGGTCTATACTAACTTTCGAGGTACATTTTTTAGGATTCGGTTATGCATTCAGACCTCAGTCTATATTCTTCCGTCTCCCCAGCTCATTGGTATCAATAACTGTCACAAAATGTACAGGTCAGATCAGAGTTTACGAACTTGTACTTGGTAAATGAGCCACATTATTGAACTGACAAGACAGATTTATACTTTCTCTTGCGACAATTTCTTATTTAGTCTTTTTTAGAACTATTCGGGATTTCATTTCAACCTGTAGTGTAAGTTTTATAATGAAAAGACAAATACGGTGGAAGATAATTTATTTCTTGTCTCCTTAACCTTAAGCGACCAGATAAGTCACTACATTTTTCTCCTTATAAGAACGTTGTGATTCTGTTTATCCCCTAAAGGTAATTTCAATCGTCACACTGAATGTTAATCTTAGTTCATCATCATTCAAAATTAGAAAAGTAGATAAACTAATATGAAAGATGACATCTTTTATAATTATGAACTACACCAAGTGAAGTACAACAATTTTCACAGAGGTTTGAGGTTAAAGTTGAGTTTAAAATAACGAAGATCATTTGAAATTTTTTAAAATAACATTTCTACAAACAAATTGTTAACAATTAAAGAGGGTTACTCATAATGCTTACAATTCTCATAGGTTTCAAGTGCAGCGAAATCGTTATGTATGTGGGTTCGAGCAATGGATGTTTACGGTCGCGTTTACAGAGTTGTTGAACCAAAGCGTCAGAGACTTAAACAAGCTGAAGAAGTATTACATGAGAAACAAGCACAATTAGCAGCTGCACAAGCTAAACTTGATGAAGTGAATGCTGAAATGCGCCGTTTACAACAAGAATATAATGAAAAGGTAGATCATTGCATTTATTTCGTAAAATTTATTTCAATTTATGATAGTACTTATTATTTTAAATAGTCTACATATATTATAACTAAATTTATCCTTACATAGGTATTAGTAAGTTCTCAAAATTTACGGACGAAACTTGTTGACATTATGATTAACAAATTAATAGTTACATGTTCAAAATCCCTAATTTTACGATGCATTATGTAAGAATTATGATACCTTAGGAAATTAACTTACAATTTTACTACATATTTATGATCTGTTAGTGGGACATAGAACAATTAAGAGCAGAACTTTAAATATTGTAGTTTTTTTTTCTTAATCCAGGACATTACTTAATACTTACTTACATAGATGTAATATTAAATACAAATGTTCATATCTATTTGATAAATTTCAGACGTTAAAATACAATCGTTGCAAGACTCAAATCACCCATAAAGGTGTAATTACATCTAGTTACTCAGTTTTGGATCACCACTGCTTACTCACTGACAAATAACCTGTTTACGTCCTTTCTTAAGTTCATAACATTTTAAAATCCTTCTTGTAACCTTTTATTTCTTGATTGTTAATTAATGAAACAACTTGAAACGATATATTTTAACATGGTGTTTACACTGTTATGTCTATACACAATTTCCAAGTGTGATTGCTTTAAATTCTCTTCAATATTAGTATCGAACATTGGTCAGCATCCGCCTAAAAGTAAATAACGATCTAACTAACCCAACTAATTTGTAATCCTAACACAAATCTAATTTAGCTCTAATTACTTAATCCTGACATTATGAACTCATAGCCGATGTCGTTTGGTGACGAAAATCCCACATGGTTGTATCCCTAACTCATAACATTCGCGCAACCCTTAATATGTCAAAATTACCCTTTTTTACGCTAACAAATAATAGAGTTTATAAGAAATTATGAATCATTTCGAAACAACTGTTTCATGGCAGTTTTATTGCTTCTCGTCATTAATTGTTTTGGAGCTAGGCAACGCTTCTTGATTGGCTAATAAGTCTGTCAAGATTGTCAGTATAGTATACATTTACTTCAAGAACTAGTTGGAATAAGAAATCCTGTTACCCGCTTAAGAATATCGTAATTTCTGATTTAAAAATAGTATTCTGGTGTATATGTTTGAGTATCCACAATCTTTTAAGGCTCGTCACAAGTCCTAGGTTCGATCTTTGATTAGGTCTTGTATACCAACTTTCAATGGAGTATGTAATCTAAACTAAATTCCCATTCAATTATTAACTTACTTTTCACTCTTACTGCTGAAGGATTTATTTAACAGGTTTATGTTATGACCTTGACGTCTGGTTTTTCTGTCACACGATTTATCTACCAATCCGAATACGACTTATACGAATCTTCACACTAGGCCAACCAATGACGTTCAACCGGTGTGGGCAGTTTAGCGTCCTTATTGGTCCTATGTCCTCCGAGCCCTTCCACTTGAGTCCAGAACACAATACCAGCTTCCGAATCGTTTATTTCAGGCATACTTGGTTTATATATCAATCAGACAGACCGCAACGTACCATAAAATAGGAAATAATATTTGTACACAAATAAGCCCAAAAAGTGGCTGTGAATGTGGGAGGCAGTAGTTAATAAACTGAACATAACTTAAGAACCGTAAATCGTACAATAAATTATAGGTCAAAATAAAGCTTATCATAAAAGGAATATAAATATACATAGTGTAATTGTTGAGTAGTTATACAATAAGAATATTTATAGAATATTAGTCCATGAATAGTCCTTGGAAGTTACCTGTAATTTAATCTTCACCGGCTATAACAGTTTATACACTTAATATGCTTACTATTCGATGTTTATTCCACTTTTTCTCTTCTAATATTATTCTCTTTAGATGGAACAAAAAGAAGAGTTACGTAAAAAAGCTGAACACACGGAGAAAATGTTAGACAGAGCTAGTAAATTAGTCAGTGGTTTAGCTGGTGAGAAACTACGATGGGAAGCTAGTGTTGCTGATCTATTACGTAAAATTGATCTATTACCTGGTGATTGTTTATTAGCTTCCGCTTTCTTATCTTATATGGGTCCATTTTTAAGTGAATATCGTGAGAAATTAATTACTAATTGGTTGGAATTAATTAGAACTGAGAGTATACCAGTAACTGATCCATTTGTCTTTACTGAATTTTTAGCTGATCCAACACAAGTATGTGAAATAACATTCATTATTATTTTAACTATTTTTCGCAAGTTGTAGAAAATTAAATATGCGAGAGTAAATCATGTTTTAGGGTTATGATTTTTTATTAAATTAAATAGAAGCCAAAAATCCATATTTCTTTAATTGATAACCCAATAAAGTGGACATAGATAAAAGCGCCAACAAAAAGTATTTAGAGTGGAAGTTTTATATTTTTTGTTTGATGATTAGCCTCAATTTACAGAGAACTGAGAAAAGGCTGTAATACTGAGTTCTAAAGCTTGGATAAAGTTAGTCAGGAAGATGCAACTTCAAATTTCCAGTTCTAATCGTTCGGTATAATATTCACAAACTTTGTTAGGCTTCATAAGCTCTTTCTAATTTGTCCCATTTTATTACCAACTATCTACACTCCATAGATTATTAAAAATATCTAAATTTATTCTAAGTATTGTAGCGAATGCAATGAGTCGATACAGTGTTCATTTTTCCGTGAATATGAAGAATATCATTTCTATGACTTACAATATATTAAACTAAATTGTTTTCATCTTAGTTTACCCCACGGCTTCACAGCTTCTCGCTAATTCCATACTAACTATTTTTTTCATTTTTATACAAGGTTAGAGAATGGAATATACAAGGATTACCACGTGATACATTTTCAGTTGAAAATGGTGTAATTGTAACGCGAGGTAATAGGTGGCCATTAATGGTTGATCCACAAAATCAAGCTTTAAAATGGATTAAATCAATGGAAGGCAAAGAATTACGAATAATTGACTTACAAACACCGGATTATATGCGTACATTAGAAATTGCTGTACAACATGGTCAACCAGTTTTATTGCAAAATGTTCATGAACAATTAGATCAGGCTTTAGATCCATTATTAACTAAATCACTGATTAAAGTTGGTGGTACATTATTAATGAAATTGGGTGATAAAGAAATTGAATATAATGATAAGTTTAGGTCAGTACCGAATTTTTCTTTATTTCAATCATGAAGATATATTTTAAAAGTGCTACGTAAATTTCATTTATTGTCAATTTATATTTTTTCTATTTACTCAATGGCTTACTCAAATGTTTAGTTTAAACGTCTGGCGAGACCATAATTTATAGACGAACCAATCAGATATAAGATAATGAGTCTTGGATTTTGGCGCGAAATTCATCCATACATTTTTAAAAAATATCATTTTGGCATTTATAGCTGATATCAGTTCGCGATGAAAACCATAAATCTAATTCCTGACCCTAACCATCAACTGTGAATCCTAATTCTAGTTCATTGCCCTGGTTTATGACCCTCATTTAGTCTTAGTTAGTAGAACATTCTCAAGGTCACCTCGGTTTCGTTCAAAGGTCGTCCATAAATTAGTCTCACCAAAAGTCTCTTTAAAGGTTTTTCTATACACTTAACTGTATTACAGTTTTTTATTCAAAGTCGTTATCATTTATTTTGATTTGTCTGACTCTATTACACTATAATTATCATCACTCAAAAACTGCTTTTGATTTGTGGGTTATTACGTATCTTTTTGAGTAAGTTTAATTATTCATTTGGGTTTTGTTTTAAAGGTACTTAACGATAACCATTATCGTTAATGTTATTCTCACTTTAGTTTAAATTAGACATTTCGCACCAAGTTGGAAGAACAAATAACTAGTGTAATGTAAGGAATATAAAAATTTCTGAAGAACCGTGGAATTTCTACTATTATTTTCAATCTCTTGACAATAATCATTATGTTTATGAAGATTCATACTGATTAGTAGTTGCCTGACATAGGTTCGTCATGTTAACGTTAAAATGTAAAGTTTGTCCTGAAATTTTGTACTCTATTCAGATAATTATTAATAAATATAAGGTGTTTCATACAGGACAGTTCAATTATCTTACTTACCAATTCAATATTTGTTATCACATTATGTGAATATTAAACCGTATTTACATCATTTTAAACTATTCTTCTTTAAAAGCGAATGAATTAAACTAAATTTGATATATTTTTAAATTCTAGACTTTATATCACCACTAAACTACCTAATCCTCATTATACACCAGAAATATCCTCTAAAGCGTTAATTGTAAATTTTGCTGTAAAACAACAAGGATTAGAAGCACAATTGCTTGGTATTGTAGTACGTAAAGAACGTCCTGAATTAGAAGAACAAAAAGATAATTTAGTCATAGGGATTGCAGCTGGTAAACGTAAACTTACAGAATTAGAAGATGAAATTTTAAGACTGTTAAATGAAGCACAAGGATCTTTATTGGATGATGAACAACTTGTAAATACTTTGCAAACATCGAAAGTTACATCATCTGTAAGTCATTTTTTGATTAAATATTTTATTATTTATTGAGCATATTATTCTATTGACTGAATTCATGAATTATTGCTAACTTTCGCTTGATTCGTTTTATAAGAAATATTGTTGTCTCATTTGTTTAACTGAAGTTTTATTACTGAAGACTAATGACTGATAACAAAAGTAAACTTCATAATGTCCTAATAAAATCCTAGAGTACTTACTATTTATCGATTTATATTTGAGAGTAAAAATATAATTGATGTACTGTAGTGAACAGAACACCAGTGGGGACAATCGAATGTATTTAACACAAAATTACAGAACTTGTTAATAAAATCTAGCAATCATAAAAAAATGCTTAATTTGCAAAATGTCCATCAATTGTCTCAAAATGATGCAGACTTCATTGTTCTTGCATTTTCATACAAATTGCATTCTGTTTCCATTCTTTACTGTTCGATCCTTTTTTCTCTCTGCTGCCAGACATTCTGTTCATGACTAACATCAATATAAGTAGCACACACCACAGTACTACTAACTCACTGAAACTGAAAGATAGTAAACAACTAACTCCATCCGAATAGTTCAGGAGAAACTCATCTATAAAATGAATGAAGAAATTTAATATGCCCTAAACTACAATGGTTTTCCCATGTTTAGTTAATTGTTCACAAAAACTGTATTTCACTTCAAGTTCAAATAGAATACAGTGTAATATAATATTAATAGCATTTTACTCCATTATGATACTGTTAAGCTAGTCAGGAATAAAAATATTTTTTTATGAAATGAGAAAATTCGTATTACATGAAGCTTCTGTAAGACTGATGAGGATTGTTCCACTCATTTAGCCTCCTCGATGAATCCATCACTAAATCTAAGGTACACTAATACTTTCATATATATCAGGTAGCTATAAAACAAAGGTTGGAAGTAGAAAGTATTTGACCTTCCATACATTTGCTCATATTTAATAAAACCTGAAAGTTGTTTTACCTATATTTTTGCAAGTAACCGGTTTACAAGTACTGTTTTGACTGTTTTTCTGGATAGATTGAATTTAGTCTGGTCCTTGCCTACTGTTTCTTTTTGTCTGGTTATTTTTTAAATTACTTTTTCGCTATCACTTTATTTTATTTTATCATTAACTCAAATTATGTGATACCTTGAAGTAACTCAGCAATAAGCTCCATCCCATATTTCATTGTTTATGTAACTAACATGAACATTTTAATATCGTGGTCAATACAAGATATCGATCATCTATATTAGCTTTTAATTTTGACTAGTTGGACCACTGAATCTGATATTTAGTAAATAAGTAACTTCCATGGAATATTCAAGCATCACTAATGATGGTTTACTATATAATGTTTAAATTTAAACGTTTATTCTATGATGTTGTCTTCTGCTTTAGAGTATTTCTCAATATGAAAACTGAATTCTGTTTACTTTCTACTATGTTCATATTTTGTCTCATGAAGTATTTCAACCTTTTTTTCATCGTCAGGAAGTCACTGAACAATTGAATGTTGCTGAAAAAACTGAAATACAAATTGACAAAGCTCGTGAAGGTTATCGTCCATCTGCACAACGTTCTTCAATTTTATTCTTTGTATTGAATGATATGAGTCGAATAGATCCCATGTATCAATTTTCTTTAGAAGCATACATTGATTTATTCACTTTAAGTATTGATAAAAGCCCAAAATCAACAAAATTAGATGATCGTATCACAAATTTAAATGACTATCACACTTATGCTGTGTATCGTTACACATGTCGTGGTTTATTTGAACGACATAAACTACTATTTTCATTTCATATTTGTTTAAAAATACTTGAGTCAGCTGGTAAAGTTAATGAAGATGAATATAATTTTTTTCTACGTGGCGGTGTTGTATTAGATCGTGAAAATCAATTTGATAATCCATGTACAACATGGTGTACAGAACAATGTTGGGATAATATTACAGAATTAGATAAATTAGCTAGTTTTCATGGTATTGTTACATCATTTGAACAATATTCAAGAGATTGGAATTTATGGTATACATCAGCTGAACCAGAAAATAGTTCTTTACCTGGTGAATGGGATAATACATTAAATGAATTTCAACGTATGCTTATTGTTCGTTCATTAAGACCAGATCGTGTATCGTTTTGTGCAACACGTTTTATTGTAAATAATTTAGGTAGTCGATTTGTTGAACCCCCCGTTTTGGATATGAAACAAGTAGTTGATGACAGTTCAACTAGAACACCATTAATATTTGTATTATCACCAGGTGTTGATCCTACAGCTGGTCTATTACAACTAGCTGATAATTGTGGAATGAGTAAGAAATTCCATGCGTTATCATTAGGTCAAGGTCAATCACCGATTGCTACACGATTAATTAAAGAAGGTATACGTGAAGGAAATTGGATATTTCTTGCTAACTGTCATCTTTCATTATCATGGATGCCAGCATTGGATAAAATTGTTGAACAATTGGGTATGGAAGAAATACATAATGATTTTCGTTTATGGCTTTCATCAAGTCCAAACCCAGCTTTTCCTATTTCAATTCTACAAGCTGGTATTAAAATGACTACAGAACCGCCAAAAGGTTTACGTTCAAATATGAAGCGGCTTTATCATCTTATTAAAGTAAGTTATACTTTGATAAAGAAATTTAATCAGTATTGATTTAGTTTAGTATATACGTATGTATATGTTTACAGTTCTAATTGGTGCAGGTTTATCTCGTTATTAAAACTACAGGTTTAGACCCTTTTACAAATCCCCCATAACAACTCACTTATCGATTTCATTTATTCTACGGAAAAGATAAGGGCAAATATTGAAACCAAATGCCAACGTTCTATCATTAGTTTTTGTCTTAAAATGGAAAAAAATGAGTTATAATAAACATTTTCAATCCTGATAATGATCACCTTTAAAAAATCAGTCAGTGACAATAAAATCTTTGGGAAATTTTGGAATTTATGGTGGCTGCGATGGTTCACCTAGAATCAAGCCACAAATAATTTATTATTTTTTCTTCCAAGAACTAAAAACATATATACTACATTTTTCAAAAGTAATCTCACTGCTCAGCCATATAAGATATATTGCTGTAGTCAACATATTTAAGTATAAAAATTTAAAATTGACTAGATTTTCAGAAAGCTCCATCCACTATTCAGTTTCAAGTTCTTGAACCTGTTATTAATATCAAGGACTCCATCCGATCCTTCTCTTCTGAAATATGTTCAGGTACATCCAGCTGACGAATCCCGACTACGATGAAATGTACATCCTTGATTCCACTGCAAGTCACTAAACGTCTTTACTTAAAAGAATTTCACCTATTCTCTATAAATGTTAATTCTACCGAAGCTTTCAACCACACGAATGAGATACGTGGGAAACTGAAGTCTAAAATATAATAATTTTTCTAGAGGACGGTTCTTTTATCTATGAATAAAAATAAATTGATTACAAGCCTCAACTCGTGAGGTATCTGCGGTAATTACCATGTCTGTATGCCTGAAATGAGAAAGGCTTCTTGCAATAATAACATAAAAATTCATTACAACATACGACAGCGTTAATGACAGCTGATACCTGTGTCTAATGTTAACTGTAGTTTACTAACAACCAAGATGGGAAATAAGAACATGCAAATATTAAAACTATTAGGTTTAAACAAAGATTCAGCAAATATATGAAACTGGAAATGACTGTTCCTGTGGTTAATAGGAAGTAATATTAATGATAAATACATTAAATATTATAAGTGTTTACAAATAATTTATGATATTATATAACAAACAAATGCATTACACCTCATGCCTAGAAATTAACAAGAATAAAACTGTTTACTGATTATAATGAAATAACATACAAGTAAGAATTTGGATGGGGGTAAACTAGGAACAGAATGTGCTAACGAACTTAACAAAACATTAAGTCAATGGACATAAATTTAATTTTTTTATTCAACTTCATTGGAGTTGATATTTTATTTTTATATACACACATACATTTACTTTACAGGAAGATCAATTTTCCTTATGTCAGAAACCAGAGAAATATAAAAAACTCCTATTTTCATTGTGCTATTTTCATTCAGTATTATTAGAACGCAAAAAGTTCCTTATGCTCGGTTGGAATATTCCATATGAATTTAATGATTCTGATTTTGAAGTATCTGAACATTTGTTAACAAATTATTTAGGCCAATATGATGAAACTCCATGGGATGCATTACGCTATTTAATTGCTGATATTAATTATGGTGGCCATGTTACTGATGATTGGGATCGTCGTTTATTAAATACGTACATTAGTGATTATTTTAGAGATGAAGTATTGAAAGAACCATTTTATAAACTATCGTCACTGCCATATTATTATATACCAAGAGATGGTACATTAAATGCTTATCGTGAATTTGTTACACTTTTACCACAAATTGATCATCCAGAAGCATTTGGTCAACATCCTAATGCAGATATCACATCACAAATTCAAGAGACACGAGTTCTTCTAGATACATTGCTTTCATTACAACCTCAAGTAAGGAAATCTTGTTCATTGTCTATTGATATGACTTCATTATAATTATTTTTATCATGAAGTTAAGGATATTTACAATTATTATAGCGGTATTTTTATCCTTGCAGTTAATCGAAACGAATAAGACCAAAGCAAATTTTTCAGAAATCTCAGTAAAAATAGTAAAAGAAAAAGCATTCTTCACGGTACAGAAGTGTCCTTAAAGTAGATTCTACGCGAGGTTGTGGATATGAGTTTCTGTAGCTTCTCACTAAAATGAAACACGCATCTATTACAATTTTGATTCTTTTACTAATGCTAATACAAAACAAAATGAAACAAAGAAAATTTTCTATTGTCTCAAATTTAATTTTTGTATTGACTTTTGAATTTGTGAGGAAAAAACAATTTTTGGAGTAAACTATTCATGTATCTAAAATTGATACTGCATAATCGAATTTTTGTGTCTTAATGAACTTTTCGATTACAGTAATTTACTCAAATTGTAACAAACTTGCGATATACAAGATATTTAAGGGAGTAACACCAGTAATATGATGGTTCACTCAGCATTAAGTATATTCACTAAACCTAAAATAACCAATATTTTTTTACATTTTATAGGCAGTTTGTAATTTAAATAGGATATAATAAATCTCAAAGGCAAGTAGCTAATTCGCTAGTGAAAATAAGAACTTATACCATTACATAAAATCTATAGTACGTCGTTAATTGAACTATAGTATAAGTTACTATCTATTTTAGAGGCTGATACATGGGAGTTACAAACTTGACATCTCTCTAAATCATTTTATCATATATTCGAAGTTTTCGGGATCCATTCGTCTATGTGATTTAAAACTATACTGAATTTCTGACGTTTAATTATCCTGTTTCATAATCCTTTCGTAAATGTATTTTCAGGTATCACAAGGTACAGGTGTTTCACGTGAAGAAAAAGTTCTTGACTTAATTGATAATTTACAAAAGCAGTTACCTGGAGATATTGATTTTGAAGGTACTATGAAAATGTTTGCAACAGATCACTCACCACTAGTGGTTGTTCTACTGCAAGAAATACAACGTTACAATCATCTTCTTGGTTTAATACGCAATCAACTATCAGATTTAAGTAAGGGTATTCAAGGCTTGGTTGTAATGTCATCAGAACTCGAACAGATATTCACTTCAATTTTTGACGGACATGTTCCAAAACAATGGAGCAAGGTAAATTTACAAATCACGAGATTTGTCGGCATTATCTGATATTGTGCATGTATATACTTGATTATCCTAAAACTAGTATATATAATTATTTCTTCATTTATAATCATCCTAGCTACACTTTGAACTTTAGTTTCAACCACGGCCTGGCATAAGGACTGATCAGCTTCCTCCTTACTAGAGAACTCTTTGCCGTGATCACCGGCTATGCCACACTAAACTAAATCCAGGACACTGAGGTCTCAAGTTGAGTACGGTATTTTTAGGGCACTAAATTAGAATCTGTTTGACTACACTAACGGTTTTGATCAGTTTGCGATATTTTGTGGTGCTTTTTTCAGTAATTTTGTTAGTATCTATCTCATTTTTTACAAGGTTAAGTTCTACCTGTTGTGGTTTCTCGTGAACATCTCATTTCATCTTGGAACTAATCAGTGGTAAACAGATTTTCATTTTAGGATAAAAGGGTTTGTGGATATTTTCGACTTAAAATAAGCTCCCATCACAGACTACTGGGTCCCAACTCATATCCCTGACAATGATTCCGTCAAAAGCCATTCGTGAACACTCCTTATATGTTAAAAATCATAATGAAAACTCTCTGGTAACCTTAGTGACTCACCTGTATATATTTATTTCCCATGTCAATAAAGTAATATCATATGGTCGTGTACGAACGGCTGTCGTGATAATCATGGTCACTCATTATCACAAAACTACAACTTATCCATTATCTTACTATTAGGTAAATTCTAAATCATCCAGTTGTAACGGAGTGAATATTTTGAAAACTGTAATTTTTTAATTTCGTACGAACAAGTATTGTTCATACTTTGTTGTATCAGACGCTTGGATTATTGCATTTGTACACTTTTTCATTTATTCGTTTTCATGTGGTATATGAACTGTTGATTTGTGTTTTACTTTCCTTAAGTTATTATTAATTAATTACGTACCCATTATGCAGTCTCGTTTTTATCTATGGTGTACTTAAGTTCACGCTGTAGTTTATTATTCATGTTGCCGAGTTTTTAGTCATAATAGTAATAGCACAATAGTGGTCTTATCTGCTTGTTGTGTCTCTTAACGAGATTAAGAGAGTCATGCTCCTGACACAATAGACGTTACGTCGGCCACAGCTAAAAGTTATCGTTACCAGTCAAAGTACATAATTAATCCAAGTAATGGATATTAGTCTACGTGAAGGACAAGTTCACTTAAGGTAGAAAAGTATAATTCGGTTTGGTTAGTTATATCGAATGTTATTAATTTAATCTTCATGAAATATCCGTTTAGGGATTTTAGTTTATAAAATTTTACTCTTCAAAGTTAATAAAACTATCTAAGTAAATGAAGGTCTCAGGATGTTTAATAGCTTCGTTTCTGCTACAAAACTAGACATGAATGTAAACCAACTGCAGAGAATCATTTTTTTCTTTTCATCGAGAAAATTATCTCAGATATTTCCAGGCTTTGATTCTAAATACTTAGGAGATCGAGTTTCATCGCATTCACCAATGCGGGAAGTAATCGTTGCACTCTGAGTTGAAAAGCAGCTTATCCCATTCTATACTAATCTTATTGTCAAATGTTCGGGAAACTTTCGGGTTTGGAAGTATATGACAAATGTGTTGTAGAGTGATTCAAAATGAACAAATATAAGGACCAATACTATCGGCACATATTGTAAACTAGTTACATTCCATACAACTTAATTCGCAATTGAAATTCAGTCCACAACTACCAGCTTAATATTACATAGTACAATAATTTTAAAGTTATGATTTGTTATTCCTTTGCTACAGATAACATAATTTTCTGTCATTTTTTCAAAAATCTATTTTAGACATATTCTTCACTAAAACCTTTAGGTTCGTGGGCAAGAGATTTAGCAGCACGTGTTGAATTATTCGCTAAATGGGCTAGTACAACACATCCACCAAAATTATTTTGGATTGGTGCATTCACTTTTCCAACAGGTTTTCTTACAGCAGTTCTACAAACATCAGCAAGAAAAAATAATATTTCTGTAGATAGTTTAAGTTGGGAATTCAGTGTACTTGCTACAAGTGATCCTAATGTTTTAGTCACTCCAAAAGATGGTGTCTATATAAGTAATTTATATTTACAAGGAGCTGGATGGGATAGAAAAAATTATTGTTTAATTGAAGCTGCACCAATGGAATTAGTATGTCCAATGCCTGGTGTACATTTTAAACCAGTAGAAAATAAAAAGAAATCATCTAAAAGTAAAGTATACATTTTATTCATGGGTTGCTCAATGTTTCATTTACTTGATATGGATTATACTAACGATTACTTTTGCCTCACTCCTAGTAAACTATAAGCGTAATCTAGTAATATCTTTGCAAAAAATATTTATATCAGTATGGGGTTGTGGTGACTATTAAGTTTTTGATTGAGATCATGAACCGATTGATGTTAGACTCCTCAGCAGTGCGCATCCACGATCTTGTAGCGTAGTGTCGAGTCGAGATTGACTATGAACACCACTACAAAGGAACGCGTGCCAGGATATCCATAAAATCCCCCGGAAGCCAAATATCAGAAGGCAGTTAATGAACCAAGTCGAGATATATTTGCTGGCGATCTCGTGGTATCTAAAGGATACCGAGGTCGTGCCAGGATACAAGCTTGGTTACAGAACGTAACCGAATTCGCGCGAGTTCACAATCAAAGTGTAGGAATAATGGATGAACCGATAGAAACAATGGTACAATTTATAACAAAGAACGGACTTACTAAATTGCACCAATATATCAATTGTTTGTGAAATATCGTTATTTATTATGAGTATTATCGTTACGTTCAATAATGTTTGTGAGATAATGTACGCGTAATTAAAATAATGATATAATAAGTCCACAATTATGATTATAATCCAGATGATAATCCGAATTGAAGGAGGGCGTGTTGAATTTTCGAAATTAGTTTGTGTTTGCACGTTGGGATCACCAATTCTGTGGTGGTCGGTACTCAATATAATCCTTAAACTTTGTATACTTTTCGTCCTGATAACAGTCACTAGATGACGCCCCAACTGTGTATTAATCAGAAGACGAATACGAAGCGTTGATTAAGTTTATTATTGCACCACTCATAGATAACCCAAATTACAGGTACGCTAAGAAAGCGTGAAAGAGTGGTGCTGAAAATCAAGCAGGTGAGCGAGTCAGCGAGTCAATGAACAGGATTAAAACGTACGTATATATATATATATATATATATATATATATATATATTGAGTGTTCACCAGTTAGATGTTAGCAGTTCAGTAAATGAACATCTGAATAGTGTACATTCCTTTCGTTGTATATTGCCAGCAACTACATTGTCTATTGAATTTTTTGTAACTTTGACAACGAAAGGTTGTACACTTTTTAGAAACGCAGCAGGATAGGTTATGCGATTAATAAACATAATGGTATATTAAAACAAACAAAAATAGATAACTTGTTGAAATATCTGGATGGCAGGAACAGGTAGCCCAGATGCTCAAGCAGGCCGCCCTTTATAGAATGAATATGTGGGTAGGAAGTAATCAATGCTCAAGCATACATATTCATACAAGTGAAGCAATAATAAAGGTAAAATGCTCTAGATAAGTTGTTATTGTACGGATGACTCTGTCCGTCAAATAAGTTAACAAAAGCATTAACCAAATTGCATATGAGATGCTATAAAATCTTATTTTTCTAGCTATTTGTATATCACAGGCTTATAAATTGATTTCAATATTTGTCAAGACTGAAATATTTCTTTGAATGAAATAATCTTCGTCTTATAATTCGAACTTATCGTGAATATTATGATATCGTTTTTAGCTTGATTATGAAATGTAATTTGCATTGACAGTTTTATTTCTAACCCAGAGATATTACGATGATAGAACTTTGAGTAAAATCAAAACTGTATCTATTGAATATCACTACACAACGTAATACAGTCTTCGAGGCACCAGTTTACTTATTTGTAAAGATTTACATTGATTACTATTTCATTGTAAAATATTTCTGCTCATTTTTTCTAGATATTTATGTAGCTCCATGTTATTATTATCCAAATCGAGCTGGTACAACAGACAGACCTTCATTTATGCTTGGAGTAGAACTAAAAACCGGTGAAAAACCACCTGAACATTGGACTAAACGAAGTACTGCACTTCTGATGAACTTGGACGTCTAATATTAAAAATCATGACAATGAAGTGTATCTATAACTTACGATTTTTTTATGTCATTATTTCTATATTCTTTAGGTAATTGATAAGACCTCATCTAAGAGGTTATTTTTGCTGTTATTAAATATAATTTCAACAATATCCAAATATACTATAGTATTTGTGTCATTAAAAGTTATCTAACTGAGAGCGAAAATTCACTTGTTGTTTTACTTGTATCTTCTCATTGTTATTTAGGAATGCAATTGATCACTCTCTTTTTGACATATGTGCGTATCACCTCGATATAGCCTTAAGTTACAAGCTTTTCAAGCAAAGATGGATAGTAGCTGGCAGTGGAATCCAGGACAAGTCCCAAATAGAACGAAACGCGCGTCCTGGACTCCAATGCTAGCCATTATCCATCTTTGCTTAGTTGAGAGTGATTTTCGTAGTTTTAATTGGATGTTTACTTATTGGTTTAATGACAGTTGTAAAATCCACGATTAGTGATTATTAACATTTAAAATGGCTAATTGAACATAACTGCTTCTCGCTGTTTCTACTGTCATTCTATTATCACTGATCGCATCAAGTGTATGTAGTTACTAAGTCGCTTAACACCCATAAATTGCAATGGATTATATATTTAATTTCCAATAGTGAAAACATAATGCAATTCGTACATACATTTATGGACCGTCTTTAGTTAAACTGCCTTTGGAAACCAGGAAGCACTAGACAGCTTTTACTGCTTAGGACTGGACTACTCAATAATGCTATCCAAGATCACACTTGGCAATAAACTTGGAACCTTCGTGTCTAGAATCAAACACTTGACCTTCAAACTACCGAGTTGGTATCCCATTGTTAAGATTCATAACTTCAGCCAACCCCATTAACTAACAATTATCCAGTTTTTATCAGCGATTAAATGTGAGAAGTGATACCCAGAGTTTTAGACAAGCAGCAGCTAGTGAGGTCCAATCAAGTCGGACGTGAAACTCAAGGCATTGGATAATGGTCGCCAATTTTGTTGATTGCCTTTAGTTAGGAATGTAAACCACTAGATCGTGCTTATCGTTAAACCGGAAGGTCGTGATTTTTATTTTTGATATGGTAGTCAATGAACACTGCTGAGGGTCGTCACAGTGGCACGAAACGGATGACCGATGTTCCAGTTTTCAATAACTATCTAACCAAAATCAGATCAGAGTGTAGAACTGCATACTTAGCAAGCCCCCACGCTGACAGTTCACGGATTTTCTTAATAGAATGCTTGTTATTTAATGTAACATAGGAATTCATACTACGTCAATTCCCTGTGAAATACGCTTTATTAACTATTCATTATAACGGTTGGTTTTCCACGTTTACATGTATGAAACAATAATTTACCTTGAACGAATATCTACACTAGATCCCCTTTCAGTGTCTATTCTACAGGACTTCAACACAACTCACATCAAGAACATGTGATTAACCTGATCACAACGTAAATATATTTCCACACCAAACCCGACACAATCCAAAAACAATGAATAATTAATAACAACAATTATAGGGATAGGGGAATATATAACTCACCTGACACTTGTCAAACTATCTATATATCTGACTCAGCAGACAGCCAATCATTCTCGCCCACACATCACTATTCCTCATAGTAAACTGGTTTGCAACCCAGTTAAAAAAAACTCAATGAGCTGTTTTCATCATATGCAGTACACTAGAGAGTGTACCAACGTCATGGAATGAGTCGATAGTTGTCCCTATCTTTAAAAAGGGTTCACGTCGTTCTTGTAACAACTATCGGGGGATAAGTTTACTTCCGATTGCGTCCAAGCTATTGGCTTCCGTCATTCTTCGTAGGTTGTTCAAAACCCGAGAAAGATTGACTCGCGAGGAGCAGGCTGGGTTTCGTTCTGGTCGAGGATGTATTGATCATATCACGGCAGTACACAAGCATCCAAGTTATAAACGCATCGAATTTCAGGCCTTAAATTTATCCAAAACTTACATTGTTTTCTTTAAGAATGTATATTATGAATACTTTACTGTAAACTGAACCCATGAAAAAAACGTAGGATAAGGTGTAAATGATATATCTGCTAGATCTTTCCTCACTACCTTTCCCAATAAAAGACTTACAAAATTTAATACACTTACGGACGAAAATATATATCTTTCAGATCAGTAAGCCGCTGTGTATTCACCATAACAACCGCATCACTTGCGCCCTTAATCACCTCTTGATTACTTAACCTTTACTCATTCCTCCTAACGAAGACGGCTATAATGTCGAATTTCAACCCAAACGCGTAAGTTTATGGATCTCAGTGTAAAATGTGCTAACCAGATCATAGATCCTATCAAATCGCAGTCTACTGAATATTTTTCATTGTAAATACTACCGCTTTTGGTATACATCTTACTTTTTGCGAAACTGGTACTTTGAACAAAAATCTTGATGCTATTAATAATGATATGGAACGAAGTTTAATGGTAGGTCCATCCAGTTTCAGCAAATGTTGGTCATTAATTCTGAAAGGACACTGAATTTCTATTGTTACCCTTAAGATATATACATATCTCATCAAGTTTGACATAGACCCAAAGTAATGAATTGAAATTCCTTTTTTGTTATAAAATAACAATTATATGTAGAACAAACACTGATTTAGCATGGCAAAAGACAGATGGGGGATGTTATATATTTTCAAAGCATGTAGAGAAGAACTATACCTTTAAAACTTCTTTATTAGCTAATTCCTTAGAATACAATGATTTTTGGCAGTGCAAATTAAACTTGGATTTCGACCAACTAATAATCATCTATAACGTGCTTACGACACCATATGAAGTTAAACTTTAGGCAGAATCAGTGAAACATGGCCGGTAAGAGCAGAGGACATTCGTAGGTTACTAATATTCGATCATAGATGTCTTCGAAGCATTGCTCGTATATCCTGGGACCATCGAGTAAGTAACGCAGTTGTTAGGAAACGGGTACTAGGTAAGGATGACAAATCGATTGATGAAGTGGTGAAACTTCATCAGTTGAGATGGCTGGGACATGTGTTACGTATGCCCAACCACCAACTGCCTCGACGTGCGATGTTCAATGGTATAAAAGTAGGTTGGAAGAAAGTTAGGGGCGGCCAGACCAAAATATGTCACAAGTTTATGAAGTCACTGACAAGTAGACTGAGTCATATTGGTAGGTGTAGAATACCTGGTTGGGGAGCGCCAGATAATAGCAACCGATGGTTAAAGACCCTGAATGACATGGCTCAAAATCGTTTGCACTCTTTGTGTTCTTTCAAATCCTAATCTTCTGAATTCTTCATGCCCCTTTTTTTCCTCTTTTTAAATTTATCTAACTGAATTATACTACTTGAATAACATCTTCAAACCCTAATCTTTCTGATTACTGCTTATACTCTTACCGCCTCTACCACTACGGGATTTGAATCGACAACTGCATCTCTGTGCTAATGTGGTGTGGCAACTCGAACTGATGTACGTACGTACGAAGTTCTACGTTGTTACTGACTGACTGACTTTAGGAAATTTTATGTATCACGTTAGGACATACCCAACGAAGTACGGAATTTCTCGAATCTTTCTTGATAAAATTAATTCATTTACAGCCATATGCACACTAAGTTCATTTTTAAGAAATTGTAATCATCACAAGCAGAGGTAAACGAAACTTATAACTTGTCGGAAATAATGAACAATTTTTACACATTTACAATACACACATGTTACATTACAACTATACATTTTAGAAAGAGTCTATTGAGTGAAATTCGATTTAGTTGCGACAAACCAATGTTCATTTTTACCTACAAATAACAAAATGAAACGACAATCAAACAAGGAATGAAAAGTACACAGTTACGGAACTATTCAACTTGACTTTTAACTGATCGGCAGATAAAGCCTAAACTGAATATTAAATCGTGAGCCAGATATTCTAAACACTACATATAAACCTACCCTTTGCACTTATTCTTAAGTAGCTACTATATGTAGCAAACAGTTGAAGAAAATGGTCGCTGATAGAAACTCTGCATAGATTTAAAATATTTGATTATCATGTATTAGTGTATCCTGTCAATAATGTCATTAACAGGCTAGCTTTCCTTTTAACGGTCAAGTACAGAATGTGGCGATGTGTTGGGTAACTGTGCGAAATGAGACAACTATCTCAATATGTGTAGTCGCTTGTGTGATTTAATTAAAAAGTAATCAACAGTTATGTTAGTACCCAGATATTATTAAAAAAAGATGTATTCAGCTTGAAATTTAATTAATGAAAGCTATAAAAGTTCAGTAATTAAATAGTACCATAGACGATTCTCATTTGAACTGAAAGTTGATTAAACCAAAAGGCGACACAATCGTTGAAATAATTCACTGTTTATCTAAATGAGATGAATTGCAGGTGTTTAAGTTAATATATACAAGATTCCAGGAGTCCGCAGCTCGTAGCTTAAAATAACAGTACTCGGAATCTATTATACTTGTACACACTCATTTACTCTCTTTATTTGATATTTCTAAAAGTCTGTGATGGAAGGACACTTCTGGTGCGAAATTCGATGAATAAAATATGAGCAACAAAACAATAAAATAGTATATCAGTTACATGTTCATATAATACAAAATAACGAGTATATTATATGCAGACTGAACACCTTATGCGGTTATCTAACTTTGTTGATTGCATGTTGAGGGCATAAATATCAAAGCCAAAGCCCCTCAAAGTAAACAAAAGATAACAGCGAGATAGATTAACTTAGTAGGGAAATAGAATAATTTATACACATATACAAAAGGCTAACTTACCTAGTCGTAGGATACCTAAACCGGTGGTTTGATCAAATCTGCTAAATGCTGCTTGTATATTTTCGGGTGACATTTCAAATTTATTGCCCTTCTTTAAAAGGTTAACATTATTTAGTACAACACCTCTCATGAAACATGTTTGTAAAGCTTCAGATCGATCTTTAAAGTTTGAGGTCAGCATAATTAGATCTAAAACACTTTCTAAAAGTTGACTATAATCATTTCCAGATCTTTTCAAAGAATCAGTGAAATCTTTGGGATAAATAACTGGCAGAAATTGTGCAGATGGTTTCAAGCAGGAGAAGAGATAGTTACGTTCTGAACTACTCAGTTCATTTTGAATTATTTCCAGACTGGTTTTATCAACTGGCAGGCTATCATTCGGGCAATTTACAGAACTAGGAAAAAATATTCGAGTTGCAAGTTCTGAAGCTTGTAAAGCATAGACTAAAAAGGTAGAAACAAGTGTTTTTTCCTGATAGCTGAATCCACTAAACATCAGTTGAGTAAAAATGTGGCATATTAATTAAAAAGTTACTTATGATCTCTTGGTTAGAGATCCAAATTACGCAAAAATCCGCTTCAGTTTGGATAGCCAGGTAGTAGCATTACCCTTCACTAATAGCATGTCTAAAAGTATATAACGTTGTACTTCGCTAATAAGTTGCATGAAATTAGATTAAAAATCGGTTAGTCAACGTTCGAATATTATGTTTGCTATGACGACTACTTATCAATTATGAAGTTTACATTCAATTTATGAAGTAAAGTAACCAGCAATAAGACAATTATCGTACGCTGAGCATAACACGAAACTAGTTAATGGACGTACAAGAACAAGTTGTTTCATGGCTTGAAAACATCATTGAGTAAAAGTAGTGTGAAAAATTTTGAAAATTACACTTACTGAAGTAACTATAGTAAATGATAGACTGAACAGACAGTATGTGAAATGTTGGTAACCTAGTTGACTAAATATCACAAATTATGAATCATTGCATATAGACGCCATCGTATAGCCTGACTATTATTATCTCACCAAAAGCCAGTACTAAGGTACATTGATATCAGACAGAAATGACAGTTAAGTGAATACACACGGTTAACACTGAAATACATATTATATGGACAATTATATAATCATGAGTGACAGGGCTTGGAAAAGTAAACAAAAAGTGAAATGATCCACAGTATAACTCACCTCCGTGAACTAGTAAAGTGAGTTCTTTTGCCAGAGCCTTTTGAACTATACGACGATTAGGATGCTTCTATGTTTTTAAATACAAATTCAGAGAAAATAAATGGTGAAATTATTGTGAATAGTAAACTATCGCTAAGTATTGGCGAAGGTTATAATTAAGAATATGACTAATATAATTTATTGACCAAGTATAAAACTATGTACTCGTCTTTGAGTCACCCTAGTTGTACGCAAATCAAAGTAGAGGAGAGTTCAAACCGGCGATTCAGTGAATGAGAGCTAACCAATAACATGAAAACTAGTAAAATTATTCCAAAACCTCTCTATGATTAGAGTATCATCACAGAATGAAATGTAAACTAGTATCTGACAAAATATGAGTGCTAAACACTCTTAGCCTGTACAGTAGATGATTTTACGCACGAAGACATTGGCAAATCAATCCCATAGGGGAACCTACGTCAAGAATTCGATCATGTGAGGAATTATCACTTGGCCACATTTTATCATTCCATATCATTTATTAAACATCATTGGATTCTTTACTTTACCAATCCAAAACTCGCTCAGATCATTAAGTCCCATTACATAACAATAATAGAACAACACATATAAGCGAACAATTGTTTTCAATTAGATCGTCATCAGGCTTTACTCTAATATACATGAATATTTATACGAAAATTTTAAACCAATCAAGGCAACCACTAAAATTTTCGTATAAATATTCATGTATATTAGAGTAAAGCCTGATGACGATCTAATTGAAAACAATTGTTCGCTTATATGTGTTGTTCTAATTTTCACAATGGGAATCTTTAATATTATAACAATAATAACCAGCATTAGTCCCACGAATTAAAATTATTATGTTTGCGTTTTGTAAATAGCTAATTAACACGAACTAGACGAAATACAAAATAGTCACTCAAAGATGAAAGTGTAAATTTTTAACCTTAAATATCTTTTGAAAACAAGTAATAAGTTTTCTGAATGAAGGTGTAGCAAATAACTTACTTTATGGTTAGTTAACAATTGATCTATTTCCTCAGGTCCAAAGAAGGTCAACTGACGAACCAGTTTATCGGATATAATACTATCAGGCAAATTTAAAATCTTTTGGTAGAAATTGTAAGGTTTCAGTTTTTCACTCATTAACCATATAGTATCCATTCCACACTCCGAGTTGGGAACAGATTTTCCTAATTTCTGACCATCTGGGGTAGTCAGCAGAGGAACAGTTAAGCCTAATCGATAAAATAATATATTTGGTTGGTCCAAATATTCTGCAATTGATCAAGTTTCATGATTGTCATAAATTATAACTTACACAATACAATGAAAACACCAAGAAAAACAATGATCATAGTCGTAACTCAAAGAACCTAAATCATGCTTGAATTTGAATCAAAGGTATATAGTTTAATTATCATATGCTTCACTAAACGAATCCCGTAACCTTACAGCCTATTCATTATCCCTTATACTTAAGTTATGCTTATATTTTAACAATAGCATCTAAACCAAGCAAAATATTTTATAGGAGCCTACGTTTAAATTTGAACGAATAGTTTTACCATAGTTGCGCCAAGTGCATGAAAGATGTTAGGAGAGTTATATTTGTGAAAACTCAGTGGTAGAGTCAATGATAGCATTAAATAAGTTGAGTAAATTATCATAGTAAATATAAAGTACAAATTGATGATAAGATGACAGGTATAATAATAAACACAGGAATATTAAGCAGTACAGCAGCATGAACATGTACATCAAGATAGGAAGTACGTCAAAACTTGTGAAAACAAACTTATTAGGTAGTGGTCAACAGAAATAACGTGATATGAAGTATGTGAACAATCAATTCCGCCATGCGAATGGTAAAGAAATACAAAGAGGTGTGGAAGAAACAAACAAAGGGTGGACAGAATTAGCAAGATAGTCTACTTAGTGGCTGTTGGCAAGATCAATTCTTATTACAAAATCTTGAAGGCATTCCATAAATCACTCTGCATATTTTGGGTCCATATACAATATGACCACTACCGACCAACAGAGATGAGTGTTGATTCTGTCTGACCCTTTTGACAGCACGAAAGATAATTAATTGGTTGGTCAACTTGTCTGGTAGTACGGCCAATCTAGATCAACATAAGTAGTATATAACGGTGGTCAGGCATAGGATGTATTTTAGAATAAGATCAATAAGGAAAGAACGGGAACAGAACATAATTGATATGAAAATGCCATGTTGGTAGGTGCAGACTACTTGGTTGGGGTCCGCGTGACTATCGTAACCAATGGTTGGAGACTCTGTGTGACATGGCTCAGAATCCATCACAATCGTGTAGGTGTATACACTCTTTGTCTTCACCTAAACCGTGAGATTAAAATTACCTTATACCTTTCTTTCTACGAACTAATTCCTTCTGTATTATATTCTTAAATGCAATCTTTCTTTTATATATTAATAACACTGAAGTAACCACTAAGAAGCTGATGTTCATCTTGTTGTGTTAATGAGATATGTTAACTTGAACTGATGCATACATGTGCGTGGTCCTACGTTGTAGCTGACGGACTAACTATCTTCATTGCCTTCTTTGTGTGATACTTATGTTGGTGTTCAGTTTTAATGGCATTTATGTATCAAGTAAATACTAAAATATTTTTTTGGTATTTAAACTAATTACAACTTTTCATCACATTAAGTTTCTCAAGTCAATCAGCTTAGATCCTGTTTAGTTTGGGAATTTATCGTGATACCAGTACTGGTACTATCGTCATACAATCCGCATTTATTTGACTCCAGTTTGCTGGGAAATTAAGCACAGGAACTTACACTGTTATTATACTAAGTTATAAGGTTTTTCTATCTGTTTAAAATGTTGCGTCCCTTCAGACTTGAGTGAACAGAAAACGGAGAGGAGTTACGATGACTGATTGTTATCAGTACATAGATAGTACACAATAAACAGCTGGTCAAAAATAAGCTACACTGGTACGAACAAATATGATAACCAAACTCATTAGAAGTAATACCAGTATTGAAGTAAAATGCAAAGTACTCTCTGAACAAATACACAACATTAGGAGAGATTCCACTTACCAAAAGCACGCCGACCAAGTTTGCGATAGATGAGGTTCAATCCACAAGTTATGTTGCCGATCTGATCATGCCCACCAACCTATAATAAAGTTTATTCGAACTTAATGATGTATACCTGCATATAACAATTAAACCTTTCATGTAAGTATAGGAAGTCTATTGCTTGTACGATTGGATAAAAAAATTCCCCAAGATCCATAGTATTTCCACTTTCCATTCTTATTTTAACGCTAGAAAATGTGATCAGAAAGAGTTAAAATAAACTGATACGTCATTAGGTATGGGTTAAAATAAATCAGTAATCAATCTGATGTAATAACCCTTTAGAGCACTTTAGGGGAGCGGAGTAATTTTTGATTGTTCTTACTTAATTTATAGCATTCTATACTTTGATTTTTAATATGGATGATCTTTTCTAATCTCCCGAAATGACCAACACACTAGCCGCGCGATAACAGAGTATACCATAAAAATTCATTAGGTAAAATCACCATAAAAAGAGAGATGACGCAGTTCTTTTGCATTACCTTGTAAGATACTGGTAGGTAACTTACTTAGGAAATTGGTAGTAACTGTGTTCTATCCGCATTCATCTCCCCGATATTTTGTGAGTTGAATATTATGCTGACAAACCCATAATTTAGTTGTTTTTGTCAGGTGACTTTTAGGATAGAAACAGAAATACACTTATTTGGAATACACTCCGCAGTACACCAGCCGTTAATTTCGGTCGTAAAACTATAACACCTTTGACCATAAGTGTTGAAACGGTTGTCACCAAGTAACATCAGGAATAAAATGGGGAAATCTATTACGTTGGTGAAAATGCTAGGCTAACCTTGGGAAGATCCAACTACTTGTTAGGGTCAAAGGAAGATTTATTTATTTATTTGAACACATATATTGGTACAGGAGTGCGCCAAATATATATGCGCCACACAAAACAATGAGAATTTAAGAAAAAGAAAAAAGTGGGGAACGTAAAGAAAGATATAAAAAACAATAATGAGGAGATTGGTGTAAGGTAGTTTAATAATAATAGTAATAGTAGGGGAACAGAAGGGTACAATCAGAGGATTATAGACTAGTGTGATAAACTAGAGGGTCCTCATCATGAACTAAAACCAGCTGTAATGCCGAGATGCTCCATATCCATATTTATGAATGAATTTCAGACCAAAATCCGCGACTTTCTTGGATCTGATTGGTTTGTTTACAAATTATGGTTCCACTGACCTGTTCACATACAATACAAGGTTAGTATATAATATGATCTTGAATTTGAGATTACACTAAACTGTTAAAATAACAAATACAGGTCTTTAGAAGTCCCTACTAAGTTGTAGAATATATTAGACTCGGCACTATACTACAGGAAGTGTATAAAAAAATCAAATATTTTCGCAGTGTTCACCTCCACAATCAAAGGTGCTAGTTGAAGGAAATCGTGACCTACATTGTTTTGCAGATGGGTTAGTGTAGGGCGCTCGGTTGGAAATAAAACTATACCATGCTATAAAATACAGAAGCAGTGTAACGAAATATATTTGTCACCCTACAGGTTCATTTTAACAGGTCAAATAATAAATATATGTATAACGGATGGACCAACCTTTCTTTCTCCAATAATTCAGACAACTTGAAGTGCGGCAAAACTTTGCACGAAACGTCCACCACACTTTTGTGAGTCAGCCAATCGGAATTGTTAACGACATTAACTGAACCTAGCTTTCCAGAGATCGATAAAGCTGGGACAATTTGTGTCCAGTAATTATGGATTATCTGATTCAGATTGTGCTCTATGAGACTAGAATTGGAAGCATACTGTTCCAAGGATTGGTATTCACGTTTTTTAGTTCTGCCAGTAGGATCACCCAGGATACTAGTAGATCCACCAACCTTGAGAAAGTTATAAAACTTGAAGTGACTGACATACAACTGCAACTATATCTTTGCCAGATAAGTGACAACGAAGCAAACCACAAACAGCCACAAGGTTTCCCAACTGTAGGCTGTCACATGTAGGATCGAATCCAGAATAAACAGAGAAGTTTCCTGTCGTTTCAAGGTCTAACAAGTATTTTTCACTTGAAATCTATTCTGTTTACGTCATATGCAAAAATACCTCTTATTTGGAAGAATTTCCGAAAAGTAGCCATTTGTAAGGTAGTCACTAATCCTTTTTTGCGAGTGGTAACTCCTAAGCACATGTCCGACAAAACACTCCCTTCGGGACACTAGGTGTAACGCAAACATCGAAACTGCTTGATTCAAACACGTGATTTTCTTAGACAAAAATAGTGATATTCAGGTTCTTCTTCAAAGTTGTAAGGGATAGATCTTGGTTGAGAAAATTTTTGATTAATGTGTTGATTCTTCGGATTCCTAAAAAGGATAATTGAAATCTAGAGGATAGTATCAGGGATTCCTGCTAGCCATTTTCTTATGACTCTTTGTGCGTCTAGTTTTTAGAATGAACAAATTAAAGGCCCACACACCATTTGTATTGGTTTTAAATCCCATAAATTTATTATTGGGCAGAAAAACCTGCACAATATAAAGATTTAGTCCGTTCGTGGCTTTTGAATCCCCCCGTAATGTCCGCTAAGTTGCCCTGATTCTATTGAAAGGAAGATGGGGAACGTGTAAAATAGAAAACGGCTATGGGCCACCACCGAATCATAAATAATTCAGCTTTTAGTGTAGTGGAGGATAGTATTGTAGTGACTCACGTTTATCACGAGAACACGACTGGTTTAATAAAAACAATTATTATTATAACCAACTGTACCAGTGTTTGTTTTAACGTGCTTTTGTTTGACTGTGCTATTGACAGCTATTTTGTGCTTCCATTCTTATACTTACACTTTGATTGTAACTTCGCGCGAATTCGGTTACGTTCTGTAACCAAGCTTGTATCCTGGCACGATCTCGGTATCCTTTCGATGCCACGAGATCGCCAGCAAATAAACATCGACTTGGTCCATTAATTGCCTTCTGGTATTCGGCTTCTCGGGGATTTTATGGAGTCATTTGGAACGAGCTTCTTACGCCTTCTGATCTATTTGGCACGTGTTTCTTGGTAGCGGTGTTCACAGTTAATCTCAACTCGACGCCACGCTACAATTGGTAATCCCAATTCGACTACAATTGGTGACCCGTATTTTGGAACACGCCTCAACTTCTGATCAAATCTTCTAAAGAAGCCAATTCGGTGAGTCTATGATTTATCTATCCACGTCTGTCGTATATTTTCATATTTTTTAATATATAATATACGCGACATGACGGATAACGATAAGAATAGTATTAATATAATAGACTCACACGTATGTGTACCGAATCCTTGTCACTTTTTATTCGCGTGATGATGAATTCCACGCTTTATTCGAGAAATGTTACCCTATTAACGATTCTCCTCGCTGACCCGGCTGCTTGGTACGGAATGCATACGCATAAGCATATCCGTCTACCACCCAGCACCAAATGGTTAAGTTGAACGGTTTCACTGCCCACTTAAAAGTGTTCTACGAGCACACGAAAACGGCAACTGGCACGAAACCTTACCGCTCGTTCTTTTAGGGATCAGAACGAGCTTAAAGGCAGATATACAATGTTCCGCCACTGAACTTGTATACGGCACGACATTGCGTCTGCCCGGAGAATTCTTCACACCACGGAGCAGACCTAATTTCGGTAAATCAGACTACGTCCATCGACTGTCTGCATTTATGCGAACGCTGTCTCCGGTGTCAACTCGAATACAACATCGACAGGTCGCTCTCCCTCGACAGTTATCTACCTGTTCACATGTTTTTGTACGAGTAGATTCGGTACGCAAACCTTGGCAACAACCTTACGAAGGCCCTTTTCACGTGATCGCTCGTCACGAAAAGACCTTCAAGGTTGATCGATATGGACGCGTCGAGATCGTCAGCATTGATCGTCTCAAACCAGCACACGTCGATGACAGTGCCCTATCTGACACCCTGAGATTCAATGCTAGACCTAGCAAACCTACTAGCGGGATCCTCAAATCATCTACAGGTCCCACGCTAGATACATCTGAGACCTCATTCTCACGTCCCAGTCAACAACACGCGTCATCTGCACCGTCTACGGACGAGACGACAGTCTCACGTCCAGATCAGCAGACCACGCCGCCCTTGACTTCGGATGAGATTGCAAGCTCACGCGACGCGAACGAGACTGCCGTCTCACGTTCCGGTCGCCGAGTACGGTTACCCGTACGCTTCCGCGAATAGTCGCACAGTCAACTACCGATACGGTGTAGGATTATTCCTATACTACACGTATGCTGCACTCTTCTTTTTTTGATTTTCTTTTTGTTTCCTGAGCCTGTAGTGGCATTGGAATATAGCCACACAATCCACAAAGCTGTGAACACGAGACTACACAGAAACGAGATATTCAATATTTAACGCGGAGAAATACCCAACGATGGAGAAGGCGCGAACAATGAATTGAATGGACTGGAGTTGATCGAGTGGCATGGCTCGGCCATGCAGGCGTGGTCCCTGCTGGATGTTATCTTATATCTTCTATTCATATTAAATATATTGTTCTTTCTCTAGATTAACCTTGTTCTACATCATGTATTGGTAATTGATACGATACAGTGAGTTGGCGTAGTCGATGGTGTGACTTCCACGTAAGATCTTATAGATTAGGCAGTTATATCATGACAAATCTACAAATTTAGGATTAGGTCTATTATTAGAGCAATACTAATATCATAGTAGACCATAATTCTACAAGCCCACGCCTTCGACCATCTCCGTTTGGTTCCGTCGACTTCAGTCAACTTTGGCGAAAGCTGGCCTGATCACCCACGCTCTTGTCAACGTACTCAGTCGATATATATTGGTTTCGAATGCTTGGCATACGCTTGGTCTCGAACTTGGTCGTTACGGTCGCTTCTGGTCTTTTGGCTCAACGTGGTTTCGTCCTACGTCTGCAGCGTTTCTGGTGCGCACCTCTACGAACGCCCTCTTCAGATTCTGGATACAAACCACTCTGGTGTAGCATGCCAATTCGAGCAATAAATACAACACATCGCTCCTGGTACTGTTCTCCGAAAACGACCTTCGTTGGCAACTCGACGATCAACGATCGCTTTCCTGTTCGCCAATTCTTCCGTCCTACAATCGCTCGTCAGCTGATTAGTCCCACGATTCAAACCGCTATTTATCGAAAGTGTAAACCCTTTCTAGCGGGGGGCTCCTGTAGTGACTCACGTTTATCACGAGAACACGACTGGTTTAATAAAAACAATTATTATTATAACCAACTGTACCAGTGTTTGTTTTAACGTGCTTTTGTTTGACTGTGCTAATGACAGCTATTTTGTGCTTCCATTCTTATACTTACACTTTGATTGTAACTTCGCGCGAATTCGGTTACGTTCTGTAACCAAGCTTGTATCCTGGCACGATCTCGGTATCCTTTCGATGCCACGAGATCGCCAGCAAATAAACATCGACTTGGTCCATTAATTGCCTTCTGGTATTCGGCTTCTCGGGGATTTTATGGAGTCATTTGGAACGAGCTTCTTACGCCTTCTGATCTATTTGGCACGTGTTTCTTGGTAGCGGTGTTCACAGTTAATCTCAACTCGACGCCACGCTACAGTATAAAGAGCCTTCACCCCTCAAATCACTGTTTATGATGATTTACGCAACTGCTGAATTCCGAGGTTGGCAGTTCCCTCGGTCTTTTCAAGGAACCTTGTAAGGGTCTTATGAGGGATTTGTGGAACATATCGTAAACATCTCCTTGTTCTCTCTCGCATAACAAAGTTTTTGAGGCGACTGTGGCTCAACCTTTGGTCACTGTCTCAAGAGTTATCTGTAAAGGTTCGCCGAAACAATTATCGATTGTATGTTCTCCAATTTCACTTCAGAACTTCAGAATGCTTATGAACAAGCAGTTGCGCAATTACCAGCAGTTAACCTTTATTGTAATACTGAACTCATATTCACATCAGTTTAAAGGTAAGAAGACACTGTTGGGATCCCTCTCACGTAAACCTCTCTGTACGTAAATAATTCTGAGTAGCGCGAGGGAGTAGAACATTCAAATTTGAGGAAGTAAACCTGAAGATAGCGTATGATTTGCTGAAAACTGAATATCAATAGAAAGCTATACCTTGAGCATCATAAACAGTGAATTAACTGGATTTTATACATTCATGGATACTCGATAGCTTTTGAAGATTACATGATCTATATGTTCATTTTCTGATGAGATTATTTTATCAGTTCTTCTGATGCTTGGGGTTGCATTATGCTGATTGAATGGCTATACATTATTCATACATGAATCTACTGAACTAACCCATAGTTTTATACTGTCTGACAAAAAACCAAATCAAAGATGTCTGATTTTCTAAGCATTGTGTGTACGGTCTACTTTCGTACAGGTTTGTCTGTGTTTTCACGCTAATTCATGAAAGGCCCCCGTTTATGTATTTCATATACCTACAACCCTTTGCCCTTGCTCTAGATTGCAAATTCAATATTTCCACCCTCTCATTCTCATTTTTCGTTAGATTTAAGTTCTTCATAGTAATGTTGTTATTCACTTTGATTACAACTTCTATTTTCCTTACGTCTCATTTATTTGTGAGGTGCTCACAAATTATGTTATATCTATTTTTGATTGACCTCCAATCTTGGCACCTGCCACCATGGTTTCCGATAGTTGACTACTATTCTTTAAACTGAACGTCAAGATCTAAACGAAAATTACTTGTTTTATCTTAAAAGTTGATTTCTCGATATACCGCGTATAACAGAGCACTAGAACACCAAAACCCTTCCAAGTCGCAGTAAGAAGACAGAAGACTAATGAAAGGAATATGATTCCAACCAGTGTCATTCATAGTACAAAATTGTCAGGTATTTATAGTTTTTAATGAGAACGAAATCATCATTACAGTCCTCCAATCCGCATGCAGGGGGTTATTAGCATTATTCAATCGGGAAGATACACGTTGGAATTCTAGAATATTCTTCCGAAGGGTGATTGGATGAAACGTCTTCGGCTCCTTCTGAGCCTTTTACAGCTACCTCGAGTTCACCGGTGGTCCGTCACCACACCTCCCCCCTTTAAAGTCCGTTGTGTAAGATTTTTTCTTGGATCCACCTGAAGCTTGGGTGTCGCCCTCCTCTTGCGGTCCATTACTCTCGAGGGTTGTACAGCTTTCTCTCTGCGTCGTTTGTCTTTTCGATGTT